AATAATCTAAAATGTAATGTAATAAAAACTATAGTATTATCTCTCTTTATTATTGTGTTTGATCTGCAATTCAAATAATTTAAACAATAACTTATGCTATACAGTGTATTATACATAGTAATATAATTTATTTTTATATCAATTTCTCTCAATTTCTCTATATGTCATGAATTGTGACAAATAAACTGTATATAAATTTCTATAAACTTTTAACACACCAAACACAAAGTCATATTTGACTATCGCTTATAAGTATGACATGAATTTGTTTGTAACAAACTTTTTATTGTTGTTGAATTTTTGTTTAGTAGATCAACAACAACAACAATAACTAAGTAAAGATATAACTAATATTTTTTTCTAAAAGTTATTTCTAAACATAATTTTGATGAAATTAGTCAGTGATGACTAACCATAGTAAACACACATAAAATGCATATTAAATGACAATAATAACAACAATAATACTATTTAAAAAATTGAAATCCTATAAAAATGGTTATACAGCTATTTTTCTGATGCTATCATATCACATATTATTTATAAATATAAACTTTTTTATATATATAAAAAGCATCGTATCTCCGGAAAAGACGCGCTATATTTCATAGATATTTATTTTTAAAGAGAAACGACAAAACTAATAGACAATGCAATCGTTGATAATAATAATAATAATAATCATAAAAAACTAATAAAAAATCAGAGAAATAAAATTAAAATTCACGCAAAAAATATGTTAACATATTTCAAGAATTCCAGTTAAAAAATGTTAGTTAATAATAATAATAATAATAATTTCAATGAAATAGTAGTAAACGGATTGGTTATATGGCAATCAAGTTTTACATTTTTAGTTATGTACTACATTTAAATATACCGTATTGTATATAATACTATATATATATATATATGTTATGTACATTTAAATTATATTTAAAAAATTTATATATATGTGTGTGTGTTTATCATTGATAATAGAGTGATTAAAAGTAGAGGTATTGGTTAGCTTAGGACTGAGAGTCCGGCGTTTTTTTCAATAATTTTTTTTGTTAGTTTTGTGTGTAGTTTTTTAGTCAAAAGCATGTGTTTTGGTTTGCTTTTGTTTTTTAATTAATATTATTTAAATTATTAATTATTAATTATTAATTATTAATTGTTATTAATATTAATATTAAGGTAATTATATTATATTTTAATAAAATAATAGATATAATTTTAAAAATTATAAATATTTTTTATTAATAAATAAAAAATAATTTTGTTTACAATCATTGAGTGATTGTATGAATACATTGAATGATAACATCAATTGTTGTGACAATTGAAGACATTTTGGATCAATTAATAAATGAAAACAAACGACTTCTTAAAGAGTTATTGTTTGCCAACAAATTGAAGATATTTTTGTTGAAATTGTTTGACATATAGACCGTGAGCAGTACGGCATCCACGGGGAGCTGTAACCGGGGATCAGTACCGGCAGGGTTAATGTCGCAACTGATAATTCCTCTGCATCCCAAGACCGGTACCATGGACCATAGGATGTACGATAAGTCGGCATTAACCCTGTAAGTGGGGTCTACCCCATCTCCCTCGACCTTTACGGGGGTAGTAAAGTGGAACACACACACGTACTGCTAAAATCACATAAAAATTATAGTACGGGTCAAGTACAAGTAGACTTGGCCAATCACTACTCAGACACGTTTACTGGATTTGACCGGTAGACAATACACATTTATAGAGCCAGCCAAGATGGCAACAAAGTATAGTCTATTTACTGATTTTATTAACGATAATAATAATAACAATTATATGTAGTGATTGGTTTGTTTTATTGATTTTCAGTCAATGGCACGTCCGACACGATTAGAGGTAGTGAATATGTGCCGACAAATCACTACTTTCAACATTATCGGACATATTGGACACACAGATGAACAGTGCATACAATGGCTTCAACAATCTGGTGTTCTTCCATATCTCAACCCGGAGATCTATTTGTGCACAAATAATCCGGCACATGTGCTTTCAAAGACTATTTTTAAAACAAGTATTATTCAATATCGATTGAGTTGTAATGATTGCAGAAGAAACGGTGTTACTTTTAAATTAACATTTACTGAGGTGCATATATTAAACATATATATAACTGTATTATAAGATACAATGTTTTATAGAACACATGGATTCAGAGAAGTCGATTGCCGGTGCCGACAGTTGTATTAATCACTTACGCTTTTATAATGAGATGGAAAGTTGAAGATACAGCAAATGAATGTGATGTTGCCGAATCGACAGTTGTTGATTGGTTTGCATATTGCCGTGAAGTCTGTAGTTTTGCACTTGAAAATCAACAACTTCTACAAGTTGGTGGTAATGGACATGTTGTTGAGGTATTATATTAACATATTATATTATTTGTAATTATAATATAATGTAAATATTATTTAGTGCGATGAACATCATTTAGTGTCCCGTAAATTCGGTCGAGGTAGAATTTTACAACATCAAGAATGGATATGGGGAGCATGTGACAACGATGCAGGTCCTAACGAAAATCGTTTAGTATTAGCTCGAGTTCCGACGCGTGATAAAGAACATCTTTTGACTTTAATGGCTGCTACTATTAAACAACAGTCGATTATTATTACGGACGGATGGTTTCGCGGTGATAATGCCCAAAATGATATCATTGATATTGGTATGGCAGCTCATTTTTGGGTAAATCATTCTGTAACATTTTCAGAAATCACTCAAAATCCGTTCACTGGTGGTAATTAAATATTAAAAAGTTAGATAATACCATGTTTACTGATATTTACTGCTTTATAGATGACTTTACTGTAACCACAAATCATATTGAAAGAGTTTGGAGAGAATTGGATAAATACATTAAGTCTTATCAAAATGAGTTTCATATTGACCAGTATATCGATCAATTTATTTATTTCAATAACTTGAAAGGAAGTTATGGCAATAATTCTGGTATATAATACTTTTATATAAAGTTGCTATACTATTAATTAAATTACATTATATCAGGTGCAAAATTAGGCCACTTTTTATTTGACATTTCGCGCCGTTTTTCTGGTCCAACTCGTAAAGCTAATTTGAATTATGCTAACATTCAACCCATTATTTATAATGAACCTTAATTTTTAATTATTTTTAATACTTATTTTTAATTATTTAATTTCTGTTTTTAATGTTTATAAGTAAATATAATTATATCATAACTATATCATATTTCTGTATCATTATATAATACAGAAATTACGTAAAATAAAATAATTTTTTAATTTTTTAAAATTTTAAATGACTCGAAAATTATTTTAGATATTATAATTTTGATTACATATTTGTGTTTTAAATTCATTTTTGCATAAGTATTGGCGAATATATTGCATAAAAATTTTCGGACTCTCAGTCCTAAGCTAACCGAGGTATTTAAATATATGTTTTTGATTAATAAACAACTTATTAAAGTGTTTATATTAAACGTTATATCATATATATATAAAAACTTTTTTATTTTCATTTTTGAATATCGCAATAATTTTTAAACATCAATTTAAAAGTTGTTGTAATTACAAGTTGTAATATATAGTACTAATAAATTAGTAATTATTGTTAGATTAGATTGTATATTATGCACTTAAATAATAATAATGAAAAACTAATAATAATAATATTATTATTATTATTATAAACTAATACAAACCATTAGTTATATTTAATTAGATTAATACTTATTTTTACTTTTTTAAAAAAACTCTTTTGGCATATGATATGCGATAACAAACAAAATATGAGGAAAAGTCTAAAATGTTTACACATATTTCTATGCAAACAAATATCATATATTTATATATAAATATATAGATAAGTAAATAAAAAAGTTTTAAAACATATTTCTCTCTATATATCTCTATAATCTCTCTCTCTCTCTCTCTCTCTCTCTCTCTCTCTCTCTCTCTCTCTCAATGTTTCTCACAATTACTCCCTTTAAGTCAAGTGAATGTCAAGTATTTGCTAAGCGGTTAAAAACATTTAATTAAATATATTTACTATTAAAGTGTAATACTTGTTAGTATACAGTATTATTAACAGTTAACAAATAAATAGGTAGTAGTCATCAAATTAATAGTGAGATCACACTTATATGACAACAAGTCATAGACCAAAAATAAATTAATACATGTGTTAAATGAGAGGAAGTAATTAGTGATAAAAAAATAATGTTTAGCAAAAATAAAATAAAAAGTTTTTATCCGAGAGATAACACAACAACAAACTATTATATGGTTATCAAACAACAAAAAAGTTTTCAGACCATAGAAAACAACAACACATAAACTTTTATACAGAGATTTAGCATTAAATAAATATATGATTCAGAAAATTCATACAAATTTCAAATTATTTCAGTGAATCACTAGTGTATTAGGGATCTGATTGTACATCAGGTGGAGATCTGGTAGTCGTATACTGTATTTGGCTTATATGTAGTAATGTTTAAGATAGGGGGGAACCGCCAAAAAATGACAGCAATAGAGCACTGGTGTTAGTGTATGTATGTGTGTGTGTGTGTGTGTGTGTGTGTGTGTGTGTGTATGAGTGCACCAATCAATTGCTTGAACGCTGCAATGACTGCATTGTTGGGTCGGGAGTGGCACTAAAGCATTGACTGCATTGCCAAACGCATCGCCAGTACATTATATACATACATATACTGCATATATGAATATTAGCGCTGTTGCCGTCCCTGTGCTTTAGCTATCAGTGCTAGTGTTGTTAGTATATTGTTTTGCCGGCACTGCACTACTGTTGCACATTTGAATAGCGCATACACATTGTGAGAGAGAAATATATAATATTGTGTCACTATATAAGTGAACTATACTGTACTTTATAATGCAATAGACATACAGTTTACTTATACAGTGAGTGTCTATATATAAAAGAGTCGTTGAGCTGACTCACACATACACACAGTGTGTTTGGTCGCATCCCATCTCCTCTCTCTCTCTCTCCTATACATACATAAGCATTGAAAACTTGCACACCAACACCACAGTCTTTTAAACTACCAGTGCTCGGGTGTCTCATACACGCTAACGATATATATATACCAACTCTCCTAAGCGTTTGACTTAAACTTTTTGTGTGTGTCTGTACTGTTGTGTCGCCATTTCATACCCATTGAAACAGTACTGCAGTTTTTGGTGGAAAACTATAGACTACTTCTTGGCACTGCCTGTGCTCTCTCTCTCTCTCTCTAACTATATATCTATGTGTTTGTCTCTCTCTTCACATAACTAACTCCCAGTGCATTAGAGATATATCTATCAGTTTTGTATTATATATATGTATTATAAGCCATTCAATACTCAATAACTGCAGACATTCATTCATATCGTGTCAAACGACTCGGTCGACAACGACGACGACTACTACGACAACACCACTTCTTCAGTGAACACAACACTACCATCTCGTCAAAGCACTCATCCATTTGAATCGGTAAGCATTGGTGTGTCTGTGTGTCTAAAAAGGGATTGTCATCTCTCTGTTTGAATCGATTGGACAAAAAAACCCACAAATTAGTCATCACTTGTGTGAATCTCTTTCGCCTTTTTTTGATATATAAAGTGGATGTCATTAGAGTTGGTGTCAATACGATTGCCCACCAATTCATGACTCATTGACTCTTCATTATTAATATTATTATTAATATATGATATGAAGTGATATTGTTATTAAAGAAAAGTTATAATAATTTTGAATTGTGTTGTCATCGCAGATATACACTTCACTCAATCCGACCGGCAAAATGACTTCGACCACCGAAACTGCAACTCCAGCTGTAGATCAATCCAACAATCAGACTGCCGGCACTCAGGAGCCGGTTTCGCCAGTGTCTGAACAGACTGCCGAAGCCCAGACCGATGCTACTACTAATGAATCAAAGGCCGAAACTGCCAGCCCTAAGAAGGAAGCGGTACCCAAACCGACTGTCCATAAGACAGACTACGAGAAGGATACGGTCTACTTATATCAGTTCACCCGATTCGCTACCATTCCTTCGTCATCGCCGTTCTGTTTGAAAGTGGAGACCTTTTTGCGTATGGCTGGCATCGCCTACGAGAATGTTGACCATCAGCTAAAATTTCGCTCGAAGAAGGGTCAGCTGCCGTTCGTTGAACTCAATGGCAAAGAGATTGCCGATTCGGACATCATTATTCAGGATTTGACTAAAATCTTCGAGAAAGATCTTGACGAAGGCCTGACTGAAGAGCAGAAAAATAACAGTCACGCCTACCAGTCGATGCTCGACAATCACACGAGTTGGTGAGTGCTCTCTCTTATGGCTTAACCATTGATTATGATAATTGACTGATAATAGTGTTGTTGTTGTCTATTGTTGACAAATGTGGTGATAGTAGTTGTGTTTAGTGAAGGTCATTACGATTTGATATGATTTGCTTGATTGACACTTATTCATCACACAGTTATTTATATATGATATGTGTTTTACTGATTGTCTATTGACTGCCTTTCCTCTCCCTATATCTCCCATTCCTCTCATACCACAAGAAAAAAAGGTCATTAAATTGAGTGTTAAAAACTTCGCGAGAGTTATCTAAACAACTGTTTGACTGATAGTCAGTATTATTATTATTATTATTATATAGGGTTTACCATAGAAACTGTCAGTTACTGTGTTTTACCATTACATTCAAAATGTATATGTATTTATATATTTATATTATTAAATACAATATTATAAAATAATGATCACAAATAATACACTGTGTGTGTATATATTAGTTTTGTTGGGGACAGTTAGGTTTAGTGTCGGTCTGTATGTTTTTTATGTCGATATCGATTTCACATTTAATGTCTGGGCATATATTTATAGTATCACCAGACACTTAAAGAGTCATTTACTTTATGATGAAAAATAATGGTTTAATTGTATAAATAATTATGACATTAAAATTGATTTGTGTTTTAGTAATGTTTTTCATAATAATGTCTGTCAATGTATTTAATATATAAATTTTTTAATTTAAAACTTAAAGGGTGGTGCGATACTGGCGATACAATAATCCTCAACAGTTTATTGATGCCTCCAAAATGGATATGAAAAGGATTACCCTATCAAAGTTGCCTAACAGTGTGCTGAACGTACTTCTCAAGATAGGCTTCAAACAGGTTTGTCTGTCTGTCCCATCAAATATATCGATGGGTTTTATGTTGTTTTTTATGATTGTATGCATAATTTTATGATACATGTCTAACATATTTAAATATATATTTATAACTGATTGACACCATCACCACATGCACAGAATGTTAAGCAAGTGTTGGGTCACGGCATTGGACACAACACTGAAGCCGAGATCTACGACTTTGGTAAGAGTGACCTCAAAGCTCTTAGCAAACTATTGGACGACAAAGACTACTTCTTTGGCAAAGATCCTCATCTGGTATGTTGTTATCGCTATTGATTGGAAGTGTTTGGTATTTAACACATTTTTTTCCTCTTTTACTTCAGTTGGATTGCGTTGCTTTCGCACATTTGGCTCAATTTGTGTTCATACCGTTCGGCGAAATGACCGAATGGATGGAGACCGAGACCGCCAACTTAGTGGCATTTGTCAATCGCATCAAAGACAAGTATTGGACCGATTGGGAAGAGATCTGTACCACTCTCGAGCTGAACACACATTTGCCCAAAAAAGAGTTGTCGCCTGAAAAGGAGGAAGAGTTGAAAAAAGAGGAGCAAAAGAAAGAAGAAGAGAAAAAGAAAAAGGAAGAGAAAAAGCGATTACAGGTTTGTTTGATTTTTTGATTACCACGTCGTCGTCATCTGGATTTGACACTAAAACCGCTCTTTTTTGTCGATATTTAATAGGAAGAGAAGAAAAAAGAAAGAGAAGAGAAGAAAAAGAAGGACAAAGAGGAAAAGGATAGACTGAAAAAGGAAAAGGAAGAGAAGGCTCGGGCAGAGAAAGAGCAAAAAGAAAAGGAGAAGAAAGAAAAAGAAGAGAAGGAAAAGGCAGAGAAAGAAGCAAAAGAAAAGGCCGACAAAGAGAAAGCCGAAGCAGAGAAGAGTGCTGCAGAGGCGGCAGCGGCCACAGCAGCAGCAGCTGAGACCAAGACTGAGGAGAAACCAACAGAATCGACACCCGAAACCAAAGAGACCGCCGCAGAGGAGGCGCCAAAAGCCGAGGAATCGTCGGATAAAAAAGAATGAATTCGTTGTGTAGTTTAAAACAAAAGAAAACAATAATTAATTCATAAATAACTGTTTCATTACTGTCAACAGCTCATCAAATGACCAAAATTTGTAATCCATTTTAAGTTTTTTTAAACAAATATTTTTATTATAATTTTATTATTCATAATTTTCGGGACAAAAGTATATGTTTTCATTTTTAAAGTAATTTTGTTTTATGTATTTTTTAAAAATGAGAAAATTAATTAATGATTGGTTATTATAATATAGTAGTACAGGAATCAGCTGTTGATTGTATTTTTAAGACTCGTTTTTTCTTATTATTTAATTATAAATTGTGCTTTAAATGAATTAATTCTCATAATTTGGTCACATTTTACTCTAACATTAGCTCTTAGTTTAAAATTATTATTAAAAAGACAAAACACTCATAATCTCATAGCATTTAAAGTAAGCTCTTTATATATCGTAAATAAAAACTACTGCCTAATGATTTTAAAAACTTATTGATTATTATTATTATTAAAAAAATACAAAAACAATAACTTTATTTTGAAACGGCATTCCATCGCTTATTCATTATTTTTTAAATAATTTTTTTTAATTCAAACGATTCTCAAATCAATTTGATTATTATTATCATTATCAAAAAATAGCATAATTAATTTGTATGGCATGACAGTATTTTTGTACTCCACATTAATTTTTATTTAAATTTCTATATCTGCTTTAAAATGCCATTTATATATATATATATATTATAAAAAAATATACAAATTTATTGATTAATTTTATTATTAAAAACAACTCATTTTGATTTTTTTTATAATTATATGAAAAATTGTTTGCATTATTATTATAAAAAAAGACCCATTGTTTTTATGTTTAAAAAAATTTGCTCATAAAATATTACCATTAAGTGATTTGTGTGCTCATTATTATTATTTTATTTTTTTGATTAATTGCATGTTTTGTGTGATAAATATATATATAAATGCTTCTTATTTTCATTTGTTTATTATTTTATTATTATTATTATGACAACCACTCAACTAAAATACAGCTAAATATATTTGCCACCTAAATGACAGACATTTGACTAATTGGTTTATATATATATATATATAAAGTTATATTACATGAAAATTACTACTACTTTTCAAAACGATATATCAAAATTATAATCAATTTTTTTTTTTAATTATAAATGTTTAAAACGATAGCGCAAAACAAGAGCTAATTTATATTTTAAAAAATATATACTTAATTGTATAATTGAAATGCTAAGTCAATTGAAATCTGTGGGCACTTAAACATAATAAATATTATATATATTTATTAATATATAATTATAATAATATATTGTCAAATGTGCTAAATATTTGCTTTTTTCTAGAGAAACAAACAAAAAAAAAAACAATTGATAAAATAATTTTATAACTTTGATTATTATTATTATTATAAACCTTGACATTGTTCATCAAAACAAAACAAAAAATTTGAAAAAATTCAATATATTTCTCAACTAATTCATACTTTTAATAGTTTTTACAACTTTCTATATATACAGTATAAATATATACACAATAATAAACAGTGTTTTAAAATATTTATAAAAAACAGAGTATTGCGGGAACAAAATGTTTATAATGATAATAACATACATCTGGGGATTTTTAAAAATAAATTATATCATTAAAATCCTTAAAAAACTTTTTTTTTTTGAATAAATTAATTTAAATAATAATAAATTATTTAATTTACGCTTTAAATATTGTAATTGCTATTATTATTATTATTATTATTTGAAAAACTCTTACCAATAACAACAACAACAAAAACGGAAACATATATTTAACTAAAATAAAAATGTTTTATATTTATAGATCAAAATTCTTGTAATTCAATTAATTGAATCTTTTTAATGTAATAAAGGATTATTTGAAATATGAAACTAATATTTTTTTGTTATTGGTTTTGGTTGTGTCATAAAAACTCTAACACAAACAATACATATTGTCGACTATTGTGTTTGTATATTGCAGTGTCAAATTGTGTGTCAAATAATTAGTATTTTTTATATATCCTATATAGGATTACAACTAAAATATATAATGTTTTTGTTGATATATATCATGTGTCATGTAGTGTATGTGTATGTAATACTATGTATGTGTTTGTATCGTGTGATGTGAGATAAGATTTTTTTTCCCAGAAGTTCACGACAAATATAATCTGAATCACTATTTAGCAAAAAATTTATTATTTAATTCATTGTATAAATAACTAATTCACTGCTCAAATATTGTGTATGTGTTTGGCATACCTGATGGTCGGTGCCAATAGTGGTTGTGGTATAGGTTCGCCCCAATATATATAAATTTATACTGTAGTAGTAAAGTATATATATGGCATACCTATATAATTAAAAGTTAAAGTGATTGCACAATTGTTTAACAAATTTTTGTTTTGTAACTAAAAACAATTATTAAATTTATTAAATATTAATAATCTAATAATAATTATTATTATTTCTATTTCTAAACAATTCAATCATCAAAATTAGTAGTTAAAAATATAATACCCGGTAATATATTAATACTGTACTAATAACAACATTATTATCGATATTTTTGTGTATAAATAGAGTGCAATTATTATTATCATAGAAATTATTGCAAATTTTGGTACTTTATCTTAAAAATTGACTTTCGTTGCAAAACAAACAAAACAAAGTTTGATTAACATAAAATCATTTATACAGTTTACCCGTATTGTAAATAATTTTACAAAAATAATTCAGGGAAAAATACCTAGAAGTTCAATCTACTAAAAATATATATAAATTTATATATATCATTAAAAATACCGAAATTAAAAAATATATTTTATATTAGATTATCTAAACTCACGAAAAAACAGTTTTATTTATCTATGGATTATTTTTTTTATTAAATTGTAAAATTGCGATTAAACTTCAAGTTTTATTTTATTTTACATTATTATTATTTTAATCTAAAAAACCAATTAAAAACTTAGCTTGCTTTTTTTGTTTGTATTTTTTAAATAAAAATGTTGTTTACTTCTCTCTCTCTCTCTCTCTCTCTCTCTCTCTCTCTCTCTCTCTCTCTCTCTCTCTTATATTCAATAATTCAATTCATTATATTTCCTATTACTAATAAAAATATAATAATAATAATAATTTTCCAATAGATAAGCTTTTTTAAGAGATAAGTGTTGTATATATGTGCTTGAAGTTTATGTATTTTTCGCTGAAAAACGATCCCAAAAATCAATGGGCATTATAATTGGAAAATTTTTAGAAATCAATTTATTTATAAGGAGTCTTTAAATTATTTTTTTTATATACTGAGTTATAATATGGATTTTTAAAAATATATATATATACCTTTAAATTATACACAGATTTGTAAATATATTGATGATATGTATTATATGCTAATTTTATGTTTATTATATATCTTTTCAGATATATTAATTTAAATATATATGAGATAAACACCAAAATTTGTTTAGATAATATTGAATCTAATAATAATAATAATTATTATTATACTATATTTTTACTTTAAAAAACAATTAGTGGTTCTGATTGAATACAGTTTTGTTTTTTGCGATATTGAATAGTTGTCTCTATTGATAAAATATACTGTACTGTATATCGGTATACAGTATATATTTTTTAAATGGCTTATTACCATTGCATTCACGTTTAAAATTTATTGTATAAAATAATAAAAACACATTAGATTTTAGACAAGATATTATGAACATAATATATATTTATTTTATGTATATATAATTTATAAATTTATACTGTATTTAATATTGTATTTAATACATGTTTAATACATGATATCACTCAAGTATATTATTAAATACCAATAATTAACAGTTTGCTTTCTCTTTGGTCTCAAAAATTATTTTATATAATATTATATATAAGTTACTTATTTTATTTTAAAGACTCCAAAATAAAGCTATTATACATTAAATACTGTAGCAAATTGCAATCATTTAGTATTTTGATTTTTACATTAAATGCGATATTTTTTTACAAGAAAATAACATCACATTCTTTGAAAAGCTAAATGTTTGACTTTTATATTAGAAAACTCAAGGAATTTGTTTTAAACAGAGAGAGAGAGAGAGAGAGAGAGAGAGAGAGAGAGAGAGAGAGAGAGAGACTATGAGATTATTTATGAATTTTAAAAGTGTGCCCAAAAAAACTTGTTTTTCTCACATCAATTCAAGTTCACATCAATTTTAAGTCTAACGATTTTTTTACAATTATTTCAGATCATACACACACACACACACACACACACACACACACACACACACACACACACACACACACACACACACACACACACACACACACACACACACACACACACACACACACACACACACACACACATAAACACATTGGTTATATTACTGTAGTAAAGTATATACAATATAGTATTTATACTTTATATATACAGTATATTTAAAAATCTATTAAAACTATTAAAACACATTTCTATAGCCGAGTGTTGATCTTTAGCGCTGATTTCAAGACAACACAAAATCTTTTTTTTAAATTGAAAGCAATTATTTTTATTTTTTTACTGATTATTATTATTATTTGTAGTTTAATAAATTTATTGGTTGGTTAAGTAGAAAATACTAACTAATAATAATAATAATAATAAAATACTGAATCAATCAATTAGTTTTGTTGAAAGAGAGAGAAAGAGAAAAAATGCATTTTTCTAAGTTATATAAATTTAAAATTATAAATGAATAATAATAATAATAATAATAATAATAATAATAATAATAATAATAATAATAATATACAGACTAAAAAAATCTAATCAACTTATTGAATATGTTTATTGAATGGATAATCAATTTTTTATTTCAGCATTTTATTATTATATATATATATATTTAGACAATTTATTTATGATTTTAATAATTCATTGGTTGGCTTCAATATAATGAGATAAAATGTTTTAAAATATTTTGTGTGTTGAATGACTTGAAACATAAAACATTAGCCATTTATCTAACAACTTATAAGTTTATTACAGGTATACTTGTAGTTATATGTGTGCAGACAATTGAAACAATGCATTATTATTACATTTATTACATAAGACCTCTTCTCACATAATGATTAGTTTGACATTTGTATTACTGGTGAGAGAGAGAGAGAGAAAGAAAGAAAGAAAGAAAGAGAGAGAGAACCGGCTTTTAGACAGTAAAATATTAATGAAATTCAAACTAATATATTTTTTAGCAAAAAATAATAATATTACATATAAGTTTTTTGTTAACTATAAAACCAAAAAATGTAATATCATATAAGTAATATTATGCTAATTTTGATGATCTAAGCTATTATCAGCAATAAGGTATTACTGGGTATTATCGTATATATATATATATATTATATAAGTGCCATTGAAAATATTATTAGCTATCTATTAAAAGTTCATATAAGAAGTTTATTATACTTTACTATAACTGATTATAACATAAATATTCTGTATATATATAATAGAAATATAAAATACATAATATATGCATACAAGTTATGTGAATAAATAAAAAGTTATAAACTTATTATTAAAAAATTTACTAATATTATACAATATTTGAATAATAATAATAAAGTTATTATTAAAAAAATATTAAATAATAATTTTTTTTAGGTATCAATGGGTATTAAAATAATAAATGTGTATTTTATATATACTGTATGTCTGACCACATAATAATTGGTGTTACGCTATATACGGACTGCAAAGTGTTTGGCGCACTGTTGTTGTTGTGTTAGTAAATGTTGTTATATTGTTGTGACTTTGACTTTGAATATATACAGTGTATGTGTTGTTTGAATGAATGAGTCAATGAACGCAACAATGTTTGCATCAAAACATTAGCTGAAAAAAAACCTAATGTTTTGTTTGTATATTAAATGCCACTAATTGTTGGCATTGTTTGAGTGCAACAAATGTCTGTTATTTGAAAAGTGCCGACACGTGTGTCTGTCTGTCACACAAACAAAACACGTAATGTCTGTCACGTGCGCCGATACCGTCATCAACAACAACAACCACAACAACAGTCAGTTTACACTTCGCGAAGACGATGTTATTCGTCTGGTTCTTGAATTTCTTGGCAATCGTGACCTCAGTATATCGCAGTTGAGTGTCGAACGCGAAACAGGTCTCAGCAATCATGTCTTCAGCGATGATCTACTATTTTTGCGTCAACTGATCCTCGATGGCCAATGGGATGATGTCCTGCACTTTGTTCAGCCGCTAGAATCGGTCGATACGTTCGACAAGAAGCAGTTCAAGTATCTGATCCACAAACACAAGTATATTGAATTGTTGTGCATTCGCTCGGAGGCGGGACCCATACATAACGTTGAGGTCGCTGTCAACGATGTGGTCAACTGTCTGAGCAATTTGGAAGAGTTGTGTCCAAACAGAGATGATTACAATGAGATGTGTCTGTTGTTGACGATACCGAACATTTGCGAACTAAAAGAATATAAGAGATGGAATCCAAGCAATTGGCGGATCAGTTGTTTCAAAGCAGTTTTACAGCTCATTGAAAAGTATTTGCCGATCGACAAGAAGTCGGCCAACGCATCGCAGAAGACGGCAAAAGGCGATCGTCTCATGCAATTGGTTATCAAAGGCATTCTTTACGAATCGTGTGTCGAGTATTGCCGTCAAAAAGCTGATGACGTTTCCGGTGGCAAAATAGTGTCACAAATGAAATACTCGGATATATTAGACGGTACGGGATTTAGCAATTCCGATGCCAGTCTGTTATCGTGGCTTCAGTCCATACCTATCGATACATTTAACCATCCATTTGAACAAAAAAAGTTGAATGTCGAAGTGGAACAACTTGACAAACCATCGCTGATGGCTTCGTGGTCTGAGGTGATTCTGGTCACACCAATCAAACCCAAAGTATTTCCCCATTCGGCCACACCGTTTACCCGGAAAAAGGCATCCGATTTAATGTCGAAATCATTGACACCCGGTTTGGTGGACGCTCTCACCAAAAGTGTGATGAACTTCTCAATCAGTGATATGACAGCTATGAGTAGGTCATCCTATGCCTCCACGGGATTCCACTTGAATTCAAACAATAATAATACTCAAAATAATAGCAATTGTATTACCAATAATAATAATAATACTTCTGCCGCTAATAATAGTAATAATAATAATAATACTAATAATAATTCAAATATAAATAATAGTATTTTAAACAATTCTGCAAAGAAGTCTTCTTCGCAGACATCGGTTGAGCGACTCTTCAAAGAGGGAGAAGTGTTTAACTCGAGTTGCTTTCAGCGATTGCCAACAATTTCCGAAAAACCATCGCCGGTGTCAACCATTTCTGGTGATGAAATGAACCACCGTTTCATGACAAACATCGAGATCGCTACCGGTTCACCTCCAAGTCATTTATTGTCTAACAATAGTGCCAAAGACATGACAAATAAAAGTGAAACACCGCCTGATTTATGGCAAAAGTTTCATAAAGAAAAACAAAAACTTCTGGAAAAGTTGTTGAACGAAGAGGAAGAGTTTATTTGTATGACAGCCTCTCCACAGGTTATAACAAATACATATCAGACGCCACCAATTCATACGCCAATTATTATTAATAACAACAATGAAATCAATAATCAAAAAGTGACACCAATTGGCCAAATGGGTCAATCGAATTATCCGAATCCCGAACGTCTAACTACTAGTACACCAAAAGGCAATTATCATCGATATCGGGAAACACCAAATCAATCGCCGATAACGAGCATACAAAACAGCGGTTCCCAATACAAGAACTCTACATTTGACAGTACCAGTACTATCAATGATATGGCATCTGATTATTCAAATACTTCTTCATCATATCATCAAACACACCATCAATTAAGGACACAAATGCAACCTATGGTCAACAATTCAAGTCATAGAGCGGTAAGTTTTATATATAATAAATGTTTTTTTAATTATAATTTTTATGGTGATTACCTCTACTACTAGTAATAATGTCTTTTTAAATTGCTTATAAAACTACTAATTTAACAAAAATAATATTAATTTAATAGTTTAATATAACCCATATAAACGTGAACACAATATGATTGTGTGATCCAAAGTGAGAAAAAAGTTCACAACAATTATAATTACAGATTTTATATACTGTATTATACCCTGTTTTCATAAAGAAAACTCTGAAAGTATTTTCTAAATTTCTTAATAAAAACACTACTTATACTTTACTTTTAAAGTTAGCAAAAACACAAAACTTTGAGAGAAAGTAGACTTCAAATACTTAATAAAAACCATACTTACAAAGTATGAGGTAAAGCACATGCGTTACACATATATTGTATTTATTATATTATTTGAAATTTTTGTATTAATATTTTATGTCAATATAAATATCAAAATCTAAATGATTAATAAATATTAATTATTATAAAAGTAATGCTAAAGTATATCTTAATGAAAACGATTTTATACTTTACTTTGAGAGAAATACTTGCAGAGAATGCTTTATAAAAACAAGGTATTACTGTATACTACTTTTGAATGTTTGACTTTTAAAATTTTATTTTTGTTGTTTATTTTTCTTAAAATTTCTCAAATAACTCACTGAAAAACCGGTGTTTTATTGAAGTTTTTATTGATGTAGTAGTAGTTTGTTATACTGTACGGTATGTTATGTTTTGCTATTATTATTTTAATATTATATATGATATACGATAGAGAAAAACCTTATAATGATATGATATCAATGTGTTGTCAATGTTTTGACTCTTTCTCTACTGTATAGCGACTCTTACATCACCTTATATGGCATTTAAAACGATTTTATATACAGTATAAATTTTATACAACATATAATATACACTTGTTGTTCAAAATAAAAATGTTTTTAATTTTTGTTTTTATATTAAAAGTATTTGAAAACATGACTTGAAAAAAGTTTTTTTTATAAACAATTTATTGTCTCTCTGAATAATTACAGTATTTATATCTAGAAATAAATATTACTTTAAGGTATATATACTTTTTAAGAGTTGTGTATGGCTTTCAATGGGGGATTCATTTATTGATCCAAACATAACCATTATTTGAATATTGAACTCATTTTTCATTTATAAAACTACTTGAAATTTGTGTTTATTTCATATAAAAATAAAAATTAATTGAATTTATATAATATATCTTTATATGCTTTATATATAGTACTTAATATCTGATTTATAAACGTGATTTAGAGATTCATTTGTTGAGAGTTTAGATTAAGGCATTACAGTATAAAAACTACATTTAATGTTTGATTTTATTTGATTTTATTTCTACAATATTGTCCACAAATGGTTATTAAGAAGGACGTATATTGTAGGCGTATTTATGATCAATAAAATTTATAAATTAACTATTTTTTGTTGTTATTATTGATATGAAATTTCCCTAAAGGTCAATATCATTAAATATGTTAGATAATAATCTATATAAATTATATTATTATTAAATTTTATTATTATTATTATTATACAAGTTTTTCTATGATTAATTTAAATCTTTTATATATAGTAAACAATTATAAAGTATTTGCTATTTTGCAGATTTCTATTTTATATGTTTAATGGACACAGGATTTGTGTGTTAATAAAATTTTATTTTAGTTTTCAACTCAAATTCTCCCCTTAAAAAATGTTTTGTGTTTGAATTCAATATATAAGAATTTAAAATTATTTTTTTATAAATATTATATTTAAGACTATTTTTTAATATATACATAAAATAGTTATTTTTAATTTTTTCATAAATGGTTGAAACTATGGTTGAATATGAAATCAAAAGTAAAATTGATTATATGATGGGAGAGCCCGATCCCAATATTTTAGATACACACCGTTCCCATCAACCTAACGTCACGTTTATTTTTGAAGAGGTATTGTAAGTTACAATTTGTAACTAACTATCATAAACTATATGTATAAATATATATAACTGATATAAAATGAGTTTATCGTTTGAATTTTTGTTGTTGATATGTATATCGCAAGCATTTATTATTATTATTTTTTATATCTAAAATAAAATTCAAATATTTAATTAACTAAAAAACATTTGAATTTTATTTGCAAATGTTTTTTGTTTTGTTTGAATTATTTTTTAATATAAATAATAATGACTGATAAACTGTTTTTTATGATGATGTCCGGTTTACTTTAATTTAGATTAATATAAATTGTTATCAAATTAAATGATGTATTTTTAAAAGTATGCTTTTAATAAAAAATAATAATTTACAATATATTACATATAATTTCAGTCAGTTTAATAATTTTGAATACAATGTAAAAACGGGGCGAAACTTTTTCCACAAAAAATAATCATTAATTTAAATTTATGGCTATTATTCAACAACAATGTTAAATAGCTAATTTATTAGTTGATAATAATAGCTAATATAAAAAACAAAAAGTTTGGTCACTTATTGTGTGTGTGTGTGTCTGTAAAAATATATTATTAATTTTTAACAAATTATCTATTAAACACTATTAAACTTATTGAATTGGTTAACAACAGTGAATAATGCACCTGTCTTTTAGCACTGTATTCATGGGCACCACCAATAGCTCCCATAGTCGTGGACTATTGTCATGTATTTGTATAATTAATTGATACTCTCTCTCCCCAAACAAAAAAGGAGATTTGTTATTATTATAATTTTTTTATGAGATATTATAGCTAAATATCCATATAGTGTGATACACAATGCACACAATTCTATGTACTGTAAGTACAATATATAAATAGTGAAACAAATTGTAAATACAGTATTTATTTATATATATTGAGAATATATACTGGAAGGACAACTGATGCCTAACCAATGCAAGGTTACACACATATAGACAGAGCACTGGTAGTTGTGTTATATGTTTTTTACCGTTTCGACCAAATGGCACGATATTTGTCTTTTTGGAAATATTAGAAAACAATCGATGCATTACTTGATTGGCCCCTATTTTTATGACCATTTCATACATTTATTCATTTAATATAACAAATACAATACCACTGTATAATATATTATATTTTTACCCAATATAGTAATATACTAATTATTAACACACGTATTGTATAACTATTTTTATATCTATGTGTGTATAACATAATGTATTGTAAATTTACAATATAAATTGAAATTTCAAAGAGATTTTAATCGCACACTCAAAAAAAAAGACAAACAATAGTTAATAAAATGTTAGTTTTTGTTTCAATAATATTTATATTATTTATATACATATTTAGCGCAAAAATTTTTTGATAAAAGAGTGTTAAAAATGTAATTGTTTGAACATAAAAATTTTAATTATCAGTAAAAACCGTTTATTTGCTTTTAAATATACTGCTATATAAATATTAATAATTATATTGATATATAATTGTTTTATATAAAGTTTTTTTAATAATTAGTTTACAATTGGTTTGCTATGTTAATAGATTGTAATTGTAACTTACAAGTTAGTTATTTTAACTAACTAACTAAACGTAATATATTATAAAATATATATATTGTATATATGAAAATTATCAATAACTAACGAAAAAAAATTATTAAATGATAAATCATTACCAATATATATATACGGTATATATATTATGATGAATGCTATATTAATGTAAAACTAACAGCTGTGACTCAACTTAAAATTTATAAATGAAATGATAGTTTTTTGCTAAAGAAAATATATATAAAGTTTTTTTTTGTTGAAAAATAATCAATCAATCGAAATGTTAGACATTTGTTTTGCATTAAAATTTTTGTAAAAACCGTGCCATCAAATGATGAATCAATGGCCCGAACGGTCACCGCATTTGCATCACTTCCGGATCTGTCCGATGAAAGAAGCCATTAGACTGCGCTCATCCAGTCTGTCCAGTAGTTTCAGCTCCGATGACAGTAACTATTCCCGTATACCAGTGCTCAGTCAGTCGACATTATCGCTTCGTAGTTGTCATGTAAGTCTCGCCGACCATTGATTGCATACTATAATATAAATGTGTATTTGTGTGTACAGTATTGTTGTTAGCAATTTGTTTTTGTGATTCAATGCACACAACAGTTATAATAATATATTATTTTTTGTTTGCCATTAAAAAAATATGCATTAATTATGATCTACTACTGATATTATCACTATCAACCAACTCACACACACACATGTGTGTATCATTGATTTCCTTAACTTTTTGTTGTTTTTTTGAATGATATTTAATGTTGTGTTGTTTAGAGGTTTTGATGAACCTTATGGCAAGTTTATGTTTTTACCACACATTAATTGATTGTAGGTTTCACTTCAATACCATACTAAATGATTTATTATTGATACCCAGAGTTTTACTAATATGTGTATATTATCTGACTATTAGTTTTCAGTGGTATTATCTATTGTATATAAATTATATATAAACTATTTTTACTAAGAATTCCCCTACGAATAATGATATATATATAATATATAATGTCGACAATAAATATACTGTTTTTCCTCAAAAATTTAAATGTATTTTTAAAAAGACTCGAAGAATTGAAACCAAAAACTAATAGCTATTTAGTTGATTGCCATAAATCTAAATCACAGCTAAAAACGTTAGGAAACATTGTTTATTATATGATATTAGTAGTATTTTTCGAGTAAATTATTATATTTATATCGTATATATCTATGGCCTCACATGTTGTAAATTTTATGCGACATCTCTAATCATTTATAGTTAGTTTGATTATTTAAAAAACATTGATTGTAAAGATAATTACAATTAACAAAAAATAATAAATATTAAATTCAAAAACTGCAATTAGAGTTATGTGATTGAAATATATAATGTCATATTGTATTACTGATATATACCGTATAAATAAATAAATATATATATATATAATATATATTACTTTATGTACTGTATTTATTATGTAGATCAATTCTTAATTAATTTCAATCAAAATTTTATTTTTATGTTATCAAGTTTGACATTTTCCTGGCTATTATATTGATTAAGATATTAAATGATAAATAACAATCAAATAAAAAAAACCATATGACAATCGTTAAATTTAGTTTCTTATTTAATTATACTATTTATGTATTATTTTTTATATTTAATATAAAAATAAAATGCTTTTTCCTGAATATGACAGTATTATTATTAAATAAAAATAAATCTCATATATCATTGATATCATTTAGATAGTAGTTGTAAAATATGTGAACTGGAAAATAGTGCGGAAAAATACATTATTTGTTATTTTGTTTTAGTTTTCACTTTAAAATTGATTTCAAATTATAATATACTGTATTTATATTTACAGACAAATGTCTACATAATAATTGTTTAGTCTACAGAAAAACAAAACAAAATGTTTGGTATTTTTATTTTTAAACAGTCATATTACACTTGTTTTGCGTAAAACATTACTTAACCAATATTTTATATGTTTGTATAAACAGTACATATAAATTATTGTCAATATATATCTAATATATTATTTTTGTTATTTATGCTAATTCATTGTTATAAACATTGGTAATATTTTTTTGTAAATCATTGACTCGAGTGGTGATATTTAGGAAAAATGTTTGTTTTTTATAGTTATACTATAACTGTAGAAAGTGAATATTTTAAAAGTAAAATATTATTATTAAATTATTAGTAGTAGTAGTAATAGTAAAACAAACAAAATATTTTTATAAATAATATATTCTAATAAAAAACACAACACTTAAAAACACCCATTTATTTTAGATATTATCTTAAAATTATAAATCTAGAAAATTAAGTATTTATTAAGTATTTTAAAATCAAATATAATTTTAATAATGAGAGGTCCCATAATATGTACTATATATCGTGCTTATAATTTAAACATTAACTTAAATTTTTTATCATTAATACCAATCACAAGGCTTTATTTTATATATATATTGACTTAACTTTTATTTATAAACTCATTAAAAACAATTAAGATTTTTGAAGCAACTTTTGCTTTTTAATTTCTTAAAGCAAGTGTTTCAATATTGGATTTAAATTAGGATTTTTAAAAACTATTTGTTTTGACATTGAGTTTTTAGCATAAAATAAATTGTCTATTAATTAGTAATTCAATTGTTTATTCAAATTAGATGAGATTCATTAAAAATTTCTAATTTAAATTTTGGTATTTTATTTATTTAGATAAAATAATAATAAAAATTAGTGAATTTGTTTCACTGGAAAAATATAAGTCAACTGTTAATAAAATTCTGTACAAATTATTTATTATTTTTATTATATTAATTATATTGTTATGAAATGAAATAAATAACTCAATTTTTTTAGGGATAAAACAATTGCTTTAATGCTATTATAGACTATAATTTATAGTACTGACTATAATTTAATTATAATATATTAAATTGAAATAAATTTCATACTATTATTAGATTATTTCACACGAGAATTACTAATCTCTCTCTCCAGTAGTTTATGTATGCATTGAATAATTTCATAAATTATATATAAAAATAAAATAATTTCATTGAAATTAATTATTTAAATATTAAAATATTTTATGTACTATTTATATATTGTGATGTAAATTAATACTACTGTACAGTATATATATACGACACTTTAAATTAAGTGAAGTATATTTACTTAATTTTTATTGGATAATAGTTATGTGTAAATAATGAAACAATTATTTTACAAAATAAAAAATTTATAATTGCTTTAGATTTGCAAAACGTAATATTATAATAAATAAGGCATTTTATACAATATAAAAATTTTTATTTTATTATTTATACAGTATATATACTAAGCGCTTTATTAAGTATTTAATAATAATATTAGTTATTAAAGGTAATAATAATAATAATAATAATAAGCAGATATTTCATTAATTGGTATTTTTATAATTTAATAAATAAAACAAAATTGAGTTATTTGTTGATGTTTTTCAAAATCAATGTTATGCTTGGATTTTTCAAGTGTGACCTTAAGCTCTCTCCTACTTATTGTTTAATAAGTTTAAATAAAATTGCTATTAATTAAAGCTCGACAACAACAGCACCTGTATTTTTTGCTGTATATCCCAATCCTATTGCTATTGAATGTCATATTTTTACAATAAAAATGATTGCATTACTTGTACACCACTTGCAAAGCCTAGTATTATTAGCAACAACAACAACAAAGAGGCATATTTTGTTGTTGTTGAACAATCTTATGGTGTAATTATTTATTTAAATGATGCAAAAAAACTGATAGTTTTTGACTAAACTGGTCGCCCACACAATCATATCATCCCTTTTCCCTAAATCTTGTGTAGATTTTTCTATATATATAAACATATTTTATATATATTTATATTTATAAATATATCTATATTATCAATCACACAACCAAACTGGTTGTCATTAATTTTCTTGTTGTGTTTGTAGAAGTAGTAGTTATTGTTGTCTTAAAAAACAATTGTCTTTTTCTGAATAATCCACAAAATATCAGATATTTTTTTCGTTATTGTTTTCTCTCTATATATTCAATATATAGATATTTAAATTTATTGTCTATTGAATTATATATTGTGTTTTACTGTCAATACAAAAAACAGTTGTGTCAGTAGTCAAATGTGTGTTTTTTAGAAAAATAAATAAATAAATAAAAATCTATTCAAAGTATTAGTCACAGCGATTTGTTTGGTTTAATAAGATTTATTCACCACTTTATATAACGGTTTGGTTTACTATTATTATTATTGACTTAATGTAATTAACTTTGGTTTTTGAATGTAACGCTTTTGCACCGATAGCTCACAAATAGTATTTTTTTGTTTGTTTGTTAAACCGTATATTGAAAAAAGTCTTTAAACCATAACATTGTCGTCACTAAACAAATCCTAAAAACATTATTATTATTATTATTGACAGCAAAACGTGTGTTAAATTTATTGCAATCAATATTTGTAAATCTTAAGAAAACTGTGGTTTTAAAAGAATAAATAAGTCATGTATTCATCGCCGAAGTACAAGAATTCTAATACAAAAAGCAGTTCCAGTTATTCCTACAGTAAGAATAGCGGTACAGATCCAACAAGACGTACAGAATATTCTTCGAGTAGTTCAAAGAAACGCCAGTATAAGGAACCAATTGTTAGACAATATGGTTATTTCGATGAGATTAACGAAACTTATGACTCGCATTCAGCCATCGATGACAAGATAAACGAATCGATGAGTATGTTAGACAAACAGTACGAATCGTTTATTGATGATTCCGTGTCTGAAGATTCATTTAACAAGTATCGAGAAGATAACTATGAAGACAATTACAAAAACAAATATGAAGATAATTATAAAGACAAATATGATAACAGATATGAAGATAAATTTGATGACATATATGCTGATGAGGATGAAAGCAATATTGATAAATATGATAACATCTATAAAGATATTTATGAAGATAATTACGAAAGCAGTGGTAGTAATTACGACAAGAAATATGATATCGATAACTATGAGAACAAATTTAGCGGTAATTTTTGGGCCGACAAAAGCAACACTTACTTTGAGGACACAGATCGTCATTATTTGAAACCTAGTACTGACTACCGATCGTTAGCCAGTCTCAGTCCTCTGCCAACTACTAAAACCGAAAAGCGTGTCCATTACGATCTAAACAGTAGCGGTTCCTCCCGTTCCTATTCGCCAATATATCCAAGAGCTATGACTCCTTACGGCGATGATGGCGATAACTATATCATACACCCGTATCGTAGTAATACACCTCTAATATTGCACGAGAAAGTGGGCGCACCCTTTCATCATCTAACCACCGGTGGTGATGGTATATGGAGTTCAGTAAGTCTCCTATTTTTTAAAATGACTGAATGAATTGCTGAACTTATTATCTGTTTGTTAATTATCTCAATGATAATGAGTTGACATTAATTGACACATTAACTGATTAATAATTATTGACAATAACAACAACAAAAAAGATTAACGATTTTAACATTAATTGATTATTTAATAAGTAAATATTGAATTTTATATATATAATTTTTTTATTATTATTTCATTATATTTGACTGACACTAATTTTATAATCTGATTATTAAATTGACTAATTTATTATTGTTATGTTGTTTTTTTAATAAATTCAATACAATATGTCATGTTTTTTTTGTGGATAATTTAATCGCTTCAATAGTGTCCGGGTTTCTCACAATTAATGTCGATCTAATTGACTGTTTTTGTGGGCTATAGACAGCACGCAATATATATCTCAAGTTATTATTATTATTACCTATTATTACATATTATTACATATTATTACCTATTATTAATTGGTTATACAATTAACAAACCAACAACAAAAATGTGATAATAAATTGTCTTAACTGTGAATAGGATTTGACAGTTTATTATATTATATTATATATAAAGTTAATAAATTTTTATACATATGACACGCTTTCGTTATTTTGAAATGCCTGTAGTATTTAATTAAAAACAGTTAATAAACTGCTAATAAACACCAATAATATCTTATATACTATTTGGTGTTTTGGTGTGACAATTGAGTCTAAAAAATATTTATTTTTATTTATACCTGTATTTCTCTATTCAGTATATTTATATATATATATTATTTATAATTTATAACTAACAATAAATTATGCGATATATTTATAGACCTAATACTGGTTATTATAAATACAGTACTGTTTATACCAAATGATTAATTATATTTAATTTTTTGTTTCTTTGAAAAAAGTGTCCACAATATGACAAACGGTATTTTTATTAACACAACTATATGTATGAAACTGTTTCATATTTAATATATATATATATATATATATAATTTATATATATTATCGCCTAATTGTATGGCACAACAAAACCCCTTTTAGTATATATTTTTATATATATATATATATCTTTAGACAGTAGTGTTAGTGTAACGCCTGAATTCCCCATACAATTGTCTAGTTTTTGTTGTTGTTATATAATATAATAGATTTGTCTCTAATTTTATCTCCCATAACATTTTTGCACACAATAACTTTTACAATATATATATATATACTGTATATGCATATATTGTACTACAATATAATGTATATATTGTATGCACAGATGGTCTCTCCAAAAAAAGTAATCGCAAAAAAATCAAAGTTAATCAGCAAATGTGTGCATAAATATTGCAATCAAAAAGAGTTACTTGTATTAGTATAGTGTAACACAAAATATGAAATTAAGTTCAAAAATATGCCGATGCCGTGGAAATGTATGTAATTTTTTGTGGATTATGTTTTATTTTTATTTTTTTATGTTAAATAAATGATAAATATATAAACATTTTTTTTAATTTATCGGGACTTTTAAAAATTGATTTAAAAAACCTAATCCCAGTGTTGTCTCCTTTGTTTCCACACACCTGTCCTTGAATAGTGTATTTCCATTTAATAAAACTACCCATCCTTTTAGTATTGAATTATTATATAATGTGTTTTTATTTTCTAAAATAAATGTGTATAACTCTAAACCTTGACAATCGCCTACACTAAATGTATTTTTGAATTAATATCATATATTTAATTCAACTTAATTATTATATTTTGTAACTCAAAATAATACTAATTATAATAATAATAATAAATAAAATAATTAATTGTTTAAATTGTTTGCATTGTAAAGCACGGCCCAAACTCATCCTACAGAAGCACTCTATCATCTGACAGCTCTGATTTGACAACCCGTAAACCACAGTTTGTTCCAATCACCCGATTGGACGACGTCCAGGCCATACGGACTGCCGAATTTCATCCGAATGGACAGCTTTACGCCATTGGATCGAATTCTAAGACATTGCGAATATGCGAATACCCGAAAGCACACGAACTACGAGCTCTGAAGTATGTATTGATTGTTAATATTTTTTTAAAAAACATATGTTTGCAAAATAAACAAACAGACAGTTAATCAATTGTTTTGCACGACTAGAGAGGAGCACATCCCTCGCCCACCAAATGTCATCACAAAACGTTCAAAGCATCACAAGGGAAGCATTTATTGGTTTGTATTTTATTTTTTTAATTAATTAATTGAATTATTTGTTTTGTTTAATTAATTGGTTTTTGTTTTTGGTTTTTTATCAATAATTAATAACATGTAGTCTGGCCTGGAATGCAACGGGCGATCTATTGGCCACCGGTTCCAATGATAAGAGCATCAAAATGATGAGATTTGATCCGTCGACTAACGAATTGGTTGGTGGAGAAGCTGAGCTAACGATGCACGACGGGACAGTTAGGGACATGTGCTTCATGGAGGACATGACCAATCATTCAAGTTTATTGATATCCGGTGGTGCCGGCGATTGCAAAATATATATAACCGATTGCGAAACGATGACACCATTCCAGGCACTCACTGGCCATTCAGGTATGAAATTTATCAACAAAAACAAAAAGGATTATTACTCATCAAACATATTGGTTGCGTACCCCCACTCTCTCTCTCTCTCTCTCTCTCTCTGTCCAGGAAATATCCTGTCGCTGTATACATGGGGTGGTGCTATGTTTGTTAGTGGATCTCAAGACAGGACCATACGATTCTGGGATCTAAGAACCAGAGGATGTGTTAACCTAATTACAGCACCGCCTGCAACGGGCAAAGGGCCGGGTATTTAAAAAAAATTGGGATAAATTGATTTGAAATATATAATGATTTATATCTATATTATAAATATATAGGAAGTGCTGTGGCAGCTGTTTGCGTTGATCCGTCCGGTAAGCTATTAGTTTCGGGACACGAAGACTCCAATTGTATGCTATACGACATACGAGGGGGTCGTATAATACAGACATTCCAACCGCATTCCTCTGACATCCGAACCATACGATTCTCAAACAAAGCCTACTATCTGTTGACCGGCGGCTACGACAACAAAATCGTTTTGACTGACCTACAGGGCGACCTCACACAGCCGTTGCCCAGTATTGTTGTGGCCGAACATTCCGATAAAGTGATTCAGGGCCGATGGCATCCATATGACTTCACATTCCTGACTACCAGTGCCGATAAATCGGCCACTCTATGGGCACTACCACAATAATGATAACACTATTTGACTTAACACTTACACTGATGATATTATTATTATTATTATAACAGTATATAATTGTTTTGAAAGTTTATATACATTTTTGAAAATTTTGAAAAGTTTAAAATGTATTTTGTTATATATTTTTAAAAAATGTGTCAAAAAAATTTAAGCTAACATTAATGTGATCACTAGTTGTTGTATACTTAAAGCAAAAAAAGAAAAAAACTGTTTATTTTTTCTCAATTGTTCACAAATTTACTGGTAATTAATTTATTTGTAATATTTTAATGATCAAAGTTATAATATGTTTTTTCTCACTATAATATATATTAATATTTGTTAATAATAATTATCGATAATATAGAGTATATTATTAATATTATTAATTTTTTTTTTGATGAGCAATGAATTATAAATCATACATTTTATTAATTGACAACAAAAAACCACACATTTTAGAAGTGTTTCTATTAATATGTGTATTAACTAACTTTTTTTTAAAAATATTTTTTGTTGAAAGAAAAGTATATTCATATATATTTTTAATCACATGTTGTTGTGTCTATTAACTATTATATTTTTAAATAATAAAAAATAAATAAATAATTTTTTTTGATAAGTTATTTTTAACAAATTTAAATTATTTGACGCCCAAAAATAAAATTAAAAAATTACGATTTGAGAGAAAATACATTAATTTTAAAAATTCAGAGATTATAAAACTATGGGAGTGTCCGACTAACATACCGGTACCTCTTCGTGGACGCGAGAGAGAGAGAGAGAGAGAGCAGTCATCAATGCCACCCACCTGTCCTCATCATTATCAGACATGTCTAACAATTAAATAAATTATTATACAATCTATTACATACACAATACAAAGGTATAAAATAGAAAATATAATAATAATAATCTATAGCTATTAAAATATGTTTGATAGCTATACTGTATATCTAAATAATCATCATAATTTATAACTGTGGAAAATATCAATAAAATAAAATTATTAAATATAAATCCTATAATTTATTGTATTATGATTCATGTATATAAATGTTTATAATTATTTTGTTTTATCTAATTAAAGTTTTTAGAAAATAAAAATAAAAGTTAATAACTGAATAAACTCGACGATAGCTACTGTTTGATAATCATCATTGATAAAGATTTTCCTATTTATTATCTATAATTTACAATCAATAATAATAATTATTATTATTATTAAATAATTAAAAATATTTTAGAAAATAAGACTTTAACTACAGTTATAAAAACAAAACAAATAAAACAAAAATTTCAATATTTTCTGTCCCATCGATTGTCTTGATTTTACGGGCTGTTAAAACCATTAATTTATATTAACTATTATAATAGTTAGTTATATTTGATGAAAGATAAGTTATACTATATATCTCCTATCACTACACCAACCCTAACCCTAAACAGTACACCACTTCCTAATCCTGACCTAACAGTGCGTGAAATCACAGATATCGGTAATTTATATTGAAATTACAAAAAAGCGACCAAATATATGTACCAAAGTATCAATTTTGTTATTTAAAAAATGATTGCACGTAAATGCATGTGAATGCACGCGCTTTAAAAAAAAAACTAAAAATCTCGATAACATTGAAAATCTACCTGTAATTCAAATTTTATTGTAACAATTTCTATACATATTTTTTGCGGAGATAATTGTTTTGTTATTTATTCAATTATTTGTTATAAAAACGACAATAACTTTGATTTTTTTAAAGAAAATAGTTTTTGAATAATAATAATAATATCAATCACTTTAACCAAACAGACAAAGATATCGGACATCACATGAATGACACACACATTGAGACACTAACCTATGTTTGGTTCAATCTGTACGGCGCTATCCTATCGATGTGTGACATAATTTTGGCCATATTTGGTGCCCTTTTGATGATCATATCTGTGGTTAACGATTCCAACAGCGACATCATCAGCGATATCAACTACTACTACCATTTTGGTGAAGACTATAGATTTTTTGTTTCTGTTTATTAAGTTATTAATTGTATTTTTTGCGGCCAAACTTTATTTTATCGGCTGACCCACACCAGGTATGAACTACGCGGCAATATTGCTATTTGTGGCCTCATATTCCGGGTTTACCGGTTTTATCGAAGAATCTGTAAATAAGTTGATATTGAGTCCATCGTTGATGATATGCGTTACAGTTATACTATGCAAACTGATGGCAATCAACTACATATACGGCAACCAATTGTCCCATTTGGTCAACTCGTTCGCCGAACTATCGTTCGAAGAGTATATGTCGGACAAGTCGAACCCGGACTATCAGTTCGGTGTACGGGAAGTGATGCGCGCCTACAAGTGTTGCGGTTGGGATAAACACTCCATAAATGAACTAAAGTTTGGCCGAAACCTGTCTCTACTGCCGTGTGAGTGCTGCCGAAGCAATCAAAATAGTCGTCAATTTGACTACGAATTGTGTACTTCTGTTGAATTGCTGCTCAAAACAGACAACCAAAGTGTTTATCAAAATACTACCAAATTTGCGGCATTGTGTCCATCAACACATCAGCCGCCGGCCATCCGATTCTGTTCCCAAGTGTTGAATACTGCACTCAGTGATGATCTTAAATGGCAAATGGGTTTCTTTATGACTACATTCATGCTTTCAATACTATCTATTGTCTTATCATTTAGACTGTCCTATGATTTGGTAGCTATTGATATCCAAAAATAACTTAATAATAATACAATAATAATCTAAATCTACAGTATTGTCGTCTAAGTCATAAATTTATATATTATTTTTTGTTTTTTAAATTTCTAATTTCTATTGTAAACATTTTAAACTGATTATATATAGTATTAATAGTAATAATAATAATAAATTGATATAATATATGATATAAGAGTAAAATATTATTTATAGTTTAATTGAAACCCAAAATTTATCTGAAAGTTTGAGTTAAATTATTATTACTTTTTTAAAGTTAAATTAAGTCCCTTTAGTTTGGACCGATCTTGTGGTCACCGACTGGTCAGACAAGTCCGTGAAATAATTGAATATATTATTTAAACAAAAAAAAAGAAAATTAAAGAAAAAAAATTATTTTATTATATTTTTTGTCGCAAATTATTGAAAAATTACTGAAAATTTTGTTTAAATAGCAAAACAAGTGATGAAATGCATTGACGTATTCACTGTTGTATTGAATGAATGCAATGACAACACAAACACATGACTTGTTTTGTCTGTCATTGAATTGTTTGGGTTTTTGTCGTCAAAACAAATGCCAAACAAAGTTTTGAACGTAAATATCGGTCTCTTAGGACATGTGGACAGCGGTAAGACATCGCTGGCCAAAGCCCTGTCCACAACACAGTCGACCTCTTGCTATGATAAGAGTCCGCAGAGTCGCGACAGAGGAATAACCATTGATTTGGGTTTTTCTTCGCTGTCCATACAGTGTCCGCAAAGATTGTTTGAAGACATGCGACGACACCGACAACAGTCGGCCGAAGAGTTGGGCGACCAAAACGATTGGTCATTGCAATTGACATTTGTTGATAGTCCGGGACATTCGTCGCTGATTAAGACGATTATCGGCGGCGCACAGATCATCGACATTATGATTCTGGTGGTCGACATCTGCAAAGGTGTCCAAACACAGACTGCCGAGTGTTTGGTCATCGGAGAGATTACATGCGATAAGATGATTGTCGTATTGAACAAAGTGGATCTCATCCCCGATGATAACAAACGAAACATTGCCATCGATAAGATGACCAAAAGAATCCGCAAAACATTGGAAAAGACGAGATTCAGTTCGGCACCGATTGTGGCGGTCAGCGCACATCCGACCGATCAAAATGATAACAAAACGACCAATAATTTAGGCACTAGTGATGTCGTTAACAGTATCGGTATTCAACACTTGTTGGACACCATATGTATGGAAATATCGCTTCCAAAGCGCAGTCCCGATGGCGAGTTGATTTTATCGGTTGATCACTGCTTCCAGATTCGCGGTTCGGGAACTATTATGACCGGTACTATAATTCAGGGGTCAATTTCGGTAAATGATGTAAGTGTTTGAATCAATTGATAACTTTACAAAAAACAAATCAAAAATAATTATCATATCTTAATCTCTGAACTGAAGAATTTAGAGATTCCTTCGGTGAAAACCATCAAAAAAGTCAAATCAATGCAAATGTTTCACCAGAAGATCGATAGAGCCATTCAAGGAGACAGAGTTGGCGTCTGTATCACTCAGTTTGATCCGAAATTATTGGAGAGAGGAGTGGTTTGTTCGCCCGGTTTTATGATACTTGTCTACGGAATGGTAGCTAATGTTCATCGAATTGCTTACTTCAAGGGAAAGTATACGACAAAAGCCAAGTTTCACATTACTATTCTTCACGAAACAGTTATCGCAAAAACCACTTTCTTTAAGAAGACTATTATTGATGACAACAATACAGATAATTGCAATCAAAATAAAAGCGATGAATCATTTGATATGAATTGTGAATACAGTTATGTCGATGAACTAAATGATGAGATACAGGATAATCAATATTATGTGTTAATAGAGTTTGAGCGACCAATTATCCTAAATACCGGTGCCCTATATATTGCATCAAAACTTGATTCCGATATCAATGCCAATGTCTGTAGACTTGCCTTCTATGGTAATGTTTTGAAACTATTCGGTGATAAAAATTATGTTGAAAACGATTTGAAGAATTTAAAGATTTTCAAAATCAAACAAAAAGATGGTTCAGTCGACAGAATTACCAATGAATACGAAGTTATTGTCAAAAATTTGTTGAAACGCGAGACAAATGTCCAGAATTTTGTCGGTCTTCGTGTTAAGTTGAGTACCGGTGACCAGGGTATCATCGATGGATGTTTTGGTAAAAGTGGTAAAATCAAAGTCCGTTTAAACGATACTATCAAAGATAAGTCATTGATTACAACAACTAATACATCTAAGTCTAAGCGCAATACAGACAATGAAAACAGTGATACAAACAATAGTACAAATCAGACACAGATTAGAGTTTTATTAGAATTTAAGCGATATATTTACGATCCAAATAAGAAAATGATACAAAATTAATGAATAAATTATTATGTAATTAAATATATATTATAATATATAACATATTAATAATAATAATCTATGCAATAATTAGTGACAAAACAAAACATTGAATGATTAATAAATTAAATAATTTTCGATACATTTATAATGGATAATATAATGGGAAACAAATTGTTTGTTTTTAAAAAAAAAACATTATAGCTTAAATCATTTACTGAGACAATAATTATATATTAATTACATTAAAAATGTTGTTGAATTTTTTTGTTTGTTTGTTTCACATTATTATTTTTTTATAAAGCAATATATAATACATGTATATTTAATTAACATGATTTTTGTTTATAACGACAATCAATTGAGCAGTGACAATTAATAATTCAAACACACATATATTTATAGATAAAATCAATTTAAATATTTTTTAAAAATTAATAAATACTGTTATTAATAACCGGGGTTTTTTCAATAAAACAGATAATAAAAAGGCACCGAATTATATATATATTAATAATTAATAGATAACTTTCAGCAAAAATTGTTCGTTCAATTTTTCATAATAATTCAAAATTATTTTTTTTTATATATAATAATAATAAGTATAATTTAAAGCTTAACAATAATAGTATACATGTTTGATATATACTGGTAAATATCACATCAAATAATACTGATTATTATTATTATTACATGTATAGTACTTATATGCAATGTAAACGTAATAATTATTGTATTAATAGAAATTTGTGTGATATCGTTATTAATTTTTTTATAATACATAATTATAATATATCAAAATAAATGCTAAAAAATTTTTTGGTGTAAATATCAATTGGTGATAAAACTACTTAATGAATGTTAATGATTATATATTGTTTTTTGTGAAAAAAGTTATGATGAGTTATTTTTTTCATATGTTTGTTTCAATTTTTTAAAAATCAAAACAAAATCAAACAATAGTATGTATTTGTCGTGCTTTCCTAACAAGTATAGCCAAACTGGTCAAATTGGATCCCGGTTTCGATAGTTCCCATATTTTCAGTCCAATCTTATTATAATCTATTTTGTCCTCAAATATGTTACCGCAATTAGTAAATTCGGATCTATAAACTATTTTTATTAAATATGAGATATAAAAATTTCAATTTAATTTCAATTTAGACTATAATTTATATGATTATTATTAAAGGCAACACTTACTTAAAGTGCCATTAATATAGAGACAATTGGCGGCTGAGTTTTCAGGAACCGTTAGTGTATGATATCTATGAGTGGCTTCGCGTACTATTCTCTATTAAAATAATAATTTATTTTTTATTAAATTAAATAACAAAAGATTGCTTTATTTATTATTATTATTTTTTAAATAAATGATTGAATCTATCGATGACTCACTCTTAAAATTTCTTGTGATTCTTGCGATGCGCTGACACATAATATATCATTTCCTGCCATTGATAAACATGACTTGAGATGCAATAGTTTATTGGGAATTCTGATGGGAGTCACCGGATATTCGGGAAAAGCTGCCGCCACTGCCCGGGCACCCGACTCGTTGGTTCTCTGGGATAGCCCCACAAATATTTCACGCCCTTTTCGTGTTATAAAAAAAAATAATCAGATTTTAATAAAATATATGAAATAAAAATCAAATAATAATTAAACAATATATATATACCCGTAAAGAGTACATCTCCGCCATCGATAGTGGCTTTCGGGTCCGCGATCTCAACAACAGGAAGTTTAAGCTCTTTCTTAATAATAGCTCGAATTGTGTCCACCTTTTTATTCAATGATAATTAGCAATCAATAAATTATTTTACTATTTATAAGTTTTGTCTAAATAATAATAATAATAATAATAATAATAATAATAATAATAATAATAATAATAATAATAATATACCTTTACTGTACAACAGTAACTATGGTATACATGTAACATAAATATATATAATAATATTTAACGATAATTATACTATTTTTATTTATAAACAATTAACATTTCAAAGAAATATACGGTACATATATTTTATTTTATTATTTTTTAATTACTTTAAATACTGTATGTAATTTATACTGTATATATTAGTATATATTAATAATTAATATAAAAAACATTATTTTATACACCCAATTTAGTTTTATAGGTGTTATTTTTGAATAGTTCATGTTAAATTATAAATAATTAAATATAATGCTTATGTTTAAAAAATCAATATATATTCATATATTTATTATAATAAATACAGTATAGTATACAATACAGTGTATAATCTTAACTAATAAAACCTTAAATATTACAACTCAAATAAATTGCAACATATCTCCCCATATAATTAAAATCAATACTAATTTATCATAATTATGATATTATTTAATAATGTTTACATAATTTAGTTATACAAACAATTTATTGCTAAATATGTTAAACATTTCCCATAATTGACTTTATTTTGTTTTTCTCTTTTAATATCAGTCTAACTATAACTTTTTGAGACAATTTGGTACAACTAGTGATAAATAATAAATATATGCTTTTAGTTGTTTGTTTGGGCGATAAAAATAAATATCTATTTTATTATATTAGTACTCTAACTATAAAATACCGTATAAGTTATATCAATGTAAACGGAAACATCTATTTATTAAATAAAAACTTTAGTTTAATAGGTGTTTGACTAAATAGATAGACTCTATTAGTAATAAGTTATTATCAAACAAACAAAAAATACTTTTAATATATCGCTTTGGAAACTAAACCTACATTTCATGCCAACAGTTGATAATAAATACAATTTTATAGCTAAACAAAATTATGGCAATTATGACAAATAAAATTTATGTTATTATTAAATCTATAGTTATTTTAAATCTATGCAATTTTTGCAACACTTTCTACCAAATGAATAGCTAACTAATGAATCATAAGTCTCGTGTAATAAAATTTTTTTTGGGATATAACTTGTCTTACATATATTAATGTAATATTAATATCAATTGTTAAGCTATTTAATGATGACAAGACTAATGTCATAAATAATAATCAAATTACTACTAATAATAATGAAAATTTAAATTTATATACAATTTATTATTTTTGAAATATACAAAAACATGATTTATTACTGTAATTGAATAAGAATTGAAATTAAAAAAACACATTAAGCTTTTGGACACAATCTTATAGATTAGACAAACAAACAAACAAATGAAAAAAACAGATATTTAGTTACCTCTTTAACCCGAGAGGGATGACCAGGTCTGCAGATTAGCGCCACTCCTATCACAACAAAAAGAGAGAGAGAGAAAGATATCAACAGTTAGGTCTTCAATTGATGACAACTTTCGATGGATCAAACAAACAAATTGTCTGACTTGGATGACTTACCATTGATGACGACAGCCGTGTCGTCGACAAACGGCGATTCGGGAAACGTCTCGTCCTGTGGCAGTTCAATGACATCCAAACCAAGAGATCGTAATACTTTGCAGTACTGTTCGTGCTCTCGACGGGCCTCATCAACATTGATCATCCCGTTGTCACTCGTGGGCATACATTTGACAAAAGAGTTGGGTATACGCGACACTATGGCATGAGAGTAGCGGCCAAATGCCGGCACCGATGACATCGCGTTTGTGAGTGCGGGGGAACTCAACTGTCGGACTGACTGACTGACTGTCGGAACACTTTTAACTGTCACTTCTTTTAAGAAAAAAAACCGATCGCTTCCTCTTCATCAACACATCTGATCTCTTCGATGTCGACAATCCTCTGATTTCTTATAAACCGATGGTTTCCTCTCTCTCTCTTTCTTTCCTTCACTCTATTGATGTGTTTGAATGTTAGACACAATTATTATTTGTGTCATTCATTTGTTGCCTTCAAATAAACAACAGTCAAAAAAATCAAATGCAATACACTGTGTATTACAAACTCAATACACAATACATATACACAACACATAAACAGGGATTTCAATTGACAGTCAAAAATTGGTTACACTTTTCACTCCTCAAAAAGTAATGGCTTTTTATACTGTAATATAAAAGTACAGTAAAAATAAAGTTAACAAACAGTCAATTCATTCATCAAATACTGTATTAATATAATTGAATGTATTTTATAAACCTATTGGACATACAATTCACAAATAGTGTGACGTTTTTCTGCAGCAATACTATTGAATTGAATACAAAAACAATACAAAAGTCTTAACACTTCTTCATTCGTTGAGCACATGTGTTGTTGTGATTTGTTTGTTGACCGAAGAGGATTGGATCAGTTTGTTTGCTTTAGTTACCATCGGTTTTCTGATTATCAACAATGACATCAACGGCTGCACTGTTGGAAGGATTGCAGAAACAATTATCCGATGAGATCAACAAGTTTGGTGTACTCCAGAAGTCCTATCAGAAGACATTACATTTGAGACAACAATTAGATTCACAGCTCAATGAAAACAATATCGTCAAAGAGGTTAGTAGTGGTTGATGTCAGAGTTACCATATATTATTGATGATAATTAATATGTTGTTGTTGTTAATGTCTAATAGGAAATGGATCTCTTAGAAGACGACGCCAAGACCTACAAACTGGTGGGACCTTTGCTTCAGCGAATCGATCTCAAAGAAGCCAAAGACAATGTCAACTCTAGGATCAAATATATTTCTGAAGAGATGTAATAATAATAATCAATTTTAGCTCTAAATATTGATTTATTATTTTTTTTTTTGATTATTAATCTGTTGTTTGTTTTTATTGGACAACTTTATCAGTAAAAGACACGACAAACAAATTGCCGATTTATCACAACAACAGGACCAACAACGAGAAGTGGTAACAAAATTGCAGCAACAGTTGCAACAGTTCCAGATGAAGGCTACCACTGCAGCCAAATAAGTGCAGACAAATTGATTGATTAATTAATTTAGGATTTCAAACGTTTTTATATAAAAAACAAATCATTTATTATTTTTTGATTTTAATTATTATTGCATTAAAAACACAGTTTTTTATAACATTTCTTATAAATATATATATGAATAATGAATTGATTTGATTTTGATTGTTTGGTGATTATGATTAAGATAATAATAATAATTACCGTAATATACTGTACAATATATGTTATAAATTAATTTATAATAAATTATTATTATAATTGGATTACAATTATTGAAGAAGATATACGTTAAAGAGTTAGTTTGTGGCAAAATTCAATGCCAATTGAGGTATTTATTACATTTAATAGTAATTTTAAAAAATATAAATTAAGATAATTGTTATATTAAGTAAAAACCGGGGTTTAGATTATATAATTACAATAACTTAAATTAAATAATTATTAAATTTTTTTACAATAAGTTTGTTGTTGTATTTGTCGACGAAAGTTGATGAATAAAGTCTTATAAAAGTTTATCGTTAATTACATGAAAGTTGTGTCGTCGGTATCCGTCTTAACCTTATTGATGGTCTGTGTCCTCGACTGAAACAATTCGCGAATTAGTGCCGACTTTTCCCGTTCTAATTGTGTAATTCGTTCGCACTTTTTGCTGACCTCATCGGTAAGCAATCGATTCTGATCTCGGAGTCGATTGACAACATTGGGATTAACAACAAACTGTTGCTGTCGATTGGGATCATTATATCGGCCATTAATAGTCATCTGTGCACTAATTGGACGAATAGCCAGATTCATGTGTATTGGAAATCCTCTTTCATTGTCGTAAAGTGTCGATAAGTGTTGATTAATATTCATGATTCTTGCGGCCTGAAAGTTGATCCGCTCCTGATAGGCATCCAGTGTATAGTCGGCCGGATGTGTACCAACTTTGGTCACATAGCTGATCTTGTCCTGGATGATTGCAATTTGCCTCAGATACCAGTCCCTGGCCCTATCGATACCTTCCAAACCCTGAAAGAAGATACTCCTTTCCTGTTCCAACTGTTGAATACGTCTTATCTGAAGATTAAATGATATTTTTTTTAATTAGTAATTACAATGAATGACAAATTTGTAAAACAAAATTATTTACTGAATTGAAATCAATTCCATTTGATCCAACCGTATGCCTTCTTGGTTCTCGTCGTTTATTAGCTGCCCTTCTCATTGCCGGTCCATTTGGCTGAATATTCTGCGGCGGAGGTAGAAATGGTACCAATTGTTGATATTTATTGCTGCGAGGAGTGTCTGAGGCACCGTTGTTGGCACCATTAGCTGGCAATATATTATCTTTATTGCTGCCACCAGAACCCGAACCCGAACTCAATCTTTCCAATTCCAGTACTTGTTTACCCAACATATTCTCCTTCCAGTTCTGCAATGTCTTCATAATACAACTTTTGGACAATGCTTTTACCGATTGAATTGGCGAACGAATCTGACGATTCTTGGCATTATTCTGACCATTGATTACATTGACATCTCTTTGGACAAGTTTGGCATCACTTTTAATATTGCGAATTTCACCATTTGTCCCACAATTTATACCACCATTTGAATCACCATTTGTTTTGATCATCAACTGAGGCATACTTTTAGCTCTCTGGTAGTTAGTAGTGGATGAGCTATCGGAACTATTATAATCACTGTTTGCACCATTTTTATTATGCAAAACATGTGGTGGAGGTTGTTGTGGAGGAACAGGTGTTACGGAAGCCGTTGGCTTTTTCTGATGCACTGTCTCTGGTAGTGTATTGGAGGCAGATGTCTGTATTGATTTCATTGAATTATAAGACAGAGGTATTGGTTTTGCTAGAAGGGCTGGAGATGTTTGATGAGGAGGTACTGGAGGAGGTGGAAGTGCAGGCAGTGTTGGTGTTACTGATTCGGTCGATCCGGGACTGGGAAGCAATGGTGGCGGAGGAGCCAAAGGCAGTGCAGGTGGTGGTGGTGTTGGCGACAGTGTTGTAATACCATTATTGTTATCATCATTACTGCTGAAGTCGACTTGATTTTTAAGTAGACATAACTTGATTCCGGCACAAAAACGGTCAAATGTTAACAGACCGTTAGGTAGTGTCACTTTGGATAGACAATTGATAAGTCCTTTCGGGAACAGTGGATCCGAGTCGTCTTCTTCCCATTGGGTGGCTATGTCTGCATACCGAACATAACCCATACCATTGCTGTCCATTACATCAAACAATTCATGCAATGCATTAACAAATTGTTTGGACATTCCGTAGATGAATGGGTTTTCTTCGCTAACTTCAGGCATATCTATCGTATTCATAGTTTTCTTCTAAAATCAGTTTTTAAAGTGATATTTAAAGATATTTTTTAAATAACAATTTCAATGCATTATTTAAATAGCGTGTAGTCATCAAAAATAAATTGATTACTTGTTGGCAACATTTGAGAGCAGAGAGAAGTTATTTAAAAAAAGTTTATTCACATATTTATCCAATAATAATAATAATTAATAGTTAGACTAATTTTAAGTTGTTATATAACTATGTATTAAATGCACATTATATCATATCATCACTAGTCATTGGTGTATATATATATATACAGGTATTTATATAGTGATACACAAAAATCTGTTAGGATTTTAAAAATATATGAGAAAAAAATTTGAAAATTTTTAAGGAAAAGTCTGAAAACACTACAACACATAAACTGGAATATCAGTATTGGTTTTTGGTTTGGTTTGCAATACAGGTGCAGGTATTGGCTTATGTGGCCCTTCTCTCTCTCTCTCTCTCTCTATCTCTCTCTCCATATACTTATATATACAGTACAGTAACTAATATACAACTTCTGGTGAGTCTCGTTCACTGACTTTGCTCTGGAGAACAAAGATATACTTCTCCACCAATTGGGTAGTACGTGGTGTTGGGTTGGGTGCACACAACTGCACACACATATATATACAGCAAGTTTTTGGGTAAAGCATAATCTGCCAGTTGTTTAAATGGGTCACTACTTCTTCTTGACACTAGTTCTTTAACCACAGCACACACACCACTACTTACAGATTTCATCAATGGTTTTTCACTCTCACTCTAAGAGCGAGAAGAAGAAAACAATGTATTTATAGTTTTCATAAAAGCAATCTCTCTCTCTATATATATACAGTATATATAAGTGTTAGATTGTATATAACTTTTTATACATTTTTTTATATCATATATAATCTAATGGATGGATAGTAGAAAAAACAAGTTTTCCCATAAGGTATTAAACAATATATATATATACTGGATCTGATTTAACAATACATTTAGATAGAAATAAAGAAAGAGAGAGAGAGAGAGAGAAAGAAAGAAAGAGAGAGAGAGAGCGGATCTTCTATAAAAAAAGATGATTGCATTCAACCAAATCTTTTTGGAGCCAATGTTGTGGAAAATAATACATTGCTATCAATAGGACTGTTGTGATATCAGACAAGTCATGTCAACTTTCATGACAATTATCTGTCATTTTGGTCTCATTTTTCATTTTTTAGTTGACGACAATTATTATTATTATTTTATATTCACAAGTTGTGAATCACAACAATAATTGTTTATTTAATTGGAAACTCTTGTCTCTCTCTCTCCTCCAGTAAATTATTTCATAAAAACCAACAAAGATATGATAATTTGCTATATTTGTTGTTAGATTTATTAAACTATTACTATATATAAATTTATATAATGTATAATGACTTTAATGATTAATAATATGTTGACTAATGATAAATTGCTTAATATGAATAATAATACTAAGTTTTATTTACTTTAAATTAAAATTAACCTAATATTGTTGAAACTTATTCAACTTTTTATGGTTATCCAATATTATATAAGGATTTTTCATTAACATATTAATAATAATATAAACTTTTACTCTATAAAAGCTATTATGGGTTGACTATTAAATATTACTAAACTTTATTTGTTTAAATCATTTATTAAAACATTGAAACTAATCATTCATTATTATATATGTAGGTTAATAGAGTTAAGTTGTATTGTGTAATCAATAAATACTAGAATTTTAGTAAATTTTTTTAGTGTATATAAAGTTTAATACATTATTTATATAAAATATTTAAATATATTAAAGTATTAATTTCAAAAAATAATTTAAATATTTTAAATTGTTTTAAATTCTAAAAAATAATATAGTTTAAATTTTACATGCTAGTTAGTTAATTATATTAAATTATAATATAAAAATAATATTAATTTATTTAATTTTATTCAATAAAATTTAATGTAAACTTTTTTTGAAAATTTCGTTTTTGTTATTTAATATTTTTGTTTATTTGTTTCTTATATTATTATTATAACGACTTAGAGAAATATACAAATATTTATATATTAAAATTTAAGCTTAGGGTGCATTAATAATAATTTTTTTGAATTAAAATGATTTATTTTTTTGAAAAATTCAAACAATTTTTTTCAACAATTTACTATTTTATTCACGTATGAAATTTCAATGTCAATGTTTCTAAAAAAATATATTTATATATATTTATGACAAGCAATCGTAGTATTATATATTCAAAATACTGTTTTATTTAAAAAACATTTGTGAAATATTTTGATTTTATTATTTGTCATTTATAAAAATGTTGTTTAATTTATTTATAGACTATATATAAATATTTGTGACTAACAATGATTTTGTGTCATTTATTTAGGACAGTTATAAATTATAACTTATAATCATTAAAAATTTATTTATTTATTTTTTTGTAAACAAAATAAATTGAATAACAATTTATTTAAAAAATAGTTTAATCTTATGTTTCGCACGTTTCAAGTATTTATTTGAATATTATCTAAATTGTTTTAAAAAATTATTAAAAGCAATTACAGTGATAGTTGTTTAGTTAAATTTATTAACTATATATTAATCAGCAAATTGATTGATTAATTATTATAAATGCTAATAATCTTATTATTAAATAAAAACTTTTTCATTTTTTAAAAATTGTATCAAAAAATTTGTTTATTGTTTTATTATAAAACAATTTTTTTTATTGCTAACTTTGAACTCAATAAACTTGATAAACTACAAGTATTAAATATAAATTAATTTGACATATAATATATTAACTAAATAATCTTTTTAAAAAAAATGTTTTTTAGTAATTAGTAAAAATTGATTTAAATATTACTACTTAAAAATAAATTAGCAATTAAATTAAATGTAATGATTTAAATGTTAAATAATAGTCAATTAGAAATTAATTTGTTTTTTTATTGTTATTTAAAGTAAATTATTTTGTTTAATCACTTATTTTCAAATCAAATTCAACAGGTTTTTCAATATTTCATAATATTAATAGTTTAAAAATATAATTTATTTTTAAAAATCAATTTAACGATTAGAAAATATAATTTGAAAGATAATTTTAATATAAAAATTATTTGTTTAAATGCCTTTAGATTTTTAAAAATAATTAGCTAAACATACAAATGATTTAACTTTTATAAAAAAATAGTTTTATAAATAAAATAGAAATTATAGTAAAAACAAAATATATATTCATTTAAATTACTTATTAAAAAATTAATTAAATGAAAGCATAGTTTACTTAAATACTTTAATTTCATACACAAAAAAAACTAATATGTGATAAAATTTGTTAATTAATTGCATATAATATATGTAACCTGGGTCATATAATAATTAATATATCAGAATAAAGTTTTTAAAACAAATTTTTTAAAAATTATATTCAATAAAAATATTCAAAATTAGTAAACTTTTTATTTTTTTATACAATAAATCAAATAAATGAATAGATTTTATATATAATTTATGACATTATTTATGTAATAATAACTTTAGATTACATTGAATTCAATGGTATTTCAATAATAAATGCCATAAAAAACGTTTTCACAAAAAAACTGTTGTTTGTGTGAGCAGTGAAGCAGCGATTGGACGCCATTTTGGATGCGATATCTTCACCAATACTTTGAGACAATAAATAAAAAAAACAAAAACAAAAAATTGTCTACAAATTTCTTGGGAAGTGATATCACCACTGATTTTAATTATTAAATTCAAACCAATCGTTGAAAAACTGTAAGTAATAATAATAATAATAATAATTAAATTGAATGTCAAAACTAATGTCAAACAAACAAAAAACTGTCAAAAATTTTTTTAGTCAAACAAATTAGCGGCAAATGAGTCGTTTCGGTGGCCAATCAAGTCCGTGGACATCGGGTGCACCGCCAAGCTATGGCTATGGCAATCATCATGCACCGCCAATGCCTCCGCAATACGCCGCACCGCAGCCGGCTTACGGTCAGTCTGGCCCGTGGAGTATGTCGCCGCAAATGCGCAACACTGGCGGCGGCGGCGGTGGTTGGGGCGGTCAACCTACACCCGCTTTGCAACCATATCAGCAGCAACAACAACATCAGCGACGACCGGGCGGCGGTGGTGGTGGTGGTCAACAGTTTAATATGAGACCCGTATGTACCGGCTATTCATTGATGATATCATAATTAATCTTTAATTTGATTGTAATTGTTGGCCAAATTTTTTATTAATAGCCGATGTCTGGCCCAACTGGTAAACGGGCAAATCAATGGGATAACGGACCGCCAAATAAGCGATTCAACAATAATAAGGGTGGCCGAGGCGGTGGACATCATGGAGGAGGAGGCTATTGGCGTCAAGGAGGCGGCGGTGGCCAACAAAATAAGAACCGAAACAACAATAATAATAGTAATAATAATACTAATAATAATAATAACAAGAATAACAACCGAAACAATAGTAACAATCGGGAAGTGAATCGAAACAAACAACAAATTGATACACAACTTGAAAGAGTAAGTCTTCACTGTCTTTAAAAAATAAAGTTTTTGTCTTTTGATTTTTAAAAATGCGCTAAAAATTGCGATCAAAAAATACGACCATTTATTACTACATAAGCTGATAGTACCGTAAGTGTTATATATATACTATCGTATAGTTTATCGGTAATTATATGGATTTATCTATAACGTAACATATTTAAACAAAAAATAGTTTTTAAATTACCAGTATTTTTATGTTTTGAAATTTATAATCAACCAAAAACATCAACAAAATTTTTATCAATTGCAATACAATTGAGTTCATAATAATCTGTTAAGCAAACAGATGATAATGTGATTTACAAACAAGAATAATATAGGGTATATATAAACACAATTAAAAATAATTTTATTTTGGCTTTAATTAATAGTATGAATGAGTGATTTGTGATATATATATATATATTGTATATATTTATACGGTATATACCGTAATAATTAATATATATTTTAGTTTAAAAGAATATATAATTGATAATAATTTTAACATAATTGATGAAATATAGTGAAGAATCTTCAAAATAATAACTTATAATAATATTGATATAAATAACATAAATGGTATTAATATATATATATATATGAAGATTATGATAAATATATTGACATTTTTTAATGAAAACATCACTAAATTAACTCTAAAAATGCAAGCATTTGGGACAACAAAAATGCAAACACCGGGACATCTGATTGATAATGGGATACGAAATCAAATTGAAAATTTACTTATTTTTTGGGGTCATATTTATAATATTTGTTTGTATTCAGTGCTAAAAGTGTTTGTTAACCCAATGGATTTGGACATCATTTTGGATATACATTAAAAAAAAGTACGTATTAAGACATGATTTTATTTTATTATAAATTTTTATCTAATTTAAAATTATCTTATTTTTTATTATTAATTTTGAAATTTTTTGTTTTGCAAATATTAATATATGAAATAATATATATGAAATGTATTAATATACAGTATTTCTATTTAAATATTTTAAAAACTATATGAATTTTAATTTTAATTGAATGTATACTATAAAAATTGATTAATTAATTGCTTTTTTAATTAATGATTAGGTATTTATATCTATAAAGAAAATTGTAAATTATTACTAAAAAAATATTTACTCAAACAAAAACCACAATTTTATTTGAAATTAAATGAAATAATGAAATGTATTAATTATTTTTCCAGAAAAAAAGGAATTTCCAATAGAAATAAGTGCTGTCGATATCGTCGACAATTGGATTACTCGGCTATGCATTTAACGCCAGCCCTTAAAAAATAAATATGCCTTCAGTTTAAACAATCACTTATTTATATTTTATATGATATAAATAATGCCTTTTTTAAAAAAAAATCGTATTTTTAAATACGATATAAACTTAATTTATATGATTGACTGATGCACTCCCAATGAATTGCCATAATAAAGGGCTGGCGATTCAACTTACATGTGTCTTATCAAATCTGAACTTTAAATTTTTTTTATATATAAATTCAAACCAATTGGATTTGAATTTTGCTTATGATTTATAAATTTTTATTTATAAACTGGTTATAGTGCTAATTGCAATTGATTTATACTAAAAAATATTTTTAAAAAAACAATTGCAAAAATTTTTTTTGAACCTCATATTATAATAACCAATCCTCAACTTTTTTTGTAATGATGGCATTGCTAACTGTAATATCAACCATAAGTTTTATGCCAATTACCGTTAATATAAAATTTGAAATTTTTAAGTGAATTGTGAATTTTAGTTAAATTATGTATAAGTTTTATACTGTACTGTATATACAGTATAATTATATTTGATAAATATATATACTGTATAATGATTTAATAAAAAAAAATCATTGTAAAACTTTTAATTTTTTGTAACACATTTGGACAAATGTTACTAATTTTGTGCCTTCAATTAATTATCTATTTTTTATTTAAAAAAAATAATGATTTGAAATCAAAATCTATGAACAATGAACACAAAATTAACAAATAAAATTTAATAACAATTTTTTTTAATATATATCATATATAATTAAAAAATAGTAATTATAATAAAAATCTATTTAAAGATTTTAAACATAATTACTTAAAAAAAGGACAGCATTTTAATGCTTAGCACAAACTATATATACAAATAATAACTTACTTTTTAGATTGCAATAAAATTGCATAAATTATTTGAGAATTTTTTAAACAATATAAGCAGCGATTTTAGTTTAGAGTAATTATTATGTTTTCAATTATGAATTTAACATTTTTGTTTTGTTTCTCTTTAATTGTTGTTATAAATAGCGACAACAACATGATTTGGCCCAAAAGTCTGCAGAATCGTTGGAAAATAAGGTTTTTATTATTTTTTGTTGAAAATTGATTATAATTATTGATTACCTAATTGTTAATCATTTTTAAAAAATTATTATTAGGAGTATCCGATTGAGACACAGGTTGCCAAAGCAGGAGACGACGACAAGAATAAGAATTTAGACATTGATTCGGCACAAGAAAAATATTTGTTGGCTGTCTTTGGTTATGTTTGCCGTATGTGTCCATCAATTTGTTGTACAATCTTTAGCTATAATAATAATAATTAAAAATATATTTATTTTTTTCAATTTCCAGAGGTTTGCAGTGTATTCTTGAAAGACAAAACCGCTCGCTTTGATCACTGCAAGAGTGAACAACATTTGGAAAAGTTTAATGCATCAGAAGAGGAACGGATCAACAAAGAGAAAGCAGAATCCGATAAGAATCCAAAGACAGAGACTAATGAATCCAATGAACAAACGACGACTAAGACTACTACTGCTACTACAGAAGCGACAGTAACTTCAGAGACGTCGCCGCCGAAGCCGGAGATAGCTTCAGAATTGCCAAACGGTGAGGCAAGCGATGCAAAGACGACGACAGAACAGACGACAAGTGTCACCACCGATAAACCAATTGATTTGACTGATAAACCCAAAGAGGAGCCAAAAACAGAGGCCATTACTACTTCATCTACTACTCCTACAACTACTAATCAACCGGAAGGTCAGTCTCTATAAAACTAGAGGAACCGTCTATTTGTTTGTTTATATTTCGAACCGAATTATCTTTTGACTTATATTTTTGTTTATATTTTTGTTTATTGCATTTATTTTTAAAAAAATTAATAATTATTAGTACATTACCATAATTCCAATTTCAAATATATAATATTAACTCTTAATTAATTTTTTTCTCTAATTACGATATATATTGTAAATAAATTTTAAATTTGTTTTGATTACATTGATTTATAAAATTGTGTTTTGTATGTACTATTGTTAGAAATAAAATCTGAAGAAAAGGCAAACATTGCTGAGCCAATCAATGATAAAACGGATGATAAAACTAGTGAATCCAATGCCCCAACAGGTGCTACAGTTGCCGCCACCGCCGCCGTCGCCGACAACACACCCACGGCTACCTCTGCTGCCGCCGCCGCCAACACTAATACGGCTACCTCTGCCGTCACCGCCGCCCCTAACAGCGGCCAACCCATACAGCCCACCACTACTCAAAACAATCAAAATAATTATTCGGGTCAGGAGTTTAACCAAAACAGAGGTCGCGGCTATCGAGGTGGACGAGGAGGTGGAAATCGAGGTCGCGGCGGCGGTCGTGGTCGCAATCGCGGTCGGGGCCGCAAATGAGTGGCCACTCTTATTTTCCTCTATATATATATATCTCTCTCTCTCTCTTTATTGGCTCTTATATTGAGTTTTCTCATTTAAAAACAATCTAAAGATCTAATAATTGTTTTCAAACTGATCGGTTGTTTTACTCATTTAACGGTACTCTCATATGTGAACACAATTTCATTCATAACTTTTTAAAAATCACTTTTTAGTTGTAGGTTTTGATTGTTGTTTTTTTGTTGTTATTGTGTCTCATTTTGTATTGATTATACTTTACCAATAGCATTGCAAACAACAATATACATGCAATTCGTACAAAAAACATATTTTTAATGATTTTATTTAATTATTAATTTTTTAAACATTTTATTTAATATATATATATATACAGTATATATAATTATCAATATTTATCATTCATTTTATTAGTTTTTTAAAAAAATAATCTGATTGAATTTTGAGCTAATTTTTATTTATTATATTATATATACACAGTAAAAAACAAATTGGTTTCTATCGGGAAATAATAACTTAATATAATAATTGTTTGTTTGTTTTTAACATAATTTTGTTTAAAAAAAATGCATGCAATCATAGTTTATAATAACAAACATACAATATATTTATAACAAACAAAAATTGATGTCTTTTATATATACATTATATATAATTTATATATATTTTATTAATTCGTGTGTAATTTAATTTATCATTTTTTTTAATTTAAAATATTATTTAATGATATAAATGAAACAAAACAAAAATGTTTTTTATTTTATTTGGATTTGTTTGAATTGATTAAGTTATCCTTAAGTGTCGGATAATCGCATCCATTGCGAGGTAGCGGTGATTTAACCATTGGTGACAATAGTATAGCCGCCAACCAATTGGGTCCTAAATTTTCGCAAACATTTGTCCTCCAATTGCCTAAACTGTATTGATTGATACCATTGTTTCGTTCATATGTTGTCTGATTGTTGACCATCAATACTGAGTGATAGTAAAGAAGACCCGTTGCAAACATGAAACCAATAAAATTAATTACTGATAGAAATGTATAGCAAAAACATTTCAACGATATATAGCCGAATAGCCAGAATGGAAATGGAAATATATGGGTAAACACTGTTACGTATGTCAAACCTCCCAGTGCTTGCCATATGAAAAATTGGTTCAATACGGTAGCGTATAGACCGCCGATGGCTACCCATAGAAGTAGTCCGTAATAATATCTAAAGTTCTTGTAACCAATACAACAGCCTATTGATTGATTGATTGATTGATCAAAAATAAGATTATATGTAAATAAATTGAATGGATTTAATTTATAATTACCACTGAAGACACAGTGATGGTCTCGTTTAAGGACACATTCATCACAGATTTGGCAATGATATGAACGGGGAGGTGAGTTGCCCTCACAGATGGCACAGAAACGCCAATTGGGTTTAAGCAATGACGGCATTAGTAAACCCGCAGTCGATATTGGAGTTGTTATCAACCATAAGAAGTTTGACATTATATTGAATGTAATAAATAGGCCGACAATTATGTGAAAGTATTGAACAGTGATATCGATAGTGTGAATGTGTGGTAAAACAACTAAAAAATAAAAATAATAATAATAATAATTAAACCCAACAAAAAAAATTGATTTGAAATTTTAATTATTTGTTTGTTTTAAAAAGTATAATACAATAATATCGGGAATAAGATTTGAAAGAAACCTTTAACTTCAAAAACAAATGTCGCGAAAACCATAAACACCAGAAATCCTATACCGAAAGCGTCGGCCACTGTCTTGGGAACCGGTCTTCGGTAGTGTCGACCCATATTTTTTATCTACTGGACAATACTGAGATAGTGTGGCCAACAATTTATTTGGATAATTAATAGATCATTGATATATATATATATTTAGCCGACAGTAACCCTATTTTACTTCAGATATCGACTAAAACTATAGTATTTGAATGTATGACTACTGACCGCACATTTTTTTTTAGTGTAGTCTATAATACTATTTGTATGGACACAGAATTTAATGGACAAAATTAGTTACTGATGAAGATTATTGATGGCCTAATTAGACAAAGACATGATTGATTGATTGATACCACATAACAATGGTATTGAATATTAAATAATAACGAAATGAATCTATAATAACAAAGTCTTGTGTTTATTATCTGAAGACTTTTCGTTTCTAACGTAACGCCAACTCTTTGTGTCCAATCATTGATCACTTTGTCGTTTAAGGCGTCGATATTGAAACATACAGTTTGAATGTCTGGTTCGGTGTCCAACTGTTTGACGATTAAAAAAAACGGCCAAATAATGGACTGTCTGTCCATTTAAATATCTCATCACTTGATTGTCTGCCGAAAACAAACAAAAACTTTATAATAATTAAAAGTCCGAATCAAATGACGAAATGCTGACCAAAATGATTGATAACAACGTTATTTGTGAACCAATTGAAGCGCTTTTGTTTGAAAACAACTAATAATATAATAATAATAATAATAAACACGTTTTGAATGTAAGAAATGTTTGGCAAACGTAACGATGAAATTCCTGACAATCATTGGTGTCATAAGACTTTTGGCCATTTTTGTAGCCGTTTTAGCGGTCAAAGTGACGGCCAAAGATATCAACGAAAATCTGGTTACAGCCGATAGTGTCCGGACCGCTACTTTCGAGTCAGAATTTCCCGAAAAACCATTGCAATTGGTTCGGCCAGACGTCGATCACAAACGACTGGTGATTGTCGAGGAAAATGTTAAGGTTTTTGATTTATAAACTACTTCTTTGTCTTCTGATTGTTGTTTTAGTACTTTTTTTACGGTATTTTGTTTTTTTAACAGCTATTGCACCGTTTGGTCGGACCTGTGGCTACCGTAGCAGTGGTCGGAAAGTTTCATTCGGGAAAGTCGTTTCTCATGAATCAATTGATGGGCAAATCCAACGGTTTCGGTGTCGGACCCGATGTCCGACCAAAAACGATGGGCATATGGATGTGGGGAAAACCTACAAAATACACACTGGATTCTGGTCTGAAAACATGGATTGTCTTTCTGGATACCGAAGGTTTTGCTGCCAACAATGTGTCCGAGAATTACGACGCAAAGATTTTTGCCGTTTCGACACTTCTGTCATCATTTCTATTGTATAACTCGGTTAAGATCATCGACCAGTCGGATATCGATTACTTGGAACTATTGGCTCGACGGACACAGTTGTTTGCATTGCGGTCACAAATGTCTAGAAAGAAGTGGACCAACGAGTTTAACAAAGATTTGTTAAGTTTTCCGCCGCTGATTTGGATCGTCCAGGACTTTGTTCAGTCCACTCTCGAGGAATCACCGAAACAATGGTTACATCGATTGATGGGTTCACACACACGAGAAAATGATTTATACGAAATAAGTCTTAAAGATATTTTCAAATCAGTTGACTGTCACACACTGTTTTTACCGGCCGTTAAGAAACATTTATTGAATGACCTATCGTTGGCCAAAGAGTCCGATCTGACAGAAGAATATATATTTGAAAAGAAAGAGTTGATTAATAAACTAAAGCGCGGAATAGTTCCCAAAGAAAAAAATACTAATCCTATCACTGGTATAGAGTTGGCCGCATTGTTGGAAATATTAGTAAACGCCGCCAACGATGGCTCACTGGCCGACATTCCTAACCGTTGGGACGCGTTTGTCGCCCGATTACAAGAGACAGCCATTGAAGATTGTCTCAAGTTTTACGAGGCAGACATGAATGTCTTGATTATTGATGAATACGACAACAATGCTATCAATATATTAAAGTTTGACGAATGGCACATCCAGTCACAGGAAAGATCTATTCAACTATTAAAACAATTGCTTCACGGCTTAGAGGATCCGCTAACCAAAGGTTTACACGATTTGAGTCACAAGATTACCATTCACTTTGAGCGCACACGTGATATCAACGAAAAGAAAATCAAACTCAAGTGTTCACAGAGTTTACATGAATTGGAAATCAAATCCGAACAAAGAATTCGTGCCATTCAACTGCCCGTACAGACCAGTCATCTGATAACACAAGCAAAAGAAATACTCAAAGATATCAAAAGTGATTATATTAATCAAGTGAAAGATCTGGTCGATAGTTCAACAATGGAGTTGTATTTGGAAACACTGACCAAAGCTGTCAAAAATCAAGTGTCAAGTATTCAGTTGGAAAACAATCGGGCGATCGAAGAGTTTTTCGATCGACAAATACAAGAATCTATCGGTAAATTTGATTCGGTGTCACAATCGGACTACAGTCGTGTTAAGCCACGAAAACCAACACTATTGAGGCGTATATTTGAAGAATCAAACATACAGGCGCTCGACATGTTTAACAACAATTGTCAACAATATACCAGTGAATCGATTTATGAATCAAAGTTAGCTCTTTTGAAGATCAAATTGAATGAAAAGATTTTGAGTTTAGAAAAACAAAATGAATTGATTGCCAAAACCTATATTCAAAATGAATCCAATCGTTTGGTCGATGAGTTTCGGTCACAGACGGGTACATCGTTTATACCGTTACCGGTGAATAATACCGAATTAGAGTCTCGGATCAAACTGGAAGTATCCAAATCTATTAGAGACTATTCGGATCTATTAACCGAATATTCGACTTACCAAACATACGATGATATGTTTGTTAAGTTTAAGGAAAATTTAGTTGAAATTTGTGATCAAAGACGTAATGAAAATGTCAAGGCTTTTACTAAAGAAGTGGAGACACCGTTAAAGACGTCTAAAAAGATAATCAGTTTATCGCATCACAAATATACAACTGTTTTTAGTTTCAAGCAATTTGTAAGTTATATTTTTTAAATTACCGGTAAATTTATTTTTGATTTTTTTCAATCATTTTTATATTTGTTTTTTTTTTCAATTGACAGATGCATTCCGTGTGTTTACTTCATTTAGATGAAGGAAAACCTAAATACTGGTCATTAAAATTAAAGTCAGAAATAATCGATGAATTTATTAGTAGTGATAAACAATTGCTTGAATTAATTGAATCGAAGTCTGGCCTCTATTCATCAATTATTGGTTTTTTCCAATGGATTTTATGGATCTTAAATCTAGGATAAATGTTATCAAATATTTTTTTAAATAATAATAATTTATTTTATTATATAATTATATTGTTTTATAATAGTTAATTGTATAGTTATTAATTAATAATTTTCTTGTTTATTATTATTACAGTCATTCAAAATATGAAATTTGTACAAATTGTTGATTTTTAAAAAAATAAAATATACTATTAGACATTAAAATGTTAGTATAATAATATAAAAATAAAACTAATATCAATATAAAATTAGTCAATAAGTTAGGGTATGATTAGGCAAATATGTGTGAATTTTTTAAAAGTTGGCATACATTGGCATTAAATGCAGTCATAACTAACAACATATTGTCTAAAAATAACATAAATAAAAAATACTGATCACTTAAACGATATGTATAGATATATATTTACGGTATTAATTATCATACGAAGTCGTTTAACTTACCGTTAATTAATTACTACTAATATTCAATTGTATATATATTTCTAGACTTATTACCGTAAATATATAATAAAGTATTATATTAGTAATTTCTGAACAAATTTTTTGATTAGTAATTGCCAAGTAATGAAATTCACTTTTTAGTTTGTTTTAACAAACTTAAGGTACGATCAAAATATATAAATAATATATTAATTAATTACTATTATTGTTGTATAATATACTGTATGGAAACAACACACTATGGATAAGGCACTGGTTGATTAGGTTACACTATATATATAGTCAATTAAAGATAGATTAACCTCTGGTGCTAAATGCCTGGCCAAAGTATACTGTATTAATTATATTATACTGTACAAGTGTTTGTTAATACAGTACAATGGGACAGTGGGGTTAGATTATAAGTATAATCAATATGATTAATATAATAACAATTAAAGCTCCCAGTGCTGCCCATCGGCGACGTTCTGCTAAAAAATTAAGTTAATTTGGTTATTAAAAATATTTTTTGATTATTTAATTAGTTATTGTATGAAAAATATATTCAGTATACTAACCATTGGACAGATGTAAGACTCGGGCAATCTTTTTAAGTCTAGTATCAAATCGTGAGTCATTGATATCCATTTCGTGTCCAAACTCATCAAGCATTCTGTCAATTGATAATAACAACTAAATTATTAAATTACCGATAATTTTAGATTATCAGATATGATATAATATGCACATACACTGCGTGCTCATCGACTTCAGTGCCCATCTGTCGGCTAATTGACTTCAGATTACCGACACTTTCCCTGAGTTTATCGTACGTATCGTTGTTTTGCGACATAAATATCCGCTGTTGATGCTGTAGATGACTGCCCTCATCGACAGTGATACCGATATCTGTTGAGGTGTTGGCTGTATTGTTGTCCAAACGGGTATATTTTGAGGCATTAGTGGCTTCAAAATTGGACAAACTTTGACGGAACTGTTGTTGTTTCTTATCTTTGCTTTGATTGTCAAACAATTTTTCGCGCATAAACTTCACCTCATCTTTGGTCTGATGAATGAATTTGCGTCGACTATTGATCTCAGTTTCGTCTAATTTAAACTTTTTGGGATTGTTCTCAACGATTCCAATCGTTTCCTCCAAGTCTTCCAAATCCCATTCAATACTACGCAAACCATTTCGTAGTTCAGTTGTCGTACGATCTATCTCTTCCTTGGTCTCACTGTTGGGATCGTCCAAAAAATCAGTCCATCGTTCAAAATAATTGCGACATTTGGTCAGTGCGTTCAGTACTTCGCTATTAATTTTAGTGATAACAAGAAATTTGTATAAAACAAGTCAAACACATCCCATAAACAACAACTACTACTACTTACTCTCTGACGACGAAAAACGGATCTTCGAGTGACATAACTCTTGAGTGTCTATATATATGTCTATTGGATGGACATTAAAGACAATAATAAACTAAAAATAAATTTCAAGATAACAAAAGTTGAGATCAAAACAAATAAACACAATATGTTTGACAAACAACTTCTGTCGCAGTTTTGTCAGCAAAAAACAAAACAAAAAACTTAAACAACAAAAGTATTGTCCGGAAGAATAAGTTGATCTCAAATAATAATTATTAAAATTAATAATATATTTCACAAATGAGTTGTAAATTATTTGACAAATGATTTCATTATATTTAACAATAAAAATATTATAATATAATAACCGTTTTGTGTCTGATATATGATATAAAAACTGATTACAACTATAGCGACACAAAACTATTAGTTACTACAGTATTATAATAATAATTATAATAATATTAATAATAAATGTATCGACACTTCAAAAAAAATAAATAAACTAAAACTTAGGAAACAAATTATTGTCTCATTTTTCAATACTATAGTTATAATCGACAATAGATTTCAATATTGAATACAATTTGTATTTTCAATGCTATTATTATTATTACATTAAGTTATGTCAAAGTCATCACTATTTACCTGTACTTTACTTACAGGTAATCGTATAATACGCTAATACGCTGTTGCAATGTTAACGCATGCGTACAAACACTCAAAACAACTGTACAGTATATGCATAACAAACAAACCAAACATACATTTGTTTGGAACCATAAGTTTGTTTAAAGAGAGAGAGATATACAGTATATATATATAGAGAGAGATATAGATTAGTATTGAGAACTGGTTTGCAATGAATGTATTGATATTTATTTTGAACGACAAAACCGATTGACAATTGAATAGAGAGAGTGAACTCATTGACAGTGAAAACACATTTTAGTATTCGATTTTGATTCGACTCATCGATTATTATTGATATATCATTGGACTCATCATTTGGAATGAATGGCTTCCACTCAATACAAACAGAGGTTCGGTTCGATTATATGATATGATTGTAGCGGTGTTTACGACTCTAGTTTGTGTCCACCGAAAAAACAACAATCGAATGTCATTAACACTTAACATAACATTTACAACACTAACTGTTTGTTAATATAAACACCCCTTAAATATAATAGACATAACATAGCGTTCTATGATTTTTAGATGTAATAGACATTAGAAAACATACGGTTTTTATTATTAATAATACTTTTTATTTATAATTAGAATATTTAATCAGTAGTTAGTAGTGTTGACATCGAATCCCGACCCGAAACAGAAACCCGTTTTGTTGTTTAGTTTATCAATCGGTAAAAACCCAAATGGCTATCAATTATAATGAAATATAATATACTATTATATCATATATTAGTTGTAAATCATTGAATCGGTTATTGATTTGTTGTTATGATTACCTGTTGGCGACAAACACTCAATTAATTAAGTGTTTAGTTATTATTTGATTTGTTTTTCTAATTATAAATATTCAGTCAATTCATTGTACGATTAGTTAGTATTATAATAATAATAATAATAATTGCAATGAATTTCTGTGTTTTTTTGTTTGTAATAATTATTGCAAATAATTTCAATACAATTTTAATCAAAAAATAATAATTGTTTTATCATTACATTTGATTTTTGCATTTCTGATATGATCTCTCTCTCTCTCTCTCTCTCTCTCTCTCTCTCTCTCTCTCTCTCTCTCTCTGAAGATATTTAAAGTTCAATGAGTTGTTGAATGTCGACAAAGACGGTGATAACGATGTGGATGAGGCACAAGACAAGGATCAAGTGATTGATACGCGAAGTTTGCGTCGACTATGCTTTGATATCGGCTGTCCCGATGACCACAAACACGTGCGGTCATTGGTCTGGAAAGTAAGTGCTGTTGTTGTTGTGGTTTGCTATTGTGTTGACCATAATATTAATAATATCTTTGATAACATTTTTACAGATTTTGTTGGGATATTTGCCATCAGATAGGAGCCAATGGACGAGTCATTTGGCAGAGAAACGAAAACTTTACAATCAATTTGTTTCTGAGCTTATCATAAGTGACGACAATAATGTCAAATCACCCGACGATCATGTATTTTGTTAATTCAATTATTGATGTCTTAAACATATACACTAAACATGTCTTTAATATAATTTGTTAATTTTGTTTTGACAGCCATTAAACACTGCGCCAAACAGTCATTGGAAAAATTATTTTCGCGATAATGAAGTGTTGTCTCAAATTTATAAAGACGTCAGACGTCTATATCCAGACATATCATTCTTTCAGCAAAGAATTGCTAAGACATTCACCAAATCGACAGCTTGTGATGTCATTGGTATTGATATATAAATAAATTTTTTGTTTTATTTTTTAATTTCAAAGGCTTATAACTATAACTGTATATAAAATATATTATTTTTGTATATACTGTATATTGATATTTTTTTTGACAACCGAAAAGGTCGTACGTCAAGCAAAGCCTATACCATTGATGTGATTCGCAACTGTTTTGGTGCCACAGAAATAAGAGACAATCAAAAGAAATACAATACTAGCGATGACAATGACTTTGACTCAACTAAAAGCCTCGACGGCCAAGAATTTCATTGGTAATAATAATTCTAAATCTAATTGATTGACAATTACCGTAATTTTAAATGACTTGTGTGTATATGTATGGGACAGGCAGATTGTGGCCAGGGTACTATTCATATATGCCAAACTGAATCCGGGTCAGGGATATGTTCAAGGAATGAATGAGATTATCGGTCCATTGTATTACGTGTTTGCCAACGATCATCAAAATGGATGGAGTGGTCAGTTGTTAATGTTGTTGTCCTCTTAGATGATATCAACAGTCGATATATTGCTTCATTTCAATTGTCTTTCAATATACAGATCATTCAGAAGCCGACACTTTCTGGTGTTTTACAAGTTTGATGAGTGAAATCCGAGACATTTATAACAGTCACGCAGATTCTGATCATTCAACCGGTAATTTATTTATTTATTTATTTTGTTTTGTTTGTGCTTTTTAATAATAATAAAATTATTACTATAATAATAACAATTATAATCTGAAAGTATAATTATCAATAAGCAACAAAAAAATGATTTTATTATTAATAATAATTTTTATTTACTGGTTTTATCAATAATTAATTAATGTTTGTTTGCCTAACGTATTAAATAACACAATATAATGACGAATGGATTTTAAAAAATAATATTATTGAAAATGCAATACAATATTAATTTTCATTTCATTTGTATTGTTTTTATGTAAAAAATTACTTTTTGAAAAAAACTTGCATTAATTTTATTTTTTGATAATAAATACTAGTATTTAATTTATAGATTTTAGAAAATTATCCTTTAATGAAGGATTTCTATAAAAATACTATTTAATTAAATATTTCAGTTATTTTTTTTTTAATTATTTGAATAATTTAAAATTTATTATTACTATTACTATTTTTGCTTATATTAAATGATTTTTAAAATCAATTATAATGTAGAGGACATTGAAATCGTTATTATATTTTGATAACTATTTTTATAGTAAATATTGAGATTATTTTACTTACGGTAAATGTCATTTTAGTTAACAAAATATTAATTTTTATGATATTATCGGACCTCCTGTATCTATAAGGCATATTTTTTTAAATTTATAAATCTATTTAATATATTACTTTATACACAGTATAAATTATTAATACTATATATATATATAATAAAATTAGTTAACACATGCTAGCAATGTAATTGAAAATATAATAAAATAAAAAAATATAGTTGTATTTATTTATAAATTATTTTTTTATATGTTTAATAATAAGTTTAATATCAATAATCACGTAAAACACCTCAAACCTTACTTATAAAAAAGTATTAATAATTAATTTGTGCCATTTATCTGGTGCTGATCAATGCACTTTCAAAACCAACACACACTTTAATGTTAATCACTAGAAAACTGCATAATAATAATAATTATTATTATTATAGATTGATATCAATAATCATTATTATAATGTTTTTTGAGAAAAAACAAAATAATAATAATAATAAATAAAATAATGTTTATTAAATCAATGTATTTATTTCCCGGAGAGAAATCCATTTTTCTAATGTATTAATTATAATTAACTTCTAGTTTCTAAAATAGTATTTTTGTAAATATCAATAAATAAAATTAAAAAATAAGTACTAATGTACGAAAAATTAGTTTTTAAAATAGCGAATTTGTTAAAAATATATTTATATATACAGAGTCATGCAAATAAAAATAATAATTTATAAAAAAATATTATTATTATTAGAAATTATAATTTTATAAAAATAATATTATACTGTACTTTCTATATTTATATATATACAGTACTATACATATTAAGAAAAAGTATTTTTTTGTTGACTATTTATCTATTGGTAGGTATCGTAAGTCTAATGACTCGTCTAACAGGTCTGTTATCCAAAGAAGACAATGATTTATACCACAGAATCACTTTAGTTCAGGCAATAAAACCACATTATTATGCATTCCGATGGCTAACCCTTCTATTATCGCAGGAGTTTCCACTACCCGGTATGTAAACTCTCTCCTCATAAATATTTAAAGTACTTATACATACACACACACTAAAACTATATGTAAACAAATTACTATTTTTAAGTATTATTTACTTTATATAACTGAATAAAACAACTATTTATTTATTTCAGATGTACTCAGACTCTGGGATTTCCTGTTCTCGGATGAGAAGCGTTTCAATTTCTTGCTTCAGACTTGTTGTGCAATGATTTGGTTAGTATTTGAAACCAATGATTACTAAAAATATTTTTTTAAATGATAATTTATTTTCCAATAATATGTTTGTTTTGTATTTAATTTGAATTATAAATACAGTTTAATCCGATCCGAACTAATGAACGGTGATTTTGCCACTAATATGAAACTATTGCAGAACTTTCCCGAACATATCGACATCAATCAGATCATCGCAAGAGCTAAACAAATACATATCACTTGATATAATAATAATATGATATTTTTTTAGTATAATAATAATAACAACTAAATTAAAATTAAATAATTAACAACAATAATTGTCATCAACTATGCATAATATATAGTTAATGAGATAATTTTTTTTGAACATAAATTTTATTTTTTATATACAATATAAGATATAAATATATATATATATTTAGCATATATTTGTGTAATTTATTGCCAAAATGAATATACAAATTTATTTATATAAACTGTGTATTTGTAATATAAATTGTTTTATTTCATAATAACTTTTACATAAAAATTTTCGATATTTATTAACAAAAAAAACTACAATAAACTAATAAAATATAAAATAATATTTAAAAACTTTTACTGAATTTGTATTTAAATTGAATGACAACTTAAATAATAATAATGAAAATCTTGTCAAAAACCCTAACAGACAGACCAGAGCTTTGAATGTATATATTAATGATTATATAAAATAACTTTTAAATAGAGAGTTAAATTAGTTTTAATTTTTTGTTGTTGTTGTTGTTGTTGTTAGCAATCATTTAATTGAAAAGTGATAAAAACCAGTTTATATTTATAAGTTAAAAGTAGTGAATAGTGTTATTTAAAATAAAATAAAAAGTTAAATGTAATTCATGTCACTGTAAATCTAGATTATGAATGCATTTAATGCCATTAGTCGAGTGCTAGTTATATATAAAAAGTAAATTTATATAAACTTTATAATATACTGTATGTCTCTATTGAATGGTCTAAAAGATGTGATGAACTCTCACTTTGAGTGAAAGTCCTTTAACTTATTTTTTGTGGTCTCTCTCTCTCTCTCTCTCTCTCTCTCTCTCTCTCTCTCTCTCTCTCTCTCTTATCCAAGAATTCCTTTAAAAATGTTTTTCATTAACTTTTTTTACTCTTCAAAAATTATTTTATTATTTTGTTTTATCTTTTGCTATAAATTTAAGTCTTGATTCTCTCTCTCTCTCTCTCTCTCTCTCTCTCTCTCTCTCTCTCTCTCTCTCTCTCTCTCTCTTTCTCTCTCTCTCTCTCTCTCGGGAGTCAATCTCTCTTTCGTCTAACTCACTGTTAATTTCTCATCTTTCACTGATTCAAACATCAAAGGGTCAACAGTCCCGGTGCGACCACTTTAGTGAATAATAAGTTAAATAATTTTTTGTAGTCTTCAAAAATCCTGAGACTAAATAATATTAAATTCATGAAATCAATTGATTGTATTTTTGAGTGTTTTCATATGAGATTTTAGTTTTTTGTGTGTGTGTATACATTGCTTGTAATGTTTTCAAAAAAAAAATTTGTTTAGTACTTTTGAATCATTACTTTCAATAAATTATTTGTTATTTGTTGGTTAAACTAAATTAAATGATTAAAAAATTGCAGTTTAAGTTGAGAAAAGTCCAAACTTTTATTTCTTTAAAAATATAATTATTGCACTCAAAATAATTTTTTTAGAAAGATATTTATTTTATTCAATAAAAACAAATAATTATAATTAACCCTTTATTTTTAAGTACACGATTAATACAAATAATTTTTAATGGCTATTTGTCCTCCAAACAAGATAATGATTTTGTTATTTTGTATGTATTAATAATAAATAAAACAATTTTTGCTTAATTTCTATTCAGTGAATGTTGAGTTTCATTTATAGTTGATTTTTCAGTTTTAATTAAATTTTTATCCCAAAAAAATGAAACAAAAATAACTGTTATTTATCTATATTTTGATTATTTCGCAGTTTTATATTATATTTTGTATTATAACTTGTATAATGAACTTCACTTTTAAAGTGCTATAAATTTATTTGTTTTTATTATTAAAATATATTGTGTAGAATTAAATTTTTTCAAATTAATTTATTAAAAAATTAAAAACAAAGTATTATAATAATATAATAAATGTTTTCAAAAATTAAATAAATAATTTGTAAGTACATTAATTGTAACTCTCATTTCATTGAATTTCAATTTCTAAATCTATTTATCTTTTCAATTAATATTATGTTATAATCTTTTTTTTGTTGTTGATATCCTTAAATGTTTTCCACTTTAGCTTAAAATTTAAATATAATTTATTTATATCGAAAATTTCTTGATATTATTTTTGTGTGTCAAATATTAAATTTTGTATTATTAATACAGTAGTATTAATAGTATGTATATTATTTGGATAAATTATGGATTTAAATTACATGTAATAATAAGAAATTTATTATTATTATTTTCTTAGAATAAACAATAAATAAAATTTTTAGAAAATAAATTTAAAAATAAATATAAATCAAAGCCAACCGCTAGACTACCCTTGATTTTGGTCCACAAAATAGGTTTATGAAGACAAATGAGGGCTTATATTATATATGATACTGTATTAGCATAATATAACTCATGTCTACTGTATAGTTGTGTATGACATGTGTTATACTTATTATTCACCACAAAAAAAGACTCCGAAACCTCAATAAACAAGATCTTCACATAATTTTTAATTGCAAAACAATTGAGACCTAAAAAAAGTTAGTCAAAAAAATAATAATTAAGTAAAAGTTTGTTTCAATATAAATATAGTATATATATTGAATGGATGTATATCTCAGGTAAATAATTTCAAATTTAAGGGGAGAATGCCTTTTTTGGGGGCGGAGTTCCTTAAGCAGGTTTTCCAGTGCTTTTTGCCAGCGATGAGGTGCTCATCGAAGGGCAATCAACCGGTCCTCTCATCTCAGGTAATGTTTGAAGAGAGAGAGAGAGAGAGGAGAGAGAGAGAGAGAGAAATAGCCACAAAAGTGAACGGCAGGTGAGCTCCATATGCCATACATTGGTAGTAGTAATACATTACTGTACACAGTGTACTACACACAGTATATACCCTAAGATTTTATTATTAGTCAAAACATATAGTTTTCTCTCTCTTTTTGTCGTTTAATAGCCTCACTCTCTTTCATAGAGAAAACATACTACAACTCGACTACTACTATACACAACAGTATATATAAATATAATATAATTGAAAAATTTCAATATTTTTTTTTAAGTGAATTACTATAAATACTCATTTAAAAAAATTTTTTTAAAGCACACAAGTTTTGTGTTATCAATTTAGTAGCAAAATAAGCGAAAAAAAAGTTTTGTAACAATTTTATTGTTATCTCTCAACAACAACAACCAAAAAATTCAATGTTAAGCAAAACTATTTGATGTCTATTATTAGAGAAAGAGGCTCTGAATTGTCTCTTTCAAAGAGATAGTTATAATAAAAATATATTTATATATATATATATATATATCTGTGATGTGTATTGTTTTATTTTGCCGGATGTTTATCAATTTAACAAATAATTTTTAATTATTATTAGTTTTATTATTTAATTATTATTTATTTAATATTTAACTGTGTGTGACTATTATTATTATTATCATCGGATATATATATATTTGTGTGATTATTATATAATTTTTTTGTGTGTTTTCTGATGCATATTAATCAACTATAAGGTTCACAGTTGTAACATAACTATTTGGTAAGTTAGATGAAACTTATATCTATTTTTTAATTAATTAAAACTATATTTATTTAAAAATACAATTGGCAAACAGATAATTTATATATTTAACTATAATATTAATGAATATGCAATAATAATAATTAATAGATTAGTAAATAATGACAATTAGAGACTAAACCGTTATATCATTTTTATAGTGAAATTATTGCTACTTTTTCTTAAATAATTAAAGAGAGGAAACAATTAATGTTTTGAGACAAAGATGTGATTTTTACAAACAAATTGTCATTTTTTTGAAAGTGTAGGAAAAATTTTAAAAGTAAATTTTAGATACTTCTCCTATGAAAAGCCTATTGTTATTATAAATAATTGTCGGAAAACACAAATAGATAATTGTTTTTTAATAAATTGTTTTACTCTTTCATTATTTATTTATTTGTATTTTATAGATAAACACACATTGATTGCTGTGAAGTAAAAGATGCAAAAGCTTTACTTTATTTTATCGTTTGTTTTAATTATAATTTTTCACTTCAATGCACGTAAGTTTTGAAAATTATTATTATTTTATAATTTTATTATTATTATTATGATTACCTAATATATTCAACATTTCAAAATGCTTTATTTGTATTATTGGAATTTTATATAAAATTTATATATATATGTAAATACTGTATAATTAATATAATTTTACCAAATGTAATATTAACTTTTAAAAAGATATATAAAATAAAATAAAAGTATTAAAAGTAAATACTAGTTTATACTCCCATTACCCATATTTTCTATAAAATGATATTTTAAAATGATATGTTGTATTAAAATATTTTATTTTAATCAAAATTGTGATTTATTTGGTAATTGAGTTTTTATTTGGTAACAATCAAATAAATATACAGTATATATACTGTATAAAGGATTACAGTTAAGTGTAATCATAAACTAAATACAATTTAATGAGGCAATAGATATATCAGTCATCACTTTAAAAATTTCTTTAAATATTTTGTTTCCAATGGTTTTGAGTGATTCAACAATTGACTTATTATTATTATTATTATTATTCAGTATATTTCACAGTATATAATATATACAAAATATCATTTGCAAATCGCGTAATTATAAGGTTTTTTTTAAAAAAACAAAATAATTTCATCAAATGTATTATGAATAATAAAAATATTCAAAAAAGTTTGAACAAAAACAATTGAATAGAAAATATAATTTTATTTCTCAGTTATTAGCAAATAATACTTTATACTTTTTTAAGTTATTTTATTTCTATTAAATCTAAATTATAAAATAATTTATACATAGATTTTTGTCTTTATTTATATATATATATATATAAAACAATCAATGGATTTAGTCAAGGCTTGAGAGACCTGAAACTTTTAATCTTAACAATTATAGGAAAATTATTGTCAATTTTGTAGACACAAAATCATTGAATTGATATTTTTATATATGACTCATACCATCTGTTTTCTACCGCAAATAGTCTTATATTTAATGAATCATTTTGGGCGCACATATACTTGTATTACATACCTGTCCTGTTAGGTTTATCTATTGCATATCTATTATAATATTTTTTTATATATATATATTATTATTATTGAAATCTAATGTTTAGTGTTTGCCAAATGTTGTCGCTTTGGAGATACTGTACAATAATAATAACATTTTATTACATACATTATACTGTATTTTATAATGAATTTACATGAAAAACTTTATTTTATTTTATTTTTTGTACTTATAATATTAAAAAGGCAACAAAAATTTTGGAAAATAATATTACGAAATATTTATACAATTTTTTTGCATAGTTGTAATATATTTATTATATTGAATATATACAGGTATATACAGTAGATATATACACAGTATGCTTATAATTAATACAAAAAAATATTTAAATAATTATTGGGTCGACTGATGATTAAGTTAAGATTTGAAGACCTCATTGAGTGATTTTTCTCCAAAACATGATTATCACCATATTATTAATATGTATTTGTTTTAAATAATCTTTTATTATAAATACATAATATTTTAATGAAAATAAATTGGTTTTAATAAAGACTGAGAAATAATCTCAACTTTTTTTTAGATGCAATAACTTATAGCCTATGACTATATGTTAATTTTTATTTGTTTTATTTAAGTTGTTATCTCTTTTATTGTTTAATTATTTTGTTATAACTTCCAATAATATAATATATACTAGTAGTCTATATAAATATAAGTATATATAATAATAATTAATAACTAATATATATATATATAATTAACAACTTGATAAAAATATTTTAACATTTCAATAAACAAACAAATAAAATAAAAATATTTTTGGATTCATTTTATCTGTTAATGACTTTGAAATGAGAAAACCCATTGAACTATACGTTATTTAAATTATAGTAAATTACTGCAAAAAAAATCCAACTTTTTTTATATTTATATTTGCAAACTATATATTAAGGCATAATTTGATGTCATATCTATTACATATAATACATTATTTTTTACTGTTTTATATACAAATATAATCTAATGATTAGTGGTTTAATTATAATTATTTAACTATCATTTTTTGCCCAAAAACAAACAAATAAAACAATTTAGTTTTGTTTATTAAATAACTTAATGTATATAATTGATAGCTAAATATAAAGAATTTTTTCTTTATTTATTTATTAATTAATTATTATTATTATTTAATATTAATATAAACATTGGGAACAGATTTAAAAATAAATTAATGGGTTATATTATTCTTTTGTTTTAATATAATATTATCTCAGATGCCGTTCCCCTAAGATATAGGCGAGCATTTTCCTACATTGCCAATGATACCGGTATGTATTGATTTATTATAATAATAAACAACATAAAACAAATCAATTCAATTCAATAATAATTATCATAAACAATATTTATGATTAAATTATTTTGTAAGAAAAAAAACAAATAATTATTAAAATATCAACAAAGAAAACAAATTGCTTGAAATTTTTAATATATTTATCCCTCCAAAAAAAATTCCTCAAATCCTAAAGCCTGTACAGTTGACCACATTGTCTACAAAGACGGTGATCCGATCCCTACTGACGACCCGTGCGAGTCATGCAAGTGTCGACCACCAGGTTTTGCGTGTGTCCTAAGAGAGTGTGAGGTCAAGACTGGATGCAAAGCTATCCGAAGAGAGGGCGAGTGTTGTCCAGAATACCAGTGCGGTATGTCTTATATATATATATATATATATAAAGCCATTTTGTTAATTAGTTTTTATTAAAAAATAAATAAAACTATTAATAATAACAGGTTGTGAACACAATGGAAAGTACTATCGGGACGGCGACCGTATTCCCAATGCCGAGAGTCCCTGTTATTCGTGTTACTGTCAGGGCAGCTCAATTACATGCTCACTGGCCGACTGTAAGTTCAGATTTGACTGCGAACCTGAATATCTTCAGGGAGAGTGCTGTCCCCGATATGATCACTGTCCACCCGGTTAGTCATATATATATATATTTAAATTATTATCATTAATAATAATAATTTGCAAATCTTACAGTTACTAAATTAAAAAGTTAAATAAGTTATTTGTTTTGCCTATATTTGAGTATATAATGAATGATATAATATATTATATCAATAAATAAATTAGTATTTAATAATTGAAATTTTTTAAATAATAGCAACAATTTTTTAGTTTTATTTGTTTAATAGTTTGTAATATTTTTTAAAAAATAACTAAATTAGCAAATTCTGTAAAATTTCAACATTTTTAAAACTAAAACAAGAATAATACAAAAACTTATATTCTGTACATTTGATTATTAAAAATAGTGTTTATATCTAATTAAAAGTTACTTATAGTTTAAAAATATTTTTAGCAAAATTAATATGAATATATTTTCCGATAATATGAATAGTTAAAAAAAAGTTAAATAACTTTGATTTGATACTCTATAAAATAATAACAAATTAATTATAATATTTTATAAATTCAATTTAATATATTTATATATTTAATAATTTTCATTTGTATTTTTTATATATATTTAGAGCATGTAGCAACAAGTGTGACTGTCAAGAGTACTATGATACCGGTGCTGACCACACTCATGACCACAAAGCCAACCGTACCAATCTATACAACATCACAGTCGCCAATAACTACATCACCAGCTCATACACCACCAACAACAACAACTCCGGCAACAGCACCGACAGTGGTCACTACAACTACTACTACACCTCCATCATCACCATCGATGTCGTCGACGTCAGAAAACAAGGAATTACCCACAAGTACTTCAATCAAAATGTTTACAACAACTACAACACCTCCACCAGAGACAACACAAGAGCCTATCGCGACAACACTGTCGACTACCACCACCACCACTACTACTACAGAATCTCCTATAACAACACTATCTACAGAATATGCAACATCACCGCCACCATCTACGACAACAACTACAACTACACCGACGCCTATACCTGAAACTGAAACAACAACTACACCTGAGATAACAACTATGCCAGCGATGATCACCACCAGCACATCGAGCTCATCATTGCCACCATCGACTTTGCCGCCTATTTCTATAACTCAAAAAGATATTGTCGACAACTTATCTTCTGTTTCTTCGGGTTCAAGTCTAACGACTGAGGAGACTATAACCATCGCCGCCACCGTCGCCGACATCGAATCTCCAACAACTTTAGCCGCGACTATAGCTGATAAAGAATTGCCAACAGAAATGACTACAAAATTATCGATCGAATCGATTAGTTCATCGACGACAACACCACCAGAATCTACAGAATCCGTGACATTGAGAATATCGACAGAATTGCCGACCACTTTGAGTGAATCTAAAGAATCGTCTAAAGAGACAACAAATACTCCAATTATTGAATACTCAACAACTAATACTCCAGACATAGTCGTCAGCACTGATATCTCTGATGGTGTCAGTAAAGAAAGCTCAACACTAGTAACTGATTCAAGTCCTTCATCGGCTGAAACAACTGGATTACCTGAAACCCCAGTTTCTTCTACTTCGACATCAGTTGAAACAGATAAAAATGAATCAAGTGTTGAGTCAGTAACTTCAGCGCCTAAAGTAAACGAAATGACAACCAATTTGGTAACTACTTTACCATCATCTGAGACAACCAATGAAGACAAAATAGAAACGACTTCAAAGGAAGTGATAGTTGAATTGGAAACGACAACCAATAGTTTGATCACAGATTTAGATAAATCGGAAACAAAAGTGACTGAAGAAAAACTCATTCCCGATATGACCACAATTACAGATACACAGACAACACAGCCGCCATCGGTAAAATTGGATATCACCACCACTACTGCTAAACCTATTGAAGTCGCTGAAGAGATTACTACAACATCAGAGATTATATTGAAAGAGACTGTGGCATCGCAACCGTCATCTACAGAGTCCACCACCGAAAAAGTCACACCAGAAGATATTAAAACAACGACCATTGAAACTGAATTGACCACTAAATCGGAAACATCGGCTGAAACGTCTACTGAATTAAAATCAGAGTCGATTGCAACGGAAAGTCCAACAATAGTTAGTTCAGCAGAAAGTATTGTCACAGAAATGCCAAAGATTATAACAACAACAACCATTAGACTTGATTCGGAAACTAATGAATCAGAAATGACAACTAAACCAATTGTTGTCGAAGAAGTGGTAATTAAAACTGACGAACCACCAAAAGCTCCGGAAGAAATGCCGACAACTACAGTGAGATCGGAAGCGACTGTCATTGTGACTGAAAAAATTCAAACACAGCCACAAAGTTTGCCGTCTGAAACCCAACCTTCAGAATTGACAACTCAGACATCGATAATTGTTTCCGAAGAATCTAAGATTACCGATGAAAAAGCAGAAAAAACATTAACGACGACAACGATTCCAATAACAACCAAAGTTGACGATGAAATTAGTGAAGCAAACGTATCGCCCGACTCTATGGTCGACAAATCAACATCAGATCCAACTGTTGTTAAATCGGACGATCTGTTAAAAGAAATTACAACAGAAATTATAAGCACTGAAATGAGTACTTCCAAAGACATAATTAATGATAATACTGAACCATTAGCATTAGTTACAACAGTTAGTCCATCATCGGTGGAAACAATGACAACGACAACATCAATCAATGCACAAGACGTCACTAAAGTGACGGCGGCTAAAGACATTGTCGACGAGGCTGTGATTCCTGAAGTGACTACAACTAAACCACTGAAGACAATTGAAGAGATAACAACAACAACTACTACTTCTACTGAAGTTAGCGAAAATGTCGATAATGTAGTTGTTGTCAAAACAACAGATGAACCCAAAGTTGTAGAAGTAGAAAGTGTTAGCAACGAAGTAACAGAAATTGTCACCGAAGTAATGACCAGTGCATCGGATCCGACAATGACGACGACGACAACAGCGGTTCCAGTTATTGCCAATGATTCAAATGAATTGAATGACGAACCTATCACTAATAAAACTGATGTAATTGTTTCAAATGACACAAAACTTATCGAAACGATCTCAACAACAACAACAACGACGACAACACCGACACCAACAACAACAGTACTGCCAGAAATGTCTAGTGAATTGACGACAACAAGTAATGGTGGATCTAATCTGGAAATTGCCACAAATAGTGCCATTGATGATGATGTGGTGGTAGAAGATATTAAGACAGAAGCAAACAAATCGGATGAGACAACAGCTGAGAAAACTATTGAAGAGACGACAGAAAAATCTGGTGATATTATTATTGACTCTCTGAAGAAAACAACAAAAGTCTTTGAAGACATCGTTGAATCAACGATAGCGACGATTAGTTCAGCGGTTAATTAAAATCTGATTTTTAGGACTTAATTTTTTTTTAAAATAATAATAATATTATATAAAATTAAAAATAATTTACAAAAAAAACATAAAATTTGCGCAATTTTTTTATTATGACTCAAAAGTCAAGTCGTTTACAATAAAAATAAAATAAAACTAAATAATAATAATAATTAAAACAATCTTTGGTTTTGACATAAAAATTAATTGTAATTAAATTATATAAAAAAAACTTTAGTTTTTGAAATAATAAAAATAACTAAATTATTTTACACAAAAAAATGAATAACTTTTTTATAATCTGTATATAAATCTAAAGTAAAGTTTACAATAAGTAGTAATCAATAATGGTTTTAAGTTTAAAGTTATAAACAAAAGTTTAAAACTTTTTTAATGATATCATATAATCAATAATAATAGTGTCATTACTTTGAACTCCGATAACCGTTTTGCGGTATAAACGCCGGCGAAGAGTCCACTCGACGTCGGCCCACTTGAACAACATCGGAGGGTCGGGTAGTGTCCACTTCGACTTGGTTTTGCAATCGTCGGGGCAAGTCTTGCCAAATTGATTGGGGAACCGCTTCGTTGCATCGGTAGACCAAATCTGACCAAATAATGGCCTCTTGAGAGAAACAGAAGACACCGAGACGTCCGCCTTTGAGAGTACTGTCAAACAGATTGCCAGAGTCTGCGACCATATTCTCGCCTTCAAAGATCTGAAGTCTGAAATTGTAATTTAAATATTAACAGAACATTAATAATATCTATTAAATAATTTAAAGGCTAATCTCTCAGCTCATACCTAATGAGACCAATTTTAGGTCTGTGCAACATTAGCCACCTGTAGGCCACCCGTTCCTTCCATCCGACATTTCTCGGGTCGCGCCAAAGTAGTTTAACCTGATCAGTGGTATTTCCCGTGTGCCACAGCGAGTTGCGCAACATTTGTCCCGGTCCCGTTTGGGATGTGACCAGTTTGAGTTGTATGCCCGGTTCGGCTACCGCTCTAAACGGTGTGGCCTGCCAATAGGTTTGGGTACCTTTTTTCCACATAATTGAGTAGAAGTGTGCGTTGTCCTGATAGCTGAACACTAGGCCTACATAATCGTCATCGATCTCTGTGTCTACAAAGAATGTACCCTCGAAGTCAACGCCGCCAAAAGCGTGAAAACCGACAGCAAGTCCCGGATCGCTGTTCATTGTCTGTACGATTTCTGCTCCCTTATTGTAGATCACCCAATGAGGATCTATCTGGGAGTCGCCTTCCGGATCCAAAACCACTGTCTGATAGGCTCTGAAGTCAGTGGCGTAAACTTTTCTATTGTCTGGACATACATCCAGACTATCGGGCACACCGTCGCCATCGAAATCTCCTCGACAGGCATCGCCAACTCCCGTATTATTTGTGTCTCTTTGGTCCGGATTGTAAACTAAATAAAAGTTAAGTAATCTATTATAAAATAATATGATTTTTATGGATTCACACCAACCAAGTGGACAGTTGTCTAAATTATCGGCAACGCCATCGTTATCCTTATCAAAATCACATACATCTCCTGTAATAAAAATTATTTAAATTTTATTATTGATTAACAATAATAATAATAATTTTTTATTAAACCTAATCCGTCTTCGTCTGAATCCAATTGATCGCTGTTTGGTATCTCTATATATATGAGTCAATGTATGAATCAATTATTATATAACATTCAATTAAATTGGTAACAAAAATGATAAATACCGGGACAGTTGTCCACATTATCTTGAATTCCGTCCAAATCCCTTAAAATTAAAATTTATTTTATTTTATAAATATCTTAATTAATTAATTAATTAATCAAAAACCTGTCATAATTATTGTCACAGACATCTCCAACAAGATCTTTGTCCGAATCCTTTTGATTTGCATTTGAATGAAGCGGACAATTATCGCATTTGTCACCCACGCCGTCACCGTCTCTGTCCAATTGATCGCTGTTAGGAACAGTCGGACAGTTGTCTTGGCTATTGATTACTCCATCATTATCAGCATCGGGATCGCAAAGATCGCCTAAACCGTCGCCATCGGTGTCCAGTTGATCGGTATTGGCAATTGTCGGACAGTTATCGCAAGCATTTCCCAAAGTGTCCGGTCCATCGGCATCGGAATCCTCTTGATGTGGATTACTCACAAGTGGACAGTTATCCTAAAATGTCAATAATTCAGTTTTAATTATTTTGATTTATTATATTTAGATTTTTAAAAATAATTACCGGATCGTTGATAATGCCATCGTTGTCGGCATCTTCATCACAGGCATCGCCAATCAGATCTCTATCGGCGTCTTCTTGTCCACTGTTAGGTATCAGAGGACAGTTATCCTAAGGACAAGCACATTGTTTTGAAAAATTATTTTCAAAGTTATACATTTTATTTATTTATTTTTTTAGTAAATACCGCAACACATCGAGGATCGGAGCATCTAAGTTGATGGTCTGGCCAACCATCTAAGTCACTATCGGAACCACAGATTATACCATTGCCAGCGAAGCCAACTTTACATCTGCATTGAAATCGGGAATAACCTCTTCTCATAATACACTCAGCATTGCCGTCACATATGGTACCGTCGGGACAGGTGCCCGGATGTGGATGACAGCCAATTGTCTGATTACCCACAAAACCCTCAATACATTCGCCGCAAACATAGGAGCCCTGAGTGTTAATACATTGCGAATTCTCAACGCACCCACCGTTGCGGGCGTCGTCGCACTCATTAACATCCAGACAAAGCTTTTTTGACAACAAATTGTAAATTATTTTTTTTTTAGGATTATACCCGTCCTCTACATAGTAGAACATACCTGTCTATTAGCCCGAGCAAACTCTATACCGACTCCCTGTATTTGTCTGCCCGTATAGCCACCTGGACAGGGACCACATCGGAAACCTGGCTGCAAATTAATACACTGTGACTGTTGATTGCACGGACGGGCCAGTTCGCACTCGTCTATGTCGGTACACGTAACACCGTTGCCGGTAAGTCCTGGCGGACAGGCACCGCACCGATAACCCGGCGGCTTGTCATAGTTGGCACAGTTAACTCCTGGATAACATGGATTATCCGAACATCGTATTGCCGGCGTACAAGTCACGCCATTGCCCTTATAGCCACTGGGACACGGGCCACACCTATAACCATGTGTGTCGTCATCGATACATTGAACTCCTTGAAAGCACGGCCTGTCATCACAGGTTGTCATGCGTTGGCATTCAATACCATCACCAGTAAAGCCTATTTAAAAAAACATATTGAAAAGCAATTAAACCAACAAATAAAATGAAACTTAAAAAAATCTACTAAATGTTAATACCCTTTGGACAGGAACCGCACTTAAATGAACCATTTGGTAGGTCTAGACAACTAACCCCTGAGAAACAGGGACTTGTGGCACAACCAGTTACTAACCGAGCTATTCATATATTTTTATTAATTTGTTGTTTCAATAGCTATTAATTATTATTAATTATTTTTTAAAATCTCAAACCTCTACACATATCGCACTTTTCCAATGTTTCGCGCAATGCTTTAGTCTCTCTAGTCTTTTAAATGGATAAAAAAATTAAATATTATTTTTAATTTTTTAAAATAAAAAAACCAAATAAAGTGTTTTGTAGGAAAATACCTGTAAATCTACTGAATGTTTCAAATCTTTCAAAGTCACTGATAGTTCGCCAAATGCTTTCAATAGATAATCTTTTTCCTTGTATTTGCTGTGAATATAATAAGCGGTTCCCTCTGTCTGTTTGGGAACAGTGGCCGACACCGTACGGGTCACTACAATACGTTGCGGTTGTGTATTAATAATCGGCGATGACGTACACTCCACTTCCCGAAATGTTTGGCGGACAACATCTTTTGGATGACATTCAACTGAAAGTCTTTTATCTTTTTCCTAAAAATCAATGTTTAGAAACAAAAAAGAAAAATGTTATTAAAATTATTAGTTTAAATCTTTCCACAAAAAATAATAATAATAATAATTAATTATAAATCTAACCACTCGTACGGGTCCTCCTGTTTTTCGGTAACTATTAAATAGATTTGAATTAAGTGTAAGATATCCCTGTGAAACACATTCTGATAAAAAAAATATTTTTTAAAAATTGTTTAATCAATTAAATAATAATAATTATTATTTTTTTAAAAACAAAAATTAATTGACAAACTCGTATCATTAATTGCGTCCAATTCAAGTGTAAAGTTCCTCTCATGTGTCGGTCCTTTGAATGCCGCTTCCCTTAATTGTAATACAATGGATGGTTTGGTCCGATCCAGAGTCAGTATCAAATGGTTGGCCAAATTGCGGATTTCCACAATCGGCTGTCTGGGTAGTCGTCTCTGGGGTTTAAGTTCACGGAATAGTATACTAAAATCGTTGGCAGTGTTGATGGCATTCTGGATGTCGTGAGTGAGCTCTTGAGAAATTTTTTTAAAAATTAATTAATAATCAAATTTAACTAATTTTGACATAAAAATAATTATTTTTTTTAAAATCACAATTACTTGCATCATAGATGAGCACTGAGTAGACTATATTACTGGAAATAGTTATTAATAGCAATAATAATTTATATAATAAACACATTTTTCTTGGATTTATTTATTTTAAATAAATTCTTGAATTTATTTATTCACTCATTCAGTAAAATTCAGTGAAAGCCTACTTTCAAAGCAAAAATGAAACATTAAATTCTTGTCTCACTTTTTTGGAGTCAAACTGATATCGACTCCCAAATCAATTACACACACATTGAATGAGTTATCAATGAGTTTCAAACATTGCTTTTATCTGTAGTTTTCATTTTTCAACAAATCCGTGACCTCATGTCATATATATATTAATATAATATAAATATATAATATTATGAATATAAATATAAACAGTTATATATATATTTATATATATATGTTTTGGTTTTAAAATATTTAAATATATATATATATATATATACTGTAATATGTATATATAATGTAAATATAATAAAATTAAAATGAAAAAACTATATATTTTCATAAGAAATCAGTGAAGGGCAGCGCAAATGTTGCAAATTTGCTAAACAAAATCAATGCTAAATTGGTTTTTATTATTGCAATCATAATATAAATAACATAATTTTTAACTCTCTCTCTCTCTCTCTCTCTCTCTCTCTCTCTCTTTTCTTTCTTAACAATTTGTATGCGATAATTGATGAGTCAATGAAACCGTCGACTAATTTTTTTTAAGAAACCATTATTTCTAATAATTGTCATAAATTTAGATCAATTTTTTTGGTTAAACATTAGGTTTATTACTAATAATAAATAAATAAATAAACATTTATTGATAGAAGCTAAACATACAAGTTTATCAAACATTTTTGTTTGTGTTAGTGAATAATGCATTAATTTATTAAACATAAAAATAGTTACTATAAATTATCGAGAAATACAAATATATTAAATAACATAACAATAAATACATTAAAGGAATTCATTATTATTATCAAGTTATCTAAATATTATGATTTCAAAATTTTTTAGTAATTTTTAGTGTAATTAACATTAATTCATAATTTATTAGATTATTACTGTATTACGGGCACTATAGTAGTAAATTTAATTGTTAGACTAATTTATGTCAAAATAACAATATTATTATCATATGTAATGTTAGTTCATATTTATGGGTTATAGACTATTTTAATCCCAAAGTTTATCCCTTATAAAAATAAATAAATATATAAATTATTTTGATCTAAAAAAAGTTAGGGTTTCAATGTTTTAAAATAGTTATTGTAATAATTTTTTTTTATATACTACTAAAATGTTTATTTTAAAAAATGTTAATAATTTTAATAAGTAATGAACAATTAATTTTTTAAAACTCATATTCATTGTTTAATAATTATAATAAAAATTATTTAATTCCTAATTTTCAAATTAAAAAACTTAAATTGATTTAAATTAATTATAACATTAAGATATTACAATATTTCTTAACAATTATATATAAATGTATATAACTTTTATAATTAATAGTCTATTTATTATTTATTTATTAAACTAGAAAAATGCATTTCATTGAAACTACTAATTTTGATGAATGAGTTTTTTTCTAAAAGACAACAAAAACCAGTTAAGAATGCTAGAAAGCATTTTCAGAAAAAAAACTTGAATAACATTGAAAACTATTAGTTTTATAATTATAGCGGCTATATAATAACATAAAAATTTAAAAACTGGTCAAATATACATAATATAAATATTGTAATGTATGGTATCAAATGATTAAGTATGACAAAATAAAAAACTATAGTCATGTGGGGTATCAAATGATGTAGTATAACAAAATAATAATCTATAATTATACATTTGCCGCTTATACTTATTCTTTTTGTTCCCGTAGATATCAAAATTTAATGCATATTTTTTATCCTTGTTTTTGATTCTTTCTTCAAATCTATATTTAAAAAAAATTCTTAAAATTTTTTATACTTTTGCCGCCATTTTTAAAAAAATTATACTGATATATTATATCATATTTTTGATACTCTTTACAATTCTAAACGTTAAAATTTTTACCTAATTTTTTTTACTTTGGCCGCCATTTTCTTTATGTTCCCGAAGAGATATCAAAATTTTAATGTATATTTTTTATTCTTGTTTTTGATGCTATATTCAAATCTATACTTAAAAAAAATTTTCTTAATTTTTTTTTAATTTGGCCGCCATTTTGTCTATGTTCCCGAAGAGATATCAAAATCTTAATTAAACTTTTCAATACATTATTAGTAGTCCTCTAACCGAATATGAAGTCAGAATTTCAAAATTCGCAAAATGAAATGCTACACACAGACAGACTCAAAAAGCCATTATAGATTTCAGAATTTTTTCTTTTATCAATAATGTATTTCTAATATATATATTCTTTTATTTAATCATAATTTATTTTTGCATCATCTTTATTAATACGTTAACTTTATTATTTTGTAAACTTCAACATTATTTAATAACAGTATTTATAAGTTTGATTTATAGTAAGACAGCACTTTTAAGTAATATTATTTATTAAAATATTAAAAAAATTTCTGTTTGACCTAACCTAACCTAACCATACATTACCATACATTACCATACATTACCATACATTACCATACATTACCATACATTACCATACATTACCATACATTACCATTTTTTTACTTTAGCCGCCATTTTCTCTGTTCCCGAAGAGATATCAAAATTTTAATGCATATTTTTTCAGCTTGTTTTTGATCCTTTATTCAAATCTATACTTAATAAAAAAATTTCTAAAAATTTTTTTACTTTAGCCGCCATTTTCTCTGTTCCCGAAGAGATATCAAAATTTTAATGCATATTTTTTCAGCTTGTTTTTGATCCTTTATTCAAATCTATACTTAATAAAAAAATTTCTAAAAATTTTTTTACTTTAGCCGCCATTTTCTCTATGTTCCCGAAGAGATATCAAAATTTTAATGCATATTTTTCAGCTTGTTTTTCATGCTTTATTTAAATCTATACTTAAAAAATTTTCTTAAAATTTTCTTAATTTTGGCCGCCATTTTCTCTATGATCCCGAAGAGATATCAAAATTTTAATGCAACTTTTCAATACATTATTAGTAGTCCTCTAACCGAATCTGAAGTCAGAATTTCAAAATTCGCAAAATGAAATGCTACACACAGACAGACAGACAGACTCAAAAAGCCATTATAGATTTCAGAAAACAAAACTTTTCAAGTTTTTTTTGAATATATAATTTATTTTCTCAGAAATTAATTTTTACAACAAAACATGTGTTTATAAATTTAGTTGTCATCACATATAAGAGGGAATTAAAAATAGGACAACAAATCAATTGAAATAAAAAAAATTTTATTTATTTTTACATAAAAACTAATTTCATTTGAAATTATTTGAAATCCAAGGTTAATAATATTACTAATCATATAAATAAAAGGTCTATAAAACAAATTAAAAAATTATATCTATTTTATATAAAAATTTCTATATTGAATAATATCTATTGAATAATAATACTGTTGTATAAACATATAAAAATTTATTTGAAAAGTCGTTATTTTATAGGATTCACATTTCAAGTTGTTTTTGGAAATTTAATTATTGTATTTGTTTGGTAATTAGTTTTATTTATTTAAAGTTTAATTTTATTACATATATCTAATTTTTAAAAACATATAATTAACTTAAATAAATTTTTATTTATATTTACAAAATTTAAATTAGTTGTTTAAATAAAACTACTGTAGCTTAAAAATAACATAATATAAGATAATATAGTTAGACCAATATATATATATATATATACTAAAATTTACTGTATTGTACGTTAAATAATTAAAAATATATTACTTTACTAAAATTAAAATAAACTTTTTTAAATATAAGAAAATACTGATTATAAAATATATTAATATGCTTATTTACATTAAATACATTAAAAGTAGCATTGAATGTTAATAATATAAATAAATACAATTAATTATTTTTTTTGCAACAATTATCGTACAATTGTATATGTGTTTAAATAGTAATGCATTTATTATTTAGTTAATAATTCATTAACATTATAATCAATATTTATAATTACAAAAAAGTGTTTTTTAATTAAGTTTAGATTAGATAAGGGGTTTAAGTCTAGTTTAGGTTAGATTAGAAAAAAATGTAAATTTAAACTTTTTATTTAAACATATATTTTAAAAAAAAACTTAAAATACTTATATTTGGAAAATTTAGTTAATTATATTAAGTTCAATAAAAAAATATACTTAACTTATATTAATAAATTAATTTTTAAAAACTTTTACAAAAAAAATAATAAATAAATTTCGCGCAAACTGTACACTAATACTACTACTACTAAAAAATCAATAACGAGTCGACAAAATTTTATTTTGTTTTAAAACCAATGCCAAGTGTTTTGTAACATCAATTGTAACGTTATTTACGGACAAAAATCCTTTACAAATAATTTGCCGCCAATTGTTTAAAATGTTTTTATTTTTATTTTTTTAAATTTGTAAATGACTTTCAAAAGTTATCGACAATAAGGATCTCTTTCTCTTATAGTCTTCAGCAGACAACTAGTGATCAAAACAAAATGGTAAACACAATGGTATTATTGATGTTTAAAATATAGACACCATTGATGTCTTTGATTTGATTTTTTTTAGGCTCAGAGTGTGTCCGACGACTCTAAGATGAAACTAATGGAAATCAAGTATCAACTCTTGTACGACATCTGCAAAAAACAAATCAAAGTATCAGTTGTTGTTGTGTTTGTTGTTGACTATTGAGAGGATAGTCTTCCGGAGAGATTAATAACTTATCTTCATTTTTGTTGATCCAATACATACAATAGGATCCGTCGTTTCAGAAGCTATTCTCGTTGATTGAACTAAAGTATGAAAATCCAGATTTATATGATGTCATCAAAAAGTATGAGACAATGAGTACAGACATCGATGTCGAATCAATACATCATACCATTTATGAGACAATCAAAGACAAATGTATCGATTTGTTACAACTGATCTCTGGTCAGGACATCGATCGACAAGCGTTGAGTGACAGCGAAATCCAATCAATGTTGTCGTCAAAGTTGGATGTCTTGAGCAATGAGATCAATCAAAACCATACTCTGGAGAAACAATTGGAGAAAAACTATGAAACCTATCAAACCGTTAGTTATTTTTTTCTTAATAAATAATTTGCATTTATTTGTTTTTTTCATTAATTATTTTACAATATTATTACCGTATAGTTGGTCAGTGAATATATGGATAATGTTATGAAATATTATCAAAAATATAAGATACCATTTAAGCTGAGTTATGATGAGATTCAGTGTACTCTTCATATGAGTAAAGCACAGACACTGTGCGTCCGTAAGAGGTATTTATTTAGACGACAACGACATCCGGAAACCTGATGCACACAAAGACAAAGATTTTTTTAAAAATGATATTTTTGTTTGTTTTGTATCATCCAATAGATTGGCTGAAACAGAGGCTGTAGTCGAAAAGTATGGTAACATCGAAACGATTAAGAAGTTAACCGACGAACGAAAGTCATTGGAATCGGAGAACCATAGACTTGAAAGCGAACTCATGAGGGCTGAAGGACTGTTGGCTGAATATGAAGGTCTCGATAAAGGACTGCTCAAAGAGTATAAACGTGTTAAGAGTGATCTCGAGTGCAGAATGTGGGCCATCAATGAACTGAATAAGAGTTCTGGTTCTTCATTAGATGAATGAATTGAATTGAATTTTATAAATATTTGCCACAAATTATTGTTCATTTAATGGTTTGGTTTATAAACTGTAAATATTTTTCTGTATTTAATATTGATTTTGTTTAACACATATACCGGTACTTATATATTGTTATAATCAATGCAAAGATTTTTATATATCGGTATTTTATTAAATTTATAAACAAATAAAATAAGTTTTATTTAATTTGATATTTTAATACCAATATTGAAATACTATTGATTTTTTTTAGTTCCTAGTCTACATATAGTACTGTACCTACCGGTGCTACCAAACTAGCTGTAAAAAAAGTTTTTTTAATTTCAGGGTAAAATGCGACCGTTTTCCTCAATGATTGATCAATAGTTTGTATTTTTTTATAGTTAAAATTTTTAAATTTTATACTAAATTTTAAGTTTATAAAATTTAATACTAGTGCATAATTGACAATAAAAAAAATATCTGATTTTTAATAAATAATATAACATTATCATAAATTTAGTTTATTACTATAAATAAAAGATAGTTAAAATTTAATAATATTAAAAAAACTAAATAGTTTAATATATCATAATATTAAGTGTAATAGTTATTACGGTAGTAAGTAATAGGTAAAATATACCAACGATAATAATAATAATATGATTAGACTATAATATTTTTAAATTATTAATACAAATATGTGTACTCTATTATATAATCTTTATACTACTTTATAAGTCATTATAAGTTAAAATATAATTGTTAACTATCAATATTTTGTTAATTTTTTATTTATTTGGCAATTCTATGCTTAACACTCATAATTTAATACATTTTGTATAACCCTTAGAGAAATGTGAAAGACATTTATATACTGTATATTAATAGTATTATGTTTAAAGTTTAATAATATACAGTAACATAAATTTAATGTTAGAAAAATAAATAAATTTATAACAAGAATTTTGTCACCAAAAAATATTGCAAAATATTTAGACTAATTATTATATTATATACTATAGAAATCCCATATTTAATAAATTATACAATCATTTTGAAATTAATAATTGATTGTTCAGTATTGACAAATCCGATTATTTAATTGTGTAATTATAAACAAACAGTATTTAAATGATTATTTTTTTGATAAAATGTCAATTTTAAAATTTAAATGCTTTATTATAGATATTTTATATTTCATTTAATAAAATCTTCAATTTCTATAAACATGTATATATTGTTAAAATATCACTAATTGTTAAAACAGAGTCTATTTATTATATGAAATAATAATATATATAGTTATTTGTTCAGATAATCAATCGATTGTTATTATTATAATTATAAAATTTTTACAATTTGAAAAAAATTATATTTTTTATTTAAAATTAATTCAATATGTTTTTAAAATCATAATTAGTATAATATTAGTAGCTAGATAAGGATAATTTTAATATTAAAAAACTTTTTATCTGTGTTTAAACATAATATTTATATTTATTTTAATTACATTTGTAACCCAAAAAAAAATATTTATTTAATTTTATTATAACATTTTAATAGTTGAAAAACTTGACGTTTAATTGCATTTAGTTAGTCATATCTACACTAATAGACTATAAATGGTATATTTAATATGTATTATACATGTATTAAATGTGTTTTATATATGAATTTTTTGTTCACTAACTTTTTAAAAACTGGTTAACTCTATCATTACATAATAATTATTGTTGATATAGTGAATGATTGTCATAAAGTTTTTAACAAATATATTTTTTTTAATATAAAAATTAAATAAAAATAATTTTATATTGCTATTAGTTTGTGAGGAAATAATTGATTTGTAAATTATTTAAATAAATAATTGAATAAAAAAATAAATAAAACAAATTTTAAACAATAATTATATTATTAGTATATTCTTATATATATATCTATTGAGTGAATCGTTTTAGTGAATGAGTGCTAACCTTGTGTTTGACTATTAGTTTCAATATACCTGTCTGACTGTCTCTCTCTATATATATTTCTCTCTCCTAAATAGTGTTGGTATCGACTCTTTAATACAGTACTACCAGTGCTCAGTAGTTGACTTCGCATTTTGTCATTAGTTATACTGGATATTCCTATTCTGGTTGCCATCCATTCCTCTCAAACAGAGAAAAATATGACTTTTGTTATCATTACAGTCAAATGAAATCCAGATTTAGTTTTTATACTATTGTCTTATGGATTGCCGTCACACTCGGTATCACTGGTCAACAACAACAGTCCGATGATGTGCGACAAGTGCTCAGTTTGGGTGACAATGATATCGTCCGGAACTCCGATTCCTTTCAATATATTCCATACCAAATGGTTGACGAGCCGTAAGTTTTTATAAGTTTATTTTTGGTAACATTATATACAGTATATATATATATATATATATATATATATTTAATATTTAATATATGTGTATAAATATTTTAGGGAATAAATCGATTTTATAATAGACTAACATATATTTATATATAATCGATACTTTAGTAGTTGTGTATGCAATTCATGTAATGTTAGACATAAAAAACAATTATTATTAATATATTATTAATAATTTATTATTATTAAAATAATGGTATTTAATTGCCAGGCGCTACCTAATAGTGGCTCCGTCGCAGGTCCGACCCGGACAGGTATACAGAGTGGTCGTTAACCTTTTGGAAGCGCCCTTTCCATTGACAATATCCGCGACTGTTCAGTGCAATCATGAAGAGATTGCCGGTGCCACTGAACGTATAGCACCGGGAGATACACAAAACCTATTGATGAAAGTGAGATATTTTGTTGTTGTTGTAAACTTAATAAATAATACTAAGTATAACACTTTTATTTAGAAAAAATTAATACATTAGATTTTTTATAATTAAAAATAATAGAAATTTTGATAAAATAATTTTTTTATTATTGTTTAATTTATTTATTAAAAAACAATTTAAAGACAGTCATAATGTAATTAGATTTTTTTAGATTACTTTTTGATTATGAAATCATTTATTTACTATCATTTCCTGTCTTAAATATGGTACTCATATTTAATATAAATTAATATTATAATTGATTTTAACATGAAATCTGAGATCTTTTATTAGTATTATTATTAAATACAGTACTTTTTTAGCTGCTTTTATGTACATAGATTTAAATTTAATTATATATTATTATTAGCTATATATTTGATTGTTTCTTTATTAATATATTATTTTTGGTTATAAATACAATTACAAATAATAAAAAATAATAGATAAATAAATTTTCATTTCATATGTCTCATTAAAATGATGCACACAATTGATTGAACCGCAAATAGGTTATATAAATTTATTTATTTAAATGTATGCACAGTATAATAACATTTTGTGTGGTAGAGACATATAACGTAATAATAATAATAATAATAATAAAATAGATTAACAAAGCGTTAATATGGAAATAATTTTTTTACCATTATCAAAATATAGTTAATTTAAATTTATATATATATATATATATAGACTTTTTTTTTAAAAATTTTATAAACATAATTAAAGCAACTTTAACTATAATATACAGTATATATATTGTTCATCAATTCAATCCAAGGATAGCAACTCGTGACAGTATATAATCAATTTGATAAAATAATTGCATGATTTTTAATATATATAAGATATTGTTGTCTAGATTTCATACCTTTTTTATTATTATTTAGTTTTTCTTAATTATATATATACTGTGTATCGCAAAATCTTAGTAAACAATAGGTGTTTTAATTAAACATTTAATACTTGTTATAATTTTTGTTTATATCATCAAATAAAATTACATCAATGACAATTTTAGTTTGAAAAATATAATTTAAAAAATATTATATATTTTACATTCAATGTTATACATTAAAATTTTCTATTATTATTCAATAATTTTTTTTTTGATGTGTAATTTTCATTTCCTTTTACGATAATTTTTAAATAGTTATATTATATATTGTATATAAATATCTAAATTTTTAGATCATCTACAAAAAAAATTTGCATTAATAAAATACAAATGCATAATAAAGTTAGCCATCCATTATTATTATATTTAGCCAATTAATATGTATAATGTGAGTCAAATAAATTAAAACTACTTTATTTTGTTTGTTTGTTTGCCTAAAACATTTATATATAATTTAGTCTATAATATATTGTATAGAATCTATAGTAAATTATATTGTATTGTATCTTTTTATAGTTAAATAATACAAATATTAAATAACTCTATTTTATATAAAAGTATTCATAAACGTTATAGACATTCAATATATCTATAAATAATAGATTATTTGAAATAAATATCCTTTTTATATAAATCGAGTTTATATAAATGTATATATATATATATATATATATACTGTATATTGTAAATGTGAGTTATATTACAATATAACATATAAATTATTATATATTTTTTTTGGGAATGAAAACCAGGAAAATAAGTTTCAGTAAAAATAAACAAAAAAATTAATGATTAAATCGATAAATATTTACATTACAACTGTATAAAGTATTAAAAAAAAGTTCATATAATAACAAAAAAATATATATATATTATATTAAACAATTGGTTTTTTATTATTATTTTTATTATTAGATACCATTCACTGCACGAACCGGTAATTATCAACTGAAAGTCGAGGGCAATGCTAACGGTGTTCGCGGAGGCAATGGTTTTGTTAGGAATACAACCATCAGATTCTTACCAGAATTTCTTACAATACTCATACAGACTAACCAATTGGTGTATAATATGAATCAAAATAGTAAGTCATACCATACTGTTTACATACCTGTTCTTATATATATATACTGTATATACGGTACTACATTATAATCTAAGTTTAACTAAACTATTTAGTGTATGTTATTATATTAATACATATATAATTTTTTTTATTATACATAATATTATAAAAATCTATTTCAATTATAATTTATATAAATTAAAAACTATTAGTTACTAATATTAAATAAAAATTATTTATAAATATATTTTATGCAAGATTTTATCGCAGACTTTATTATTATTTATTATAAATTAATATTAATAATATTTACTACTAAAGAGTCAAACACCTGTACTTTAAACGCAATGTTTATTCATTATTTGAAATCATTAAACAATTGATAATAAAATACAATACAGTATTGTATTTGGAAACAATTCATCGTTGCATAACACATACACAGACACAACAATTTATATACCTATTTATCAATATATGGTATAAATATATACCTATAATATAATAAGTTATATACATATTCAAAAACATATGTATTGTAGTGTTTTGTCATTTTATTATCCGTATTAGTCACTCAATTAATACATCATTAATTATTAACTAAACAGTTATGATTTTAATTAAATTTATTACAATTATTATATATTTTTATGAGTCTAAGGGATACCTTATTATACATTATCACATATACCTTACAATAACACTGTATGACCTGACTTTCAAACTATACTATTTAGATGTTTACTAACTATAAATATACTTTATATTCAAAAGATATTAAATTTTATTGAGTCTAACTTTGCATAATTTTTTGTTTATTAACAATAAAAATTAACTAGAGTTTAATAATGTTATATAATAGTAATATAAAGTAAACTTCACACAATTACAGACAATTGAAAATCAAACCAAACAATTTAATATAAAAAATTATATTTTCTATTAATTATTAATTTAATTGATTCAGATATTGGATAGTATAGTAAAAATATAATAAATGCATTTATTTAATATACAGTATATTGTGTGGATATATAAAATATTAAAATTAATGTACAAATAATAATAGTTATAAAATTATTTAATAATTTTTGGTTTTCATTAATTATTATTAATAATAATATTATTATTATAATAAAAATTAATTTTAATATTTTTAGCAATTCAAAAATAACCAATCATAAACAATTAATTGAGTAATAATTTTTTTAAGTAATAAACAGATTAATTTTTATACTACATTACAGATACAAATTTTTGTGGAATACTAAAGTATTAAAAACTAACCAAGTACACTATTTTTTAAATTTTTCAATTAATCAACATAACCATGATAAAAAAATGTATTATACATGTCAAAAAAATTATTCACGTTTTATTTCATTGAAAGTGTTTAATAATTTTAATACTATAATAATAATTAATATTACAATCAATTATTATTATTGTTGTTAAAACAATTACACTATACTGTGATTCGTGATAATAAAACATGACATTAAATTGTTTACATAAAAATAATTTTTATGATTCATTTGATAAATTAAAAAACTACTAAAAATTTGGTCTAAAATGACTCTTTAAAAATTTAAGGTTAATTTCTGTATATTAAAAATATATTTTTAAAAATAAGTGTTCAAGTACAACTTGTAAAAGATTTGTATAAATTATTATAATTTTTTACAGTACTATGATTTAAACGTATTTTAATAAAATTATATTTTATATTTATTTATTTTAAACTTATACATAATGTAATAAATTAGTTAAATAGATTGATTTAATTATTTTTACATTTAAATGGTTTTATTTTATTATAATTAATTTAATACTAACACAAATGTATATTTGTTTAAAAATTTGTTTTCTTATGTAAAATATTTTTCATATATTAAATGCAAAAATTATTATTGATTTGAATCAAATATTATATTATAGTAAGTATACGAGTGATACTATTGAATATGGAAATGAAACCATACGTTGATGCCGTTGATGTCTATCTACTGGTAATTAATTAACACATTTTATATTATTATTATCATTATTATTATATTATACAATAATATTATAATTTTATAAATATTAAGTGAATTTGCATAAAACAAAAATCATAATTTCAAAAAAATGTATAATAATATAAAATTTTATGACCTTTTTGTTTCAATAATAATTTTTGTAATGAAAAACTCATTAACACAATATATACATACATTTATAGTATTACTTATTAGTCTAAATCACGCAATTTTAATAGTCCTAATATGTTATATTTAATAATTAAAAAAATACAGTAGTTATACATTAGTTAAACATTTAGACAACAAAATAATAATATTAATAAATCAATTATTAATTTTGTTTTGTTTAATAATATATAAATTACTTTATATAATAAAACTTTATATATTTACTATCTTTTGATAGGATTCTCGAGGACTTATAATGAAGAGATGGAACTCTTTATATCCATTTCAAGGCAAGAGGTCTTAATTATAGAGAGTTGTCTAATATTTTATGTTTAAAAATCTTAATAATTTAAAATTATCAACTAATTAGTAGTCGTAGTATTGTATATAACAAATTGTTTGGTAATCATTTCAAAACAATTAAAATATTATTAGATTCTACAGATAATTGTTTGCAATTTGCATAATATCATGAAAATAATTGTTTTAAACTTTTTTGTTTGTTTGTTAACAACATTTGATAATTTATTATTAATTTAGCCGTCTATATGAATAAATAGGTTTTATAACCCTTCAATTTACATTACCGGGTGATTATCCGAGAGGCTGGTGGACAGTCAGAGTCAAGGCTTTACAACAAATCGAGGAAAAGTTAGTTTTAAAAATAAAACTATATATACAGTATATAATAAAATTGTTTCATCAAATTAGTTTATGAATATTAAAATTTAATTAAATTTTGATTTTTTTTGTTGATTAAATAGAAAAATACTATTAGAGCGTTGGTTTACCAATCGGTTTGATGTTAGCATATCATTGCCGGCATTCATATCGCAAAACGATGACTATATCGAGGGTACTATTTATGCCAATCATACAAATTTGCTGCCAGTTGTGGGCAATGCCACCATCAGAGTCATCCTAAAACCGGAGAAAAAAGTAATCAATTGGCGAGTAATGAATGGAGATTATGATAATTATAATTCTCTTAACGAAAACGATATCTTCGAAGACATACTTAAGATCGATGTTGTCGACCACTTCCGAGGACAGTATACTTTTAGATACAATCTGAAAGAATTGTTCGCTGCCTTACTATCGACACCATTTCGCGACAAAGAAATTGTTATTTATGTGGAAATCGGCGAACGATTCTACGATACAATAGTGACTGGATATGCCCGGACACGACTAATCAATTCAACACTTTTACTCAGATTTTTGGACACCAATCCGTCCACTTTTAAGCCGGGACTGCCATTCGAGACATACATTGCCATCTCATACAGCGATTCCGTTCCGTTTCCATCATCAGAATTAGTACTATCGGATCTCTACATAACCCCATCATTTACTCTCAACAAAAACACCACTATTGGACAGTTAGGTTCGGCAGACTTTACCGGAAACAGTATGAGAATTAACTTTAACGACGATGGCGTCGGTAAGATCCGATTAAGGCCTCCGCCAAATATCGATCGGTTTACTATAAAAGCTCGTTTTTCAACCGTCGGCAATGTGGCCACCACCGAATTGCTGGTTGTTTCGTTTTTCTCGTCATCCAACCGTTTGCTTTATATAACGACAAGTACCGAAAATGGACAGTCAGGCGAATACGGAATATTTCACGTCTACTCTAATTTCTATATGAAATCATTCAGATATTTGGTTGTCTCCAAAGGCAACGTACTGTTTACTGGCGACGAACTGGTATCAGGAATGTTGCGATCGGTGACCACCTTTTCGGTGGCTCTTTCACCTGAAATGTCGCCCAATTGTAATGTCATTGTCTATCATATTACTCAAGACGGAGAGATTATATCGGACAGCGTTAGTCTGCCCATTGAGGGCATCAATAAAGTACAGCTCACTCTCAAAGTTAACCTAAATCAGGACCGAAGCGGTGATAATATTGAATTCATACCATATCTATCCAAAGCATCGATCATTGGACACAATGCCGTTGACGCCGATTTGGAGGACATTCAAGGATTTAATGACATAACAAAAGCAACGGTTGATATTGCTATCAGAAAATTTGAGACCAGATTTACCAAAAAAGTTATTCATAAGACCAGAGAAGGAATCAATAAGAAGGCCCTATACTTCTTGACACACAATATTGCCAGAGATTCGGGATCTACTTTTGGTGTATGTATTCCCGAAATCAGCGAAAAATTAATTTTAATTGATTGATATAAATCTTATAGTTCAACAATTTGGTTGTATTTACAAATCTCAAGATATCATTAATTAACCATCGATGCAATCCTCATATCTATTACAATCAGACACTACAAAATCAATTTCAATCGGCATTCACCAGTTGGCCACATCCAGGAGCTAATGTACCGAACTTTATGTCTCTGATGTGTCTAACCGGCAACGAATGCTACGAAAGTCATCAGCTGTGCGATGGACAGCGAGACTGTGCCGACAGAAGTGATGAACTTCTGTGCGAAAGAAGTGAAGAACGAAATGTCCAATTGTCCGACTTTATTGTCTATCGAAAGAATAGGAATAACTATTTTTATGGATCAAGTGGTAACAACTTTGCTTGGATCGACACATTTACCAGTTATAATCCGGACAACTATATTGGTCTCAGTGTTCCTCAGAGACCAGTTAACTGGCGATTCAATGCCATCGGTGTCGGACAGAGTACCGGGTTTTCAATTATGGATGAGTTTGTTTATGTAAGACTTCAATAACAAAAAATATAAATAATTTATTATCTTTTTTGTGGTAAACTTTTTTTTTGTTTGTTTAGTGGAATAGTGTCCGACCTTTCTTTATCACTGTCGAGGCACCAGAAGTTGTTGTCTTAGGGGAACAATTAGGCGTAAGAGTGGCTGCTTTTAACTACCAGCCCTTTGAAGTCCGAGTATGTATAGATATTATAGATTAAAATTGTATATAATTTTTAATCTATAACTAAATTATTATCCAAAAAGGCTGAAATAATATTAGAAGACTCAGATGATTACCGGTTTGTTGAAGTGGGACCCATGGGTCGGGTATCGTCCTATAGTCCTAAAATATCCGGCGGTATTCATCAACATCTCATCTATATTAAGCCTCAGTCGTCATTCTTAGTGCCCGTACCGGTGGTGCCAATCAAAAGTGGGAAAATCAAGATTGTCATCACTGGCAGAACACAAGTGGCAAAAGTAAATGCAATTTTTATTTATGAATTGTTTTTTAATAAGCAATTAATAAATTAATTATTCATTAAATTAATTAAAACGCTTTGATATTATAATAAGGATACTAAAGAAATAGATGTTGAGGTATTGGCTGATGGCGCTAAAGTATCACTCCATACATCACTACTGCTTGATCTCAGAGCACAGTCTTATATCATAAATTTTTTGGATATGAATGTCACTGAAGATCCCATTATTCCATATCAGGACAATTATCGGCGATATGTATTTGGATCGCCTAAAGCTTGGGTCACAATTATCGGCGATGTTGTCGGTGTGCCGGCAAAATTGAATCCGCCGATTGATTTTACCGATTTAGGCATCGGATCGACGGCAAAGTCGGGAGAGTTACGACTCTTTAATTTTGCTTATCTTCTCTATACTCTTATATACTTAAGACTTACAAATCAACTCGAAACTAGTGATAAACAAGATCTGTCTAAACAAATGTTGGAAACACTGAACAAAGAATACGTCCATCAAATGTCATTCTTCAGGAACGGCTATTTCTCGATGTTCGATCTGACCGGAACTCCCGGTTCGGTTTGGTTGACTGCATACGCGGCCCGGGTCTACTTTGACGCCCAATACGATGATTGGCATAATTTTATTTACATTGATCCGCAAGTTATACAACAATCGATTGAATTTGTTTTGCGCCATCAGATAGTTGATCCCAGCCATCACTATGACGGCTCGTTTTACGAATACACGCCGTACGGTAATTGGTCTAATCCGCGTCTATCGCCGGTCGCACTTACGTCGCACGTATTGATAACGTTAGTCAAAGTTACCGATGTTTACGGTGATGTCGGACTAAAGATTTCCAACGCCAAACAGTCTTCGGTGGCATTCCTCGAGAGAGTGTTGTATACAATTAATAATACTTACGAAGTATCGATAGCCACATATGCGTTGATGATTGCCGGAAGTCCTGACGCTAAGATCGGATTCAATAGATTGGAGTTTATGAAGAGGTCTACAGAAGGAATGGTTTATTGGTCTGAATATACTATTAAAGTAAGTTTTTCTATTGTATATCACTATATATGAAATAAACTTATAAATTATTAATTGATTTATAGATTTTATTAAAGTTAAATTTGTTAGATTTGTTATCTATAAAAATTATAAATTATTTTAGAAACTTTTTTGTTTTTTAAAGTTTATTGTAGAGAATTGTTTATCTGTCTATTAAATATATATATAATAGAAACTTGTATTTGTTTAAACAGCCGCAAGATATCATATACCAAAGTCAAAGGCCATATATTCAGCCGCGAACTCCGCAAACCTATGAATCGCTTGCAGTGGAGGGAACCGCTTACGCGCTGATGATTTATACAAGTTTTGGTGGACTAATTCAGGATCAGATTGTCAAATGGTTGGCTTATATGCGTCAATACGATTCGGGTCTTGTGTCGACATTTGATACAATAGTTGCCGTCCAGGCTCTGACCGACTACTCGTTTCGGACACACGTCAGATCCATAAGCAATATGAAACTGGAAGTGGAGGCGTCGTCCAATCCGGGAAACATTACCACAATTAATCTGTCGCTAAATAATCTAACGGATCAACACATTGTTACCGTCGAGCCAAACGTCTGGGGTTTTGTTACGGTTACGGCCAAAGGTGCCGGTATGGCCATTGCACAACTGACCACACAGTATAACGTGGACCACGACTTTCAATTACTTCAGCCGCCGTTTCCGGCATTTGATATCAATGTCGAACTGAAGTATTCGGGCAGAAATAAGTCCAGAATAGCTATCAAATCGTGCGCCAAATGGCTGTTGACTCAGAAACGAAATATTAGCGGAATAGCGGTCATGGAGTTAACGATTCCGACCGGCTATTGGCAACACAAGGCTGTCATCGACAGCTATGTAGAGAAACGTTCCGTCCGTCAGCTAAGCGAAGCCAAAGTATTGGGCCGATCGGCGACTTTTATGTTTGACTATGTAATGAAACACTAACTTTATATATAATATTGTCGTTAAATTTAATTAAATATTTATTTATAATCAATAAGTTGGATCACAACTGGAATTGTGTTGACTTTACTATAGAGCGCTGGCATCCCGTGGCTAACCTAACTCGTTGGCTAAAAGCTCGGGTTTATGATCTATACGAACCAGGTTTGGCCCTTATATTTAGATAATTTTGTTAACATTTTATTTTTATTTAATTATCGGTTTAATCGTATTTATAGCAAATAAAAGAAATGCATAAATTATTAGTTATTAGAAATTAAATTGAAACAAATAATTATAAAAATAATTATTATTTTATAGAGTATTTTAAAGAAGAAATTGTCGATGACTTTGGTCTCTATGCTCTACATATATGTGAAGTAAATATTTTTTTTTATTACATTTATTATATATAAAATTTATTAATTATTATTTTTTCGATATAAATGACTACTCGGATGAATAGGTCTGTGGTAGCTATCAGTGCCCTTACTGTCCATTCTTTAGCAGTTCATTGCGTCTAATCATTAATCATTCATTAATACTTATAACAACAATCATTATTATAATTAAAAATTGTTTATTAACTAACTAACTAATAATACATTATTTTAAAAAAAATGTTTATAAAATGCTTTATTAAAAAAATAATAATTTATCAATTTTGACACAATTATTGTTTATAAAATATTTATATATATTGTTCAAAGATATTTGCAATATAGAGCATACTTGAAAAGTGCAAAAATTTATAATAATAATAAGTTTACATATAAGTTATATTGTTTATTTATTTAATAATAAAAATTGTTTATATATATACTGTATATTTAAATATTTATAGCATAATATCATATTAGGTATTAAAAACTCACACATAAAATTAAAACACACATAAAACATTTTTTTTAAAAATAATAATACAAATCATTACCAAAAAAATAAAATAAATTGTGTTGCTTTCAAATGAGATGATTAAAAAAAAATTAGTTATATCAGAAGGAAATCAATCAATTAATAAAAAAAATAATCCAATCAATCGATCTTAAGGAGTCGGGCGATCACCTGTATTGCCAGGAAATGGTTATCAAATTCATAGACATTTGATTTGGCGATTTGCCAATTGGGCCAAAATTTATAAACACTTTTCAATCGGTATTTTTTAAACGATTTATCTTTTTTGAAGGCATCACTAATCTGTTTGATGGCACAAATCTTGCGCGTATCCGACATTACGTGCTATTAATATAGAAATTTTATTTTAAAAAAATAATTCATTGATTCAAAAACTATTATATTAGACATCATTACCTCAAATAACACTTTATTGTTCAACAGAATAGACAATAGTGTAAAACATTTGCAGATAAGTTGTGGACAACGACTAAAGTTTTTTATTATCCTAAATAATATATCAATTGTTTGGGAATTGTTGACCAAATTTGCGAGTGTTTTCTCATACTTTAAATAAATAATAATAAATAAATTGGTTAAATAATATAATAATTGATAATCAAAATAACAAATTAAAAGGTTAACTAAAAAAAATAATACTTACTTTTGCTAAATTCAAAAGTATATTAACAGTGAGAACGACAATCTGTTTGTGTGGTTCGGAACGATTGGATTCATTAAGTATTTGAATCAATATTTTGACGGCACCGTAGAGGACAAGTGTTTCGCAAGACACGGGCGACAATTTGGTTGTCCTATCGAGAGCTGACAAATCATAGGCTAAGTGTAGAAGTGAATCGTAGGCCAATAATTTCTGCAAAGCATTTTGTGTCCGATTTCCTAATTGCATGTCTTTAGTGGCCAGTGATGTGGACGTCAGTATTCGTTGGAAAGCTAATTGAATTTTGGCGTTTTCTTCGTGGATCTGTTTGCGAGTTTTATATCCTCTCCAGAAAGACTACAACAAAAAATTTGATTCAATTAACTTAATATAAGAAAAATAATAATCAGACTTTTTTTTAATGATAATTACCTGTATCTTAATCGCAGCTCTTTTTGTTCTGAAATCGACTAACTTGTCTCTGAAACGTCTTTGGATCAAAATGACTGACTGTCGAAGTTGAACAAAGTGTTGCCTATCGTATTTCATCTGTCTATTCGATCTAAATATCTTCTGGACCCAAATGGTTGTCTTTTTCAATATTAAGTATTGTTTCCTCTCTTGTCTCATATCTTTGTTCGATCTAAACCAACGTTGAATAACAATAGTGGATCTCTTCAGTGATTGGTATTGTTGGCGATCTTTTGACATCAATTGATTAGCTCTAAACATGTTTTGAGTCCAAATAACAGTTGATTTCAGTCTCAAATAGTTTTCTCTTTCTTGACGCATAAGTCGATTCGCTCTAAACTGCATTTGAACCCAAATAGTTGACTTCTTCAACGTTATGTACTGTTCCCTCATTTGTCTCATAACTCTGTTAGCTCTAAACCGTCGTTGAATAACAATAGTGGATCTCTTCAGCGACTGGTATTGTTGGCGATCTTTTGACATCAATTGATTCGCTCTAAACTGCATTTGAACGCAAATAGTTGACTTCTTCAACATTATGTATTGTTCCCTCTTTTCTCTCATAAGTCTGTTCGCTCTAAACCATCGTTGAATAACAATAGCGGATCTTTTAAGTGATTGGTATTGTTGGCGATCTTTTGACATCAATTGATTAGCTCTAAACATATTTTGAATCCGAATGACAGCAGTTTTAAAATTTAAATAATTATCTCTTTCTTGACGCATAAGTCTATTCGATCTAAACTGCATTTGAACCCAAAGAGTTGACTTCTTCAACATTATGTATTGTTCCATCTTTTCTCTCATAAGTCTGTTCGCTCTAAACCATTGTTGAATAACAATAGTGGATCTCTTCAATGATTGGTATTGTTGGCGATCTCTTAACATCATTTTATTAGCTCTGAATATGCTTTGGGTACGAATGACAGCAGTTTTAAGATTTAAATAGTGATTCCTTTGTTGTCTCGTCTGTAGATTCGATCTGATCTTCATTTGCATCCAAATTGCAGTCTTTTTCAAAGTTAAATACTGTTGTCTTTCTTCTTTCATTAGTTTATTTTTTCTAAACCAACGTTGAATAACAATAGCGGATCTCTTCAGTGATTGGTATTGTTGTCGATCTTTCGACATCAATTGATTAGCCCTAAACATGCTTTGAATCCGAATGACAGCAGTTTTTAAATTTAAATAATTATCTCTTTCTTGACGCATAAGTCTATTCGATCTAAACTGCATTTGAACCCAAAGAGTTGACTTCTTCAACATTATGTATTGTTCCCTCTTTTCTCTCATAAGTCTGTTCGCTCTAAACCATTGTTGAATAACAATAGCGGATCTCTTCAATGATTGGTATTGTTGGTGATCTCTTGACATCAATTTATTGGCTCTAAACATGTTTTGAGTCCAAATAACAGTTGATTTCAGACTCAAATAGTTTTCTCTTTCTTGACGCATAAGTCTATTCGATCTAAACTGCATTTGAACCCAAAGAGTTGACTTCTTCAACATTATGTATTGTTCCATCTTTTCTCTCATAAGTCTGTTCGCTCTAAACCATTGTTGAATAACAATAGCGGATCTCTTCAGTGATTGGTATTGTTGGCGATCTCTAGACATTAATTTATTAGCTCTGAATATGCTTTGCGTACGAATGACAGCAGTTTTAAGATTTAAATAGCGATTCCTTTGTTGTCTCATCAGTCGATTCGATCTGATCTTCATTTGCATCCAAATGGCAGTCTTTCTCAAAGTTAAATACTGTTGTCTTTCTTCTTTCATTAGTTTATTTTTTCTAAACCAGCGTTGAATAAAAATCGCAGATCTTTTAATAGTAATATACTGATGATATTCCTCTCCTTTAGTACAACGATTGGCTCTGAATTTGCGTTGAATCAAAACGGCTGATCTCTTAAGTGATTGGAAATATTGTCGATCTTTTATCATCAATCGATTAGCTCTGAATAGTCTTTGAATAACTATAGCGCTCTGTTCGCGCAATTGTTCTTCAGCTAACAGTTCGTCTTCTTTGTGTTTAAATATAATGGCATCCAATAAGGCAAATGTCTTTTTCCGGTGACCATAAACTATATCTTTCGGTGAAATACCGTTGGGAACAATCTGATCGAATGCTTTGAGAGCCACATCAATGTTATGCAACTTTCTTGTAATATTATTACTCGGATACAGTAGTTTAGATAACAACTGTTTATGTTCAGTACACAGTTCAGCCAATCGGGCCAATCGTATACCATCGCGAAAATCGATGGCCAAGTTTTCCACTTGAAAATCATACTCTTCAATAGGTGTCTGTTTATAATTCAGCGAAAACCCGATGCTTCGTAAATATTTTGTTATATCTCCGACACCAGTGATGTAGTCGCGAGCAAACGATATAATCAGATCCACTGTCGACTTATTAGTGGCTGAATGCCTGAACAAACACGGATTGTGTTCAATGAGTCTTCTTTGTTTAGCGGCGTCCAAAAAATTAAGTAAATTCAAAAATTTTATGAGAATATATTTTTTAGCCTCCAATATGTGGTGATCGTCTTTAAAGAAGTTAACAACAGTTTTGTGTCCATATTTGGCAATCAATTCTTTCGAAACCAATAGGTTTTGGGCGATAAACTTTCCAAGAATTAAGCGCATCTGATTGGATGAATTGGTGGTCATTTCAATCTTATTATTATAAATAGTTTCCAAACCAATTCTAAGCCACAGAGGATTATATGACAACAAAAGATCTATAATATGTTTGCGAAAACCAATGTCCGCATGAATGGCTCGATCCTTACGTACGGCAAACTTGCTGTTATGGATGTCGGCCAACATTTTCGAGTTAACACGTTTGACATCATTTGACTGATACAATGCCAGCGCAGTACTTCTCAAACTGTTCCACTTTAACGACTCTCTATAGGTTTGAGCAGACATTTGTTCTTTAGTCGGACAGACAGTGATTTCGACTTTAGTTGAGTTAAAACAATCCATAATCAATAGATTGCAATCAATTTTGTCATTTTTATCATCAACTTTGGGCGCCAACATTGTATTACACCACGACATGTACTGAATATCTTCAATACCGAAATACGATTTGGTCGCCGATTTTGATGGCGTACTAAGTGATTGAATGATTGCCGATTTATTTCTTGGCGTCAGAATAAATGACGCACCACTTGAACCACTGGATCGTCTTTTTTTGGTCTTTATTATGGTATTTGACATCAAATTAAGTGGTGTTCGCGACTTAGGACTCACTCGAAAGGTTTCTCTTCTCAAAGAGTTAAGACTTGTTCGCCGAACTGGTGTCGCGACCTTTGCCGGCGTCAACTTCTTCTTGATTTTCATAGGCAATCGTTGGGGAACCGAAAACTTGTGATCAGCGGCGGTGTTGTCGCTATCATTGTTGTTGACATTGACTGAATTCTCGCCCAATGGGACCCAACTGAGGCCAAAGTTTTTCTGTTTCTTCATCGGTCGCGTCCGTTGTTCATTCTCCAAGTCGTGGTATTGGTCATCGTCATCATTTGTCACCGCAGTGTTGATCTCAATGGGAATCCAATTGAAACCACCGCCTCCTCCGCGGCGATAGTCCATTGTGTACTCAGTATTGCCAATTGTATGCGTTTTGTTGGCGGACTCGGCAGTGGTCGTCGTCGACAACATGTCATCTTCGGGTCGACTGCTGTTCGTGTCGTCCATCGATATCCAAAAACCTCTCTTAACTGAACCACTTTTGTCGTACGTTTTGTTCATATAGTTGTCCATCACGTTTGAGATCAGATGAAAATCAAACGCATAACAACTCGTCAATCAATCAATTAATAAGTAATAATAAGTCAATCAATCAATGAATGTCTTCAATGAATTCAAAATTACTTATAAATAAAAACTTCAAATAGTTTTTCAATAATAATAATAATAATAATAATAATTAACGACAAGTTTTTTAACAGTTTAAATGTTGAAACGCTTTCAATGACTCTCATTGGCTAACAGTTTGCTAAACAATCGATTTGATTGGTTCACAAGTATAACGATAACGTAAATATCACAATCGTTTTATATAAACAGTACAGTAGAGTCTCGTTTATGAATACATTTTTGCAAAAAGTAAACTATTAATACAAGTAATTTAAAGTTTGATAAAAGTTTTTTAATGTAATTTTTATTATTATTTTAATAATTTAATTTATTATAGAGTATATTATTATTTCATTAAATAAACTTAACAATTATTACAAAACTATAATTACATCATTATTTTTAAAATACATAATATTATTAATACTGTATCAAACTAATAGTACAGTAATTCATATGTGTTACACATAGATTTTTAGTGCCATAGAATCATAGTTCAGTTAATATTAAAATATTTATAACAGTAAACTATAAGCTCCTCCCACAACACGCTTTAGCTGTTGTAATGTGCGATCAATGTTTGCAATTGTAATGCAATGCAATGCAAATCACATGTTTTTAAATTGAAAACAATTTGTTTTTGATGACTAAATACAATACAATTCATTAAAAGATTAAACTGAAGATAACAAATGACATCACTTTATGAGATCCGATACGCGCCGAGCGTTTGGCGTCTACTTAACGGCGTCTTCTGTATCTATAAACCAAACCATAAGTCAGTTTCATCGACCCGACGGACACTTCTTAATAATCTATGCAATGGTTAGTATTAAATGTCTTTTGCAGTGACAATGATATCAATGAAATCTAATATCAGATTATTATCTTATATCTGATCACTAGATCTCAACGATATGATAGTCCGACCGCCGCGACAAATGGTTCAAATAGCTGGTGATCTTTCGTCGGGCAATGAACTGAAAGTTGAAATCAAAGAAAATTTGTCCGACAATCCACTTGTTGTCGGCAAACGATATCAACAGCAAGACTTTGCACTTTCTGTTGTCAATAATCCGGGATATTTTGCGTCCGGTGTTGTTGTCGTGTTTATCGGCAAAATGGCCAAAAATGCCAACGAATTTAGAAGAGCTAATCATTTAAGAGTTTACGAAATAAAAGGCCGATTAGGTATGACAACAGACAATGCGAACAGTGATGGAAGGATTGTCGAAAAGTCGTGGTTCAGACACGTCAACGAAGGACGGATAAGCCGAGTCCTGAGCAAAATCGAGTCAACACATCAAACGCTTATGTATAAAGTTATGGGAATCGATATGACCACTCAGGAAGCATACGATTTGGCCTCTCGGGGAATGGTTAGGCCAGCTATGCGTAAGACTATTCCCATCTTATATAGGTTACGTTTGACAGACTTGTCATTGCCCGAGTTTACCATTGAAGTCGAATGTATCAACGAATTTGATCAATACCTGTTTGATTTGATCCAAGATATTGGTTTTAAATTAAAATCAACGGCAATGTGTAAACAATTAAGACTCAAACGGTACGGACCATTCACTGTCGACCACTCTTTATTGTTAAAGCACTGGACGTGCGAACATATCATAGAAAATATACAATTATGTAAATCAATGATAAAACCGGAATGTTTTCAAACATTATCACCACTGCTATCGAGTAGTAGTGATCAGTCAGTGGTGACCAGTGTTTCCGATCAACAATTCTTTTTGGATACACTGAAACAATAGAGAGATATGAAGAAGTTATTGATTTAATAGAAATTTTAGTCAACAAAAAAAATGATATCAAACCTATAGTGATGATGTCGTGCAAATGTTTCGGCCACTAATAACGGAAATATGATCGAAGCGTCGGCATATATTTTGACAGGTTTTGCTTCACGTTTTATTTTGCCCCACGAAACAGCCTCATCGGGTCGGGCGCCGGCATCGCTGCCATCAAACTCATTGGCCGTATTTATAAAAACGGAATAATCGGCACCGTTTCTCTATATAAAAAAAAATAATTTATTAGATATGAGTTATTATAAAAATATTATTAATACCCGCAATCATTATTGTGATATTAAAAAATACTAATTTTGAAATTATGTTATTGACTGACCATTAAGTTTGCGTTACAGATATGATGTTTAACTAAACCACCGCCTAATATAATCATTGCCGACTTTCGGGCCTTCACTGCTATGGTATTAAGTCGTCGTATATCTAATAAAAATGAAGATTACAAAAAAAACAAACAATTAATTGGTGGTTAATCAACAACAAAATTAGTATCAATTGTGTGTGTGATGTGAACCTTGAACTATATCAATGACAAGACCCGGGTTTCGATAGGTGTGAAAGTAGATCATATCGCCTAACGAGCCGTCAGTAAGTGCCGGACAAAAAACTGGTATCTGATTGCGTGCCGCCCAATACAGTATCGATTCTTCATTATTAATCTTTTCGCCTAATCTGGTAATAACCTTCGATGGCGACCAAACTATTTTTTGTTGTTGTTGGCCATCACTACTATGTTGTTCTGCAAGCATCTGATCCAATACTGGTTGAACCCAATTCTCGAATTTACAATAATTATCGTTTGGTACCAAAAGATTTCCAATTCTATTGATCCCTTCATCTCTTAGTTCACTACCTTTTAGACTAAAATCGCCGACAAATGTCGGACCTAAACATTTGATTATGTCTTCCTCTACACCGCCAGCACTGGTGACAATACAGTCCACCTGATTAAGACATGTGATATATATATATAATCATTGACATGACATGAGTTTGTTTTAAAAGTGTTTACCATTTTGTGCTGAACCAAGAATCGGATGGTATCTCTGACACCACTGGATATCATATTAGAAGTATATCCTAAAAATATGGTACAACCGGTCTTTCGTCGGATAAAATTATCGCTTTCCAAGACGTCCTCTTCGAACGGTTCGTCGCGACTCTTCAGCTGAAGACAGTAATGTTGTCGACAGATATATATTATTAATAATAAATCAAATGACATAACTTATGACAAAAGATAAATGTTTACCATTTGTTCAATTTGTTGAACAGATTGTCCAAAACTGGTCGCTTGAAATCCAGTGGTCAGATATGTCTGAAGTAGTGCCGAATGATTTATACCTTCATTGAAGTCATAGCCCTTTACTTGAGTGGTAAATGTATCGAGAATTGAATCCGTGGTCTTCAAGTGTCTGCCGTTAACATCAACGCAGTGGTGGTTATCGTCATCGGCAGTACCTTTACTGGCCATCAAAACTGCCTCTTTGGCCACCAATGGTATTGTGTTCATTGTTTTTTGTGGATCTTTTTCTGGGATCAAATTGCGGTGATTGTCTGTCAACAGTAGTAATTGTTTTTAATTATCTAAATATTTAAAAGTTTTTTTTGTCGCTTTAAATACCTTATGAAATGTGTTTTAATAAAAACATATGATTTTGTTGTCATATATTTGTTTTGACCAATAATTATGTCAAACAAATACAAATATAAACTTTTTATTTTTCATCAACTATTTCATTGATAATAAATTTTTTATAATAATTGTGTCAAATGTTGTGAAAATTAATTAATTTTTGTTTATTAATTGATTTTTAATAACAATTTTTTTTTATAAACAATTAAAACGATAGATATTTTTGAATATATTGTCAATAATTTGTGGGACATATGGTATGGATGTGTCCCACAAATGCTTTAATATTATTATTCATTACATCATATGTTTTGTAAACAATAAGTTGTAATAAAAAAAATAAATGCCTTTTTTTATTAAGAAACTATTGGATCAGCTAATAGATAGACAGATAAAGAGTGAGTGAAGAAGTGATGTCCAAATCAAAGTACGAATACGTTCGGACATATGAAGACTCGTCGGATCACATATTACTGAAGGACTGCTATATTGTCGTCAGAATTGATGGACAAAAGTTTCATAAGTTTACCAAAAGACACAATCTTTTGAAACCTAATGACAAACGGTATGTCATCGACTTTGACCACATTTTTTACTCATGAGTTTAATATATATGATATATTTGTATTTTTTTGTAATACTAGATGTCTGGATCTGATGAACGAATCGGCCAAACATGTCATCAAATGCTTCTTCCCGAACATCGTTATGGCATACGGTATGTGTGAATCAATGGCCAGTGATTATCATATATTGTTTGTCACTCAAACTTGATTTCATGTCTTCACTATTCATAGGACAGAGCGATGAATACAGTTTTCTTATCCGTCGTATGTCTGATCTCTATAAGCGACGCCAAAACAAAGTCCAATCACTTATTTGTTCTTCATTTACTTCGGCATTTGTCTACTATTGGTCACAATATTTTTCAAGTAACGAGTTGTTCACCGATCGGAGGCCATCGACATTATCATCATCGGTGGTGACACTTCAATATCCGCCGGCATTCGACAGCCGTTGTATTCTCTATCCGAACGCCAAAGTCGTTATGGATTACTTCCGATGGCGACAAGTGGACTGTCACGTCAACAATCTGTACAATACTGTCTTCTACGCACTCACCGGTCAATACACTAAATATCTTATCAGTAGTTCCAGTAGTGATAGTTCATATAAGATCACCACTTGCGACAAACAAGTCCAGCCCATGACTCCGAAAGAGGCTACCGATAGACTGTCAAAGACTATCAGCTCAGATAAACATGAGATCATGTTTACAGACTATGGTATTAACTATAATAATGAATTGGAACAGTTTAAGAAGGGATCAATTATTTTGTTGAATATCAACGACGATGTACTCCAACAGATTAAACCGAAAAAGAAAAATTGGGATCAAATACGTGAAGATATCGATGTCGATCTAAATCAGTTTATTGATGTAAAACATTGTGATATCATTAAAGACGAGTTTTGGGACCAAAATCAATCACTTTTAACATAAAGTATTGTGAAATTAAATATATATATTTGTTAATCATTTAATTAATTAGTTTCTATCAATTAAAATAATTTTTTGATTGAATTGATATAAAATGAAATATTTAATTTACACGAACAAAAAAATTATAAAACTATTGATAATAACAATAAAGTAATTGTTGACAACAATTCAAATTTACGATAATTTTTAATTTAAAAACCGTTAGTTTTTAATGACATTTATAATCACAACTGACTGACAGTTAACTTAACATTTATTATCTGTTTTGTGACACACAGTATATCTACTTTACTACTAAACCAATGGGTAATACAATCTGTTACTACATTTGCTGTAGTTGTTGTTGTAGTCGTTATAATCGTCGTGAAGATTATCTGAAAAAAGAGAGACATAAAGAAAAGAAGCGAACAATGAGACAGTTTAGTAAACTATCGAAAAGTCATAAAACGCGAGTCGAAGTCGGATCCTATCCGACAAACCTGACCATCGAAGAGATCAGTAATATTGTTGAAATACCGAACGCGAAGTACAATACAGAAGACGATGTGATCGCCGGTCGGGGCTATCTATTGGGCCAGAAGTTAGGCGAAGGAAAGTTTGCTACGGTTTATGAAGCGACAGACATAAAGTTCGGGACAGAATTGGCCGTCAAAGTGATGGTATTGAGTGACAAAAAATATAGGAAAGCTGAACGCAATGCACTGGTTAAGGACATTACGCACGAACTGTTTATGTTGGAACGGATTCGGCACCTGTATGTCGTCCGATTGGGCACACATTTTGTTGTTGAAAACCATACGGCCCCTAAGTCTACGGTCTATATTGTGATGCAACGGGGAGTGGGTGGCACACTTGCCGAACGTAACAAACAGTCGGGACCGTTCAATGAGGACGTGTGCCGGATCTGGTTCTCGCAGATGTTGTCGGCATTGGTCTATATGCACGCAAGTGGTATTGTCCATCGGGATCTGAAAACACAAAACATACTTTTAGATATAACTGACGACATACTGATCAGCGATTTTGGACTGAGTCGTGTTGTCTACAGAGAGGGCGTCCAATTGGAGTCGAATACGTTTTGCGGTACGCCTTCATATATGGCACCCGAATTGGTGAATATGAAACTGACAAAACAAGAGCGCCGCCGCCGACAGACACTGAAAAAAGACAGCAAAGATGGTCAGCCAAAGTTGGGTTATATGGCGCCGCCGGTCGACGTCTGGGCACTTGGAGTCGTATTGTTCACACTGTTTACCCAAAAGTTTCCGTACGATTCATCTGATCTGAATCGTTGGTCGCAAATGTTAGTAACAGATATGCAGCACAAAAAGTATCACTTTGAGCGTCATCTTCAGCCGTCGACAGATTTGGTTAATATTATGGACCAAATGTTTGAACCCGACCCAACTCGACGATCGACAATGTTATTACTGACCCGACATCCGTGGATTGTTAAGAAATATGAAGAAACCAACAATAAAGTTATCGATTGGTTTAAGAGTAAAAAGTTATCGAAAAATATATGAATATATAGACAGAAAAGTTTTTATAAATATATTTTATGTGTTATTAAATGATTGATTGTATTGTTTTGTGTAATATTAATATCACTTAAAAAAATTAATTTAAAAGATTTACCGGTACATTACCGGTAATTTATTTTATAGCTACAAAATAATTTACTGGGACTATTACCGTAATATAAATATAAATTACCAATGATTTATAAATAGCAAACAAAAAACATTTTTAAAAAATTATTATTTTACTATAAAAATTTCTCTGAAACTATAAATTATAAATAAATTAAATTAAAAATAATTTATTTTACTTATAAATTAAAGTTTTAGTTTCACTGAAATAACATGTAATGAAATGTTAAAGAGACTATCAATGTTTGTAATTACTAAACAGTCCCTCACATGTGTTGTCTATGTTTTTTGTATTCAATATATAAACGCAAAAAGCATTTGTTTTTTATATAATTTAATTCAAACATCACTTCAATTGATTTAATCAATAATCATCACCACTGAAGAAGACCGACGACGACGAAGACATGTCCGACGATGAACTTAGTTATGTTAAGCGACAAAAAGTCATACATTATGGCAGTATTGAAGACAAAGAAAGGGAACGAATAGCGACAATCAAAGACCGACAGACCACTGCCTCCGCATCCGTCGTCGTCAGCGCCGCCGCCGCTGTTGGCAACAAAAATGACGATTATTATGATTTAGAGAAAGAGGTCTTAAGTAAAGATAAACAATTGGTTTTGGAAGACTTTGAACGCAGAAAGAAGGCCCGACAGATACATGTGTCCACCGATGATATCGAAGTCAGGGCTCACTTAAGACAAATCAATGAACCGATTTGTAAGAATTGATTTTTACCGATTATTTTTTTATAATGAAGACATAGATATCTTAACAATGAATTATTTGGTTTTGTTTTTTTATAGGTCTGTTCGGTGAGGGACCAGCCGATAGACGGGAACGGTTGAGACAGTTATTGGCCCGATTGGGTGAAGACGCCATCAGAAAGAAGAAAGAGGATGAAAGAGGAGATCAGAAAGAGGTAAAGAATTAATTTGAAGATTTTTTTGTGATTATTTAAGAGATCAATAATGACTATTAATTATTATATATATGAAGACATCCCAGACCTGGTACCACGAAGGACCCGAATCGCTACATTCGGCTCGACTATGGATTGCAGAATATTCCATACGAAAAGCCAATGAAAGACTCCAAAAGACACGAGTTTTTAGACAGACTCCCGAAGAAGCCCGAGCCGCCGCTTCCCAGGAGTTGTACAAACATTTGGGCGGAATTGAGATCAGTTGCAGTCAATTGGGTGACACCAGACCGCTGTCAAGTTGTCAGTTTAGTCCCGATTGTTCACTAATTGCCACTTCTTCATGGAGTGGTTTATGTAAACTATGGACAATGCCTGACCTCAAACTGAGATCAACATTAAGAGGGCATAATTGTAATGCCGGACACATAGTATTTCATCCAAAGTCAACCAAAAGCCAGTCAGAAGAGAGCCTAAACCTGGCCTCATGTGGTGTCGATGGTTCTGTGCTTCTGTGGAATCTTAAAAGTGAAGAACCAATGGGTAACCTTCCGGGACACGAACCGAATCGTGTCAGTCACATGGAATTCCATCCGAGCGGTCGCTTTTTGGCCACGTGTTGTTACGATCATTCGTGGCGTTTGTGGGATCTGGAGGCCGAAGAGGAAGTACTCCATCAAGAAGGCCATAGTAAACCTGTTCACGATTTATCGTTTCAATGCGACGGCTCATTGATAGCTACTGCCGGACTCGATTCGTTTGGTCGGGTTTGGGATCTCAGGACAGGCCGTTGTATAATGTTTATGGACGGACATCTTAAAGGAGTTCTGGCCATTGATTTCTCGCCAAATGGCTATCAAATTGTTACCGGAAGTGAAGATAATAGCGTAAAAGTATGGAATCTTCGCGAAAGAAAACTCGAGTACACAATAGCCGCCCACACGAACATCATATCGAAAGTAATGTTCGAGAAGACAATCGGTAACTATATAATGACCGCATCGTATGACAATACTGTCAAACTGTGGGCACATCCCGGATGGACACCAATCAAAACGCTTAGCGGACACGACGGCAAAGTAACGGCAGTGGATGTGTCGCCAGATAATGAAAATATTATTAGTTCATCGTTTGATCGGACATTTAAATTGTGGCAAAAAGAGTGAAGTTTTTAAAAAATATTATATAAACCATTGTTTTCATAAATTATTTCATTTTTGTAATCATTTCATTATTATACATGTATATCGTAATTGAATTATTACGATAACTAAATTAAAACTGTTTTTTTTGTTGATAAATTGTGTATATTAAAAAAAGAAATTTATCAATAATTTGAATTATATTATGATAGTTAATAAAAAACCACTAAATCTCTCTCTCTCTCTCACACACACACACATACATACACACTCACTCATGAATATCCATCAAAACTTATTTGTTTTCTTGTTTTAATTTATATGATTTATTTATATTTGAATAACTAATATATACTGTAAGTATACTGTGTATTGTATTTGTTTTTATATCATAAAAATTTAATTATAAGTGATATTTTATATACACAAAGACAAACAATTGTATAAATAAACAAATTTCAATTTAATAAAAAATTAATTATGATATTAATAGACAAAAAATGTGTATTTTATTTGCTATTAAATACTGTACTAAAAAATCTGTATTTAAATACACTGTGTAGCTCTGTACTACTCTCTCTCTCTCTCTCTCTCTCAGAGAGAGAGAGAGAGAGAGAAGCCATATATTTTCATTAGTTTTTGTAATCATAATAATTCTTAAAATTATAAAAAATTATATAATTGTATCAATTATTTGTCAATTAATTAGTTACAGTTTTTAAAATTAATTTTAAAAAAATAATATTGAAATTACCGTTGAAATTATTAGTTGTATTATTTACATTAGTTTTTTGTTTATCTATCGGAATAATTCTAACAATCTTTAAAAAATTAATGTTTTTTTAGTAATATTATTAATAATAATTTTATTATCCATTTGAAACAAATCAAAAATCTATAACATTGAAAATTACAAATCAATTCATCAATTTTTATTGAGATTTTTTTCTTAATATTAAACTAATTATAAATAAAATTACGATAAATTATAATATCAAATTAAATACATTGATAAAGTATTTGAAAATAAATAACTTTTATAATTTGTCATTATTAACATAATAATAATTATCATTATAATATGATTACAAAATAATCATAAAATTAATTAATTGTTTTACATTTTATAAATAAAATTCTATTTAAATTATAGTTTTTAATTTTCGGTCTAACAATTGCTAAAAGTTTTTAAAATAACAGCTTAGTTAGTGCACCAGTACAGGTATATACAGTACAGTACAATACAATATACATGTATATTAAGTTTGTCATAATATTACTGTTTAAAAATTTTACGATAATTGAAATTATAAATTATATTTATCAAAAAAAAAATCCAAAATATTTTATAATAAATAATTACTGTAAAAAACAATCAATCAATTTTGATGAACAACAACAGGAGGATTGGATACATCCCTGGGCTCTAATTTAGTTATTTTTGTAATACCGAAACTACACAAAGTGGTCACTGTGTCGACCAGTTGTTGTTCTGCCGGCGAGAATGAACTGACAGCCTCGGGATCAGCTGATACCTTCATAATCAGCTCTTCGATGGGCTGCCGAAGAGCAACAATAGTGGTGGCAAATCGGAGATCCATTTTAAAGTCAATCCATTTGTCCAGTTGGACGTAATGGTCGGGCGTTACGTCCACACGTTTGGCGCCAAACAGAAGCAGATGTATTGGCGAAACCATTGTTAACTGTTTGGCGCAAACAATACTTGTCCGCAGCTTTTCACCGAACACAAAGAACGGCATCGGAAACGTCTGTTGAGGAAACGGTATGTTTGTGTAGCCGATCGACGACTTATGGATTAATGCAATCTTTGCTTCGGTGGTCAATACTTTTCGTTTTTCTTTGTGAACGCAAACATTGGGATAGAAGCCCATCGTTAACAATGCAGTCACCAAATCCAGACAAGTATTGGTATTATTATTGTTATTATTGCCATCAATTTGATGATTGTTTCCGTGATGTGATTCATTATAACCACCAAAATCATTATTATTAAAACGATCGCAAAGACTTTGATCCGGAAACATTGAACTCTTCAGCAATTCAATCAATTGTCGTTTAGCTTCGGATGTGATTCGCATCGAAGTCGGCAAAAGTGAATTTTGTTCGCAATATTGAATAGCATTACCTTCACCTTTACGTTCGGCTCTTTCCCAAAGTCTGAACGCCTTCAGTAGCATCAGATGATCGCTGAAATATCCGTTACTGAACTTCTTATGCGCGTAACGCAACCGATTCAAATTGAATGAATCAAACGGATCGGGACATGTGCTGGCATTGGCCGTTATGGTGCACATGGATTCGGCGCAACCGAATATAATCGACGCAATCATACATTTTCCGATTCGCGGTTCGATTGGCAGACGGGCCAGTATTCTGCCCAATGGTGTCAACTCGCTTTGGTCGTCCAGTGCGCGCAACTCTCGTAACAATACTTCTGATTCAATAACCGTATGAATAGGCGGCGGTTCGATAGCTTTCGATAGAAATCCGGTAATCGATCCGAGTCTTAATAATTTAATTGTTAAAGCAATTTCATGTAATGGTGTCCTAAATATTTCTGGTTTCAGATAGTCGTCCATCGCATCATACCGGGCTCTACTGCACAGATAATAACAAAATCCGGGTCTAACTCGACCAGCTCTTCCTCGTCGTTGCTGAAGATTTGTCTTCGACGCCCAATCAGTGGCGTAATGAGTCATATTGTTGTGAGATGTAAATAATTTGATCTTAACTTTGCACGAATCGATGACAAAAACAACATCGTCGATAGTGATACTGGTTTCGGCAATATTTGTGGCCAAAATAATTTTGGTCACTCCCGATGGAACCGGTTCGAAAACTTTTCGCTGGTCGTCGCGTGGAATTTGCGAATGAAGCGGTAGAACACAAAATCTCTTGGAACCAAATGTCGGATGTGATTGAAGATGACGCATAAGTGCAAAGATATAGTTCCAACCGGGAAGAAATACCAGAACAGATCCTTTGACAATCAAACCATTAATGTGATTCAGCAGTGCCTCAATCATTTCGAAACTGATCTCTCGTTCACTTAACTTAGACATTGTATGTCGTGTAAAGTCCGAGTACTTCGGCGCCAATACTTTGTTAAGATTTTCTCCGCCATCGTCAGCGCCGCCCTCTTTGTCTTCGTCTTGAAAATTTTTATTCTTTCGTTGCGGTGGTGGCGGAATAAATTCTAACATTTCAACACAATCTTCAAGGAAAAATTCTTGAACTGGATGTGATTGACCCGGTATTTCCAGTACCGGACAATTGCCGAAATATTTTTGAAATATAGTCGTATCGATGGTGGCCGACATCAATATAACTCGTAAAGTGGGAAACGCGTTGACCATATCTCGGATGACAACCAAAAGGAAATCTGTGTTGACATCGCGTTCGTGTACTTCATCGATGATTACATGAGATATACCACGCAAACCACTTTCAAGTTTACGCAGAAGTGTACCGATTGTACAAAATAGTATCGATCCGTACGGTCGGGGAAGTGAATTCTCAAACCGGACACTATAGCCGACGCTTGCATTCAAACTCAGTATTTCAGCCCTTTCCTGTGCCACTCGTTCGGCAATAGATACGGCACTAATTCTTCGCGGTTGTGTTACAATAATATTACATTCGGCGCCTCTTCGGTTGACAATAAATTTATCCAAAATATATTGCGGTACTTGAGTTGTTTTACCGCAACCGGTACTGCCTCTGATAATGACAACCGGATTTTCGGTAATTTTTCTGACAATCAATTCTCTAACCGACCAAATTGGCAGCGCTTTGCGTCTGTTTGTCATTTCTTTGAAAAGCGATGTTTTCTGTGCGCTTTCACTCATCTGTTGTAACATTTCGCTAATTTGTCCCAAATTATTGACAGCTAAGTGTCCCTCATCTATGTTACAGCCTCTCCAGGCGTTCCAGTTTTCAATTGGTGGACACCAACTAACACAGTCTTGCGGTACAACTATTGTATCAATATTTCGATTGTCTTTTGGTTCTTCAATCAGAATTGAATACGTTTCCGGTGTGCCATTAGTAGTTCGGTGATCGCAAATGCCAACCGGTATTACATTCAAATCTTTTAGGGTTTTCCTGAGCTTCTCTAACAACTCGATTGGTATATCAATACTGTATGAATCAACCTATTTATCCATAAAAATAGATAATAATTATGATTTAAAAAAATATTATATTATAATTTAATGTAGTTTTTTTTATAATACCATCGATTGTTTGTTACGTTTTGATTGTGTGATCTTAAACTCGCCGATAATTCCATAATGAAACAGTTGTCTCATAATGGACAGCGCACAGGCTCGGGAAGCCAATTGTTTGTTGGACCCGGTGTCGCGGGCCGTTACAGCTATAAAATAGACCCCGATTATTACAATCACATTAACAATAGGGACATCATATATGATACTTACGTCTATCCAATTGTCGCAAATGAAGTGTCAGTTCACATACAAAACTCCTAAAATAATTATATATATATTTGTATTTTAAATTACAGATAAATATTTATATTATCTTAACAACAAAAAATAAAAACAAATTACCGATTTATTTGAGACTTAAGATGAATTGTAAATTAACACTATTTTTGTGGCCATTAGTTTTTCAAAGAAAATTAATAAACGATAAACAATTGACATTAAAAAACCTATATATAATAAATAAGATTTATTACTTACAATTTAAACATACAGTAAATGTTTTGTTTCGTCAATTAGTTTGCCGTTTATTAATTCAATTCAAAATATTTCAAATCATATATTCAGAGCCGACAAAAATATTGTCAACCAATTCATCAAAAAAATGTCAAACAAAATACTCTCTAAAAATCATTACAACAAAAAAATTTACTGATTATTAGAGAATAATTGGTTTGACATAAAAAAAATTAAATATTAAAAGAAAGAAAGAGAGAGAGATAGCCGTGAAATTATAGGCCACGGTTGGTGTTCATACTTGCTATGGTCGGGTCCAATGGCTGTATAAACATAATCAGCTTTAATCTTGTTTTGTACCAAATACTCGTGCAATCGTTGTTTCGCGTTATCCAACGTCCAGTTTCCGTGAATACTTGAATTGGTGTCCAATTCTTCCGCTTCTTCAAACTTACGTTTCTGTGCAATCCGGTCGACATAGTCTTGTTTGGGTCCCTCACTGTATTGCATGAATCCTTTGTTAACCAGTGGCTGTTGCGTCTGCTGGCGTATCGGTGCTGCAGCTGCTGCTGCGGGTGGACCAGTAGATCGGCAATGAGTTATCAGAGCATCGATCGCTGGCGGCGGCGTCGATGCAGCCGACACAGTGGCCTCTAAACTGTTGGACATAGCCGTAGTAAATGGCAGTTCATTTTCATGCATATGTCCGTCGCGGACCAAATACATTATGAAATCTCGGGCCGCATTGACGCCGGCATCCTTTTTGTTGGTCGAGTTTCCCATTGCCACATAATTGTATCCCGGGACCCGAACCTTTTACGGGTAAATAATAATAAATGAAATACCAAAATGAAAGTCATTGGTGCAACCAATTTGGTCACACATTGTCATCGGATGGTAGAGATAGACAAGACATCATACTTCGCACTTAAATCGCGACCGATTGCCGGCACCCGACTGATTAAAATGATAATTAGGTGTCACCTTCTTCTTTCCCAACCAGGCGTACAAAAATGTCTTTGTCTGGTCACCCATTTGTGTCTTTAAAAAAAATCACTTTTTTTAGCCACAAATGGATTTTGTTTACGACAAAGACTTTTTAATTATGTTTAAGAAAAATACAGATTTTTTTCGTTTCTCTAAATAATAATAATTATTATGTATTTTATTATTGATTTTCTTTAAAAAAGAGCTTTTGTTGTTAAGACAGACTTAGAGAGAGAGAGAGAGAGAGAGACATCTTTTGGATGAAACGGATGATTACAATAAAGTTTCGATAAGTTTTGAGATGTTTTTTATATGAAGTGATGATTTCATCTCTCATCTGATCCTTTAAAAAAAAAGTTGATCACCAATTGACATATCAATTGATGATTTCAATGGTGTATCCAATCATTGGACTACAACTAAACTAATTTTTTAAAAAAAAAGTAAATCATTTCTTAACTAATAAATAGATGTTTTTTTTAATTTATATATTTGAAAAACATTTGTTATTAAGTTTTATTTTACATTTAATTTTAATGAATAATATTTTTTTTAAATACATTCTTAAATTTAATAAACATTTAATTAAAAATATATTTAATATTTATAATTATTTACACAAATTAAATATTTAGAATTATAGAATTTTTATAATAGTTTTATAATAGGCATAAAGTTAAAATCTATATTATATATAATTTTATTCATAAGTTAATAAATTATAATTACTTAATTAAAAGTTTAATCTTTAATTTAAGAAAAATTATGAATTTAATATATTTTATTTATCATATTAAAAAACTACAAAATATACTAATTATTAAAATTTTCAATATTTGTTAATTTGGTAATGTTGCTAATTTGTACTATTATTTATATCAATTCACATTAATTAAATTTAAAACATAGTTTTATCATAACTTAAAACTTAAATTTATGAATAAATATCTATTAATTGTATATATTTTTATTACAATTATTTAATACACTATTTCATCATTTAAATTCAATATATTTCAAACTGAATCAATAATCTCAATATATATATATATATATAATTTATATATAATTAGATAACTTATACAGTTATATAAGGTCGTAGTCCTATACAATATAGGCTATAGAAACTAAATATAAATAAGCTTGGATAATTTAATTTTACCATGCTAATTATATTGTAATTATAACAAGCATATTTTTTTATCATAATTCTTTTACAAATTAAAAATATAGTATAATAAATATCTATATATCAATAATTTTTTTTTAATTAACTAAAATTTACACAATAGTGTATTACATATATTTATAATTTGTATAAACTAAAAAAACATAGTAGTGCTGTTAATAACTTTTTAAAGATTACATAATTACATAAAAATTGATTTATAATAGTAAATATAATAATGTTTGTCAATAACTGTCATATATATTTAATAAAACAATTGAAAACACAAAAATTAACATTTTTATCGATTTTGATATTAGTATCTAAATATTAGAAAAAAATTGACAAACAAAAAATACATTATAAATCAAAAACAATTTGTTGTATAACATGACAACAAAATTTTAATTTAGATCATTATATCGATTCAAATAATATACTAAATAAAGTTTCGTTGCAATAAATAAATTGATTTTTTCTGCATTTCACTGATATATTACATTATGAATTTGCAATGAATTCATGAATATATTATGACATATTGATATATAATATATATATAAAGCACTGTAAATGAGATAAACTCTTATTATTATATAATATAGTTATGAAAGAGAGAGACAATAGTATTTGTTAAGCAAAACCCAAACTTTTTTGTTGATTCCAGACTCGGATCAGTTGGTTGGGGTCACTGAAGCCGTGAGCTGCTATCACATCGTTATAAGTGTCGACACTGTAGCCAAATGGCCAGAAATGAAAGTTTTCGTTATGTATGGCAGTGATCGACAACTTTTTCGCTAAGATTCCCACATAAATGTCATCAAACGGAAAGTGTTTTGTGTAAAGGGAGGCGTAATACATCTCAATGAGTGATGCATTGGATAAAACATAAGCTCCTGCTGTCACATATGGAGGATATCGAGAATATGGATAATCTTCGAGAGAGACAAACCATTTGCTTGTTTTATGTCTCATTGGGGAAGAAGTGGTAAAAACATAGCCGGTGTATAATCGGCCATCAAATGGAGTATTTGGTACAATATTTATAGAATTGGTATCAATTGTTGGCCAAGTATTCAATGGATTTCTAATATATTTTAAGAGATTCTTAACCGAAACATAATAGTCGTCGTCAACAAACAGTATGAACTGAGCACTGGAACAGTAGTGAACCGACCATTTGAAAGCCATCATTGTCTTAATGGTATTATTATAATAAGAGTCAACAAAGTCTGCCTGAACTATGTCTTTGTTGGCATCCATTTCTTCATCAATACTGTCCTGACAGTTGTAGACATCACGTCTGTCAACACAATTGCCTAAAATAAAGACAGTTTTGATGGTAACGTCCGAAAAGCGTTTCTCAAATCCCCAGCTCTTGCGAATGACATCTCTGGCCTTGAAATGTGTTAGCGAACTCTTGACCACAATTAGCAAAGTTATATCATCTAAATTTCTGGTAATAATCTCATCGTCGGTATTACTAAAACTGGTTATTATAACTGATTTAGAAGAAGTAGACGACGACCATCTCTTGGAACACTTATTTTCATTGCGGATAATAAAACGGTAATTATAATCATTAATATGTTGGGGAAGTGGAAGTGTTTGTTGCAATGTTTGTCTATCTTTGACATCGGAATCAGTATTGAAATTCATTTCTTTTAAACCTTCGATAATATCTCTGAAATTTTCCAAATCTAACGGATAGCTAAAATTGGTGCCGAAGTCCAATTCAAACGGATGAATATAAACGCCGGATATGTTGACCAATACCAGACACAGCGAAGCCATCAGAAAGACAATCAATCGGTGTCTTCGGTAAAATCGTTTGGTAACCGGCGATCTCATTGTGTCGGCAATTATTTGGACAATTAATTAAATCAATTTAAAATGACTTAACCGAAGACACCAAAAATAATTGCCGACACGTTTTATTTGCACACGAGTGGTGTGCGTGTGACACGTGTGGCCGTTTTGTGTCACGTGTAAGCCATGCATTGATTTGATTGCAATAATAATAATCACAAACTAATTGTCAACAATAACAACAAAAATCCATTGAATTGATTAGTCATTGATTTACTAATGCATTGATTGACAACAAAAACACACAAAAAAATGTGATTACAATAACAGCTGTTTTTTCCTACTGTACTCTATGTGTGTTCACAACAAACGTTACGCATATTATAGTGAGTGTGTATTGTACTGTGTTTTGCGGTCATTAATAATAGTCGGCACGTGTTTGTGTTGTTATCGGTGTTTATTGTTTGGCCAGAGTTTTCTTTACACCCGTCGGCATACAATTGTTTTAAACATGTCTTCATTACATCATTTGCCAAGAGATGAGGTCTCGTCAAAGATTCCCATCGGCGGCGACACTGCTGTGAACAACAGCAACCAAAACGCTGTTCCCGTTGTCGATGAAAACGATACCGATATTAATGGCAAAGCTTATGGCAAATACTTTGAAGCGTTTCACATATTTAACGACAATTCAGTGGTAATAGCATCGGATAATTTGTCGGGTTTTCATCAAACCGGTTACGTCACAAAATACGATAAGATCAGTGACGTACCAAAGATGCCAGTGTTGTCGTTGAATCCCGATTTTGGCGGTATCTGTAATCTGATTGCTTTGCGAGACAGACGTTTGGTGGCCGGCTTTGATTCCGGACACATATCATTGCTCGGCCAAGAACTCGAAGAAGAATTATCTGTTGTACACCACGACAATCCAATTACGCGACTGAATGTCAATCGTTTGGAGTCGAAGATTGTCAGCAGCGGTCACGACATGACAATTATCATATTAGACATTGAGACGTTTGTCTTAACCAAGTGCTATAATTTTGGCCATTCGGCTACCGTTTGGGACATCGACTTCAGTCCTTGTGACGACAATCTTGTACTGTCGTGCAGTCGCGACAAGAATGTCCTGTTGTGGGACTTGAATAAAGCCAAACCATCGTCAAGAATTGCCACTTTGACATCGGATCCGACAGCTCTTTGTTGGTCCAGCAAAGACATATCGATGGTATTTATTGGTACAGAAAATGGACACATAAAACAATTTGATGTACGAATGCCCGGCAAAGAAGTAGCCGACTGTACGGTCGGCCAGAATAGAGTTTACCGAATTAAACGTGTTTTCAATGGCAACGGACTGGCCGTCTGTTGCAATGATAATGTGTTGAGAGTATTGAAATCCGATTCACTGATTAGTGTCTACGAGAACAGTGGTCACACCGATTGGGTCCGAGATGTCAGTCATTATAATAAACAACTCTATTCTGTTGGTCGCGACTCGAGACTTGACGCTCATATTGATTGCTCTTTTGATGGCATTTCCATTACAACCACATCAACAACCCATACCTAAGATTGTGATAATTATTGTTGTCATTTGATATACAGATTATTAGGTTTTTTTTCTTATTTATTTTGGTTAACATTTATAAAATTATACTGTATTTAAAATATAATGTATCTGTAAATAATTATTTACATGAATTAAACTGTTTTTTAAAAATAAATTATAAAGAATTAGAAATTATAATAATTGAAAACTGTTTTTATATATAAATTTATTCATTTATTTTTTTTATTATCACAAATTCATTAAAGAAAATTTTTGTCTTATAATAATAATAATTATTACAATTCAAGCATAAATAACTATTTACAAACATATTACTGTATTTTTTATTTATAAAAAAAATAAAATGTTAGGTTTAAAAATAAAATATATATTTAATTTTAAATCGTTGCTAATTTTTGCAGCAATTTTGTCGACTAAATACACAGTTTAAAACATTTAATCTAACATTAAAAATCATAATAAATAAATAATTGAATTAATTATTTTCAAATAATAAAAATATAAAAATTAATAATAATAACAATATATTTATGGGGCAGTAGACGTTGGGTGAAACAATTTTTTTAAAAATTAAAAATACTTATTAGATTTTTTCTTTACTGTATATAATTGATTTTTTTAAAAACATATTATTATTAAGGTGATTTTTTGTTTTAAAAAATAAAAATATAATAATAATTAAATTATACGTTGTTCAACAATTTGATTATAATAATAATGTGATTATAATAATTATAACACTGGATGATGATTATACCAACTCTTTTATAAAATTAAAACAATAGGTCAGAAGCAGTGGATGATGTCGACCACGAACTGGTCTCCTCAGGATTGGCCGGTTTTATTAAGTCAGTCTCGTATGAATTGTTGTTGGCTGAGGAGGAGTTGTTCACATCACTACCACCGCTACCATTATTATCTGTTGTTGAATCGCCTGTTGTTTTTGGTGTCGACTTATGATTAGTCCTCGAGACGCCCAACTCGAAAGGGGTCTCAATTAATGTAGGTTTATATGACCCCAAACTACCTGTTAATGTGAAAATAGTTTCAAATGAGTTTTAATATTCAAAATTAAATGAATAATTTTTTAAAAAAAAGGTTTATACGGGAGTATATATATAATATTAAATGTAAAGCATAATCTCATTAAAATGATATAAAAAAGAGATAAAATATACTAAAACAGTTCAATTATGTTATTATATAATATAATACTATCATATTATTAGGTAATATAGTAGTCGTAATGATACATACCTTGTGAGCCTCCCAGTGCTAAATTGTTTTTAACTGTTTTCAAACTTGAATTTAATTGAATACCATTATTATTATTATTATTAGACTCGCCATTATTTATCACAGATTGTGTCTCACTTTTACTACCATTAATACCATTATTACCGTTAACTATGAATTCATCGGTGGCGGCAGCGGTCGATATACCCATCTCTTCTTCTTCAAGAAACGACTGTTCCGATTGATATTCAAACGTCTTTGTAAGGGAATCGTTGAAATGAAGAGACAACTGTTTGGATAATTTGAAAAAATAATTGATAAGAAAAAAGTTTTTTTTTGTATAAATTTTATTTATGCAGATCTTATGTATCAATACTTTATTGATTATAAAAAAACACTTTAATAGTATTGTTGTCTTTCACAAGAAACCAATTGTTTGTTTGATTTTGTGAACAACAAATTGTAGTCTATTTTTTCTAGTCGTAAGATTTGTTGACAATTTATTGTTTGTAAGTAATATTGAGAAACACATAAAAAAGGCCTTAAACTAAAAAACTTTTTTTTTAGGTACTGTAGTTTCAATGAACTATTTTTTTTAGTTGGTATTTAATTTGCGAAAACTGAAATTAGTGTGAATTATGGCATTTATTTTATTTAGTTTTTTGTTTGTTTGTTTGTAGTCCTAACGATTGAATATAATAATTCAATTTTTTTTCAAAAAAATAAAAATTATTTTGTCAAATTATTTTGTATCGTTAAAAAAACAATTATTTTTTCCTTCAATAGGACAATGAACTGATTATAATAACTCTTTGTATATTTTCAATGTATACCATTTTTTTTGCGTATATATATATATACAGTAATTTATAATAATATATAATATTTTTGTATTAGGGACGCAAAAATTACAAATATATATTATATATAAATGATAAATTAAATACTGTATATATAATGAGTGAGTTTTATATTTTGCATTCATAATTAAAATTGTTAGCATTTTGTTTGCCTATTGTTATCGTTAGATAATGGAAAGCCTTTTTTTATTCACCCCAACAATCCATATAAAGATATATATATTATTATATTATATTGTATTTAACGACAAAAAAATGTATTGAGATTTATGACACACACACACACACACACACACACAACAGGAACAGTCAGATTCATACACAATATACTAATATAATATATAAACAGTTAATAATCATTTTCAGCTAATTATATGAAAGTTTTTTTCAACTAATTATTTATTCCGATCGTAACATTTTATAATACATTATATATTTTTTTCAGTGATTCATTTAAAATTTAAAATATCATTTGTCAGGAAAAATGTATAATTTTTTTTTAAAAAATATATAATTTGTTTGATAATGATTATGAATAGCATTTTATTGAGAGATAACATATTTGCAGTTTATATATAATCTATATAAATAAAAATATATAAATTATATATACAGTATATCTGGTAGTTATGTGTCTGATATGATGACTGACAACGAGTTTTCCGTTACTTTATATACAATATATTAAAATTTATTAGATATTTATATGCGATATAAATATATTTCAATTTATTTACTGTATTTGTATGTATAATTTATTTTGATTTCAATCGCATTTCATTTAAATGTAATATTGAATAATATTATATAAAATATTTCTTCTCATATTTTATATTCATTAAATTGTAAAATTATCATATTATGTATCGCAAAAATATTTAATGTTATATATATTATTTATATAACATTTAAAAAGTTGTCAGTAACTCAAAAATCTCATATATTATATATATTATGTATGTATTATTAACAAATAAAACTTTTTCAAACAAAATTTTCTCAAAGTTAGTCAAAATGCATAAAATTTAGATTATATAAACATTATTTTTGTAAACTGATTAAATTACTAAAACTTTTTTCAGAGCACATTATGCAAATAAATATATAAAAATCAATTTAAACGTCAAAATTATAACAGATTATAACATATAATATATTGGAGTTAATTAAATTTCCTTTTATAGTTTAATTGTCGGCTCAATTACTAGAAATTATTATTATTATTATCATTAATAATATTGAATTCAATATACAGTATTATATTATATATTTTTTATAAGGAAATACTAATAAACAGACTAAGCATTCATATGAAATACACACAAAAAAACAATAAACTAAAAAAATTAGTTCACTTTTATTTCAATTTGTTATTATTATCATTATTATTATGATTAACAATAATGTATTGTGTATATTAATTGTCATTTTCTAACTATTAGACATAGTTTACTAATTATGCAAAAAACATTATTATAAAATATTTTATTATTATTATAATTAAAAATTATTTAATTTGTCATTGTCCTCTATATTTTTTCATCATCATAGACAGTACAAAATGATCAAGTTCCCATTTGTTTAACCGTAATAATAATAATAAAAAATTATTGTTATCATTATTTTAAATAAAATAAAATAATTATAATATTTTTATATTATATTATTCATAATATAATATTAATATTAAACTTTGTCTAAAAAACACATGTAATGTATTCAATCAAATGAATTGACATTTTTTTATTTCGTTTTAAAACTAAATTGCAATATATATATATATATATATATATATATATAGATATAATGTATATAAGTATTATCTCAAAAGATTTTCTAAACGCCTCAATAATTACATTAAATATTCACTATTAGATGAATACAATTCACTGTATTATTATTATTATTATGAAAAAAGGTATAAAGTTGTTGAAATGAAAAAATAGTTTCAAAAAACATTTTGAATGCATCGATAAATTCACAAAAAAAGAGAAGATTATGTGCAATATTTCACAAGAAAATACACTATTATTTGTATAAATATTTTTTTTAAAGAAAAATGTTATTATTATTATTATTGACTTAAATGAAAGTGATTTTCTTTCCTTCACATAATTTAAATATTAAAAATTCAAATTATATATAAAATATTATTTCGCATATCATATATATACTGTATAATCAAATGATTTATGGGTAACGACTTATGATAAAGTATTAAATGAATGAACTTATGTGAAAAAGTAAAGTTAAATAAACTATTTAAAAAAATTTATTCAATTTATAAAATTGAAAGAAATAAATTGATTTACTTTATTTTTCTTTTGATTTATTTATTGTCAATTTTTTTTGTTTGACAAATATATGGAAAAGTCAATGAACTAATCATTTCTAATCTTCAATTATTAATGTCGTCATTCAATATCATTTTGATAATAAACTTTTTTACACTTTTACACTTAAAAAGTCCTAATAAATACCATATTTTTTCTGATGATATGCATGAGTGTCCTATTTTTTACAGATCATAGACCAGTTTGTGTCTAAATATCATTGTATCTGTCATTTTTAGACTCACTTTTTTTGTTAAAAGTTATGAAATAGTTTTTTTTTAAATACCAACAGAACAAACCTTTATTATTAATGAGGAGTTAAATTACAATAACTTATCAGATAATAAATAATGATAATCTAAAAAATGTTTGTTTTGAATGAATTAAAGAGTAAAAAATAAGTTATTTTGCATAATATATGTATTTATAATACTATACTATACTTATATAATTGTATGATTCATATCCTACTACTCCTCACACTATGTGTTAACCCAATTGTTTGCAATCTTAACAACAAAAAACTTTAAAAACAAGCTGTGATTATGATTTATATATATATGCAGTCTATTGTTAAAAGTTGTTTGGATATAATTAAGGCTCACTTTTAGTACATTTTTTTGTTGTTAAATAAAAAGTTTTTCAAATTGTCTAAACATTTGGTTTTGTTTGTGTGTATTTAAAACAAAAATCAAAACATATTTTTATTTCTCTCTCTCTCTCTCACATATCTTATTGAACTTAACATTCCTTAACATTGACCCAAATATATATATATTATTACAAATTAATATATTTTTTTTAAGTGGAAAAAAGGTACTTAATTTAGGAGTTAAGGTAAATAATGGTACAGTCAGTACAGTATATAACCATGTTTTAAAAATAACATTTACAACAACAACAACAAAAACTTCTAAATTGTTTGCTATATTTATAAAAGTGGTTTTCATTTACAGTCATAAACATACAAACAAATAACAAATGAATTTTAATTTTATTTTTATACTTTATTTTTTTGGTTATTAATAATAATAATAATTATATATTTAGTTAAGGACACACATTTAAATAGATGTCTATCAATTTTTTTAAGGGGGTGTCAAACAAACAAACAAAAAATGCGATTCACTAGTGTTGAAGTTTTATCTACATTATTATCTATGTATTTCTAACTATTTATATGAATGAATAAACGTCCTTTAAGTATATCTCCCTCTCTCATTCACTCATTTATAAACATTTTAAATGATATTTAAAGCATTAAATAGTCATTTTCAACCAAATAAAAAACACTTTTCCGATTAAAACAATTTTGAAATTATTTTAATTTTCTGGAAAAACAGAAAAACTTTTTTTGTTATCATTCAATTATACGCCTATTGTATAAATGAAAATGCAATTCAAGTGTGATTTAGGTTTCAAATTAAAAACAGATATATAATATATATAAGTTATATACTGTATATATATTTATATGATATTTCTCTACTTCTACTATATATTTATTACTAATAAAAAACTTGTTTCCCTTTAACAAAATCATCTAATAGTGTTATTTTACTGTTAATACAGTATTATATATATATAATATTAAATGCTTGTATAAGGTCAGATATATAAAAGATAATACAATATAACATAAAACTAATTACTTGTGTTAAGAGAGAGAGAGAGAGAGAGAGAGAGAGAGAGAATGTTAACCAAATAGGAAATGAATGGTAAAAATTTATATTTATTGAGCAATAAAAGTTGTATACAGTATAGTATAACAAACTATTCAGTACTGTATTTAATTATGACTAAAAAAGGGGTTTCAACAACAAATAAAATAAATAAATGACACAAACATTACAAGAGAAAAGCTTCACTGATTTATCTAAAATATTTTTCTTCGACATACAAAAAATAACAACATTTTATTGTAATTTATGACTTAGTTTTTTTGTGGACAAAAAAACATTATAATATATATATATATATATATATATGTTTTCAAAATAATAAAGTTTTATTCATTGAGAATAAATATTGTTTGGAGAAAATATTATGAAAGAAAAAAAACTAAAATATAATTTTTTCCTTACAATTGAATCAAAAGAAATCATTTTGAATGGCTTTTAAGTTAATCTCTTTATAGATAATTATTTTCACAGAAACTCAGGTATTATTACCTTATTATATGAGTATAACATACATATTAGCGACAATTATATGTACAGTGTATATGGCTTTAAATATTGTATAAATTTATATTGCATTTTATTATTAATAATAATGCGTTTGTTAGGTAACACAACAATATGTTTGATTAAATATTATTTATTATTATTAGTAATATTTATTAATAATAAAATTAGTAATAATATGAGATAACAAAAATATATACTGATATATAATGTATTTCTGTAATCATAGCAATTATTGTTACAAATTTCAAGTTTGAACTTAAAATCAATTTATTAGTTTTCAATCAATTTATTAGTTTTCAATCAATTCATAAATTATTTAAAACAAAAACAAAAATAAAAGACAAACCTTTTTATTTCTCTTCACTAATAGAGATCCTTTGCCGACCCTAACGTTTTCTCCGGTAAATACTATGCCCGACGGCGGCCCGATTTCCGTAGACCCGTTATAGTTGTCGTCGTCGTTATCGCTATCGTTTACCGATGAATTATTTCGGCCGTTTGTCGACCGCTTGGCGGCGGTCGTACCGAACGGTGCCGGCTGTATGGCTATATTGGACTTGACGTCTTTGCCACGGAAATCAAATACAATACTAGTGGTCGACGAGTTGACTGATTTTTTTGTGACAGACTCCGGACTCCAGAGTGAACTACTAATAATCGGCGATTTTGTTGAGCTATTAGTGCTATTATTTTCAGAGTTCAACAAAATACTCGGTTTCAAGACGTCGACAGTTTGGTCCATCAAGTGATGATTATTATCTGGAATTGTATGGGAAGTGATGGATGTATTGTTTGTTTGTTTTGTCTTAAGTTGTTGAGTGGTATCACATGAAGAATTTGGCGAAACATTATTTTTATTATTATTAATATTACTATTATTATTGACAACAGCTATGGACTGCTGTTGTTTTTCATCAACTTTTTGATTGTTGTCTTCATTGGAAACTTTGGTTGAACTTAATGTTTGTTCATTCACTTTGCTATCAATTTTATTATTATTACTATTACTTGTATTATAATTAGCAATACTATTAATAATATTATTATTTTTATTATTAATTATATTATTGCTATCAACTAATCGATTATTAATATTATTATTACTATTATTCTGGTTTGAAGTGGTCGTCGTTTCATTAGAGTTCAACCCATAACCGTTGCGACAAATGTTATTAATAATGTGCTCTTCATTATCATTGGTTTGTCTTTCATTATTAATCCGTCCAACCGTTAAGTAATCATCGTTTTGATTATTATTATTTAATTGAGTGAAAGGTTTAATATTAGCGATAGGTTTATTGACTTTTGATTTATTACTACTATTTACTACTAGACTGTTGTTGTCGACCGAGTTTAACGGCGGCGAAGTGGCGTTTGATTCTTGATTTACTATTTGATTGGTTTGATTATTGCTGGAACAGTCAGCAGCAGATGCTGATGATGAAGAATCTGCGGAACCGTTGATCATCATTGGGACACAACTTTGCTTATCATCATTGCTATCAATTTCATCTATCGGCTCATTAGTTAAGCCAACATTATTTACAGACGTTTGATTGTCTATTGAATTAATAGACAATTTATTATTACTATTACTACTAGTATTTAAAACTGATTTTTGATTTTTATTATTATTATTATTAATATTAATATTTGAAACTTTTGTTAGATTAGTAGCAATTGGTTTAGCATTAAGTCTTTGCATAGCAGCAGCCGAAGCAGCTCTCGTACCTGTGATAGCCTTCTGTGTCAGCGACGGTCTCTTGGGAGCGATGGGAGGCTTTCGTAGAGGAGGTGTGACGACAGCACTTGAATTGTTGGCACTTTTGTGTGAATTATTATTATTTTTATCGTTCATACCATTCATTGTTGGTGTTGTTGTTGTTAAGTTGGTGTTAGTATTAGTAATCCTTTTGGTCGGTGAGGGTATACTTTGGATAACTTGAGGCAATGATGACTGAGATTTGTTTATTGGCTGGGAATCATTAGACGACGACAACGTAGACGTCTGAGTCTTTAATTGAGCACTTCTTGTAGTCGCCCGAAGCACCGGTGGTTTTCGTTTGACATTAGAACCAATACTACCACTACTAGTAGTAGTAGTAGTAGAAGTAGTACTGGTATTAGAAGTATTGGTACCATTGGAACCGTTAGTCATTTGGCTTTTCTTATAATTTTTTAATTTATTAGTGTTTACGGCGGGACTGGTAGTAGTAGTGGAAGTAGTAGTAGTCTTGCCATTATTGGTATCTTCACTGGTCTTTTCACTATTTTTCGGTTCAAATAACTTTTTGTATGTCTTAACAGTATCTGGTTTTGGCAGCTCATCGATGAGGCCTTTATTATGACTAACACTTTTCATTATATCGGCAGCGGATGACGATTGACTGTTCATCTGTATGTTTGCACTGTTATTATTGTTGTTGGTGTGACTCTTGTCACTACTCTCTGCACAACTGTTTTCAATCACAACAACAGTACTGTCATTGAGTGGAAATAGCAAATCGTTTGTTTGATTAGAAAGAGGTGTTTCTGGCGATAACGACAACAACTGATTAGTAGGCGATAAACAATTGTTGACGGGTTGGCGACTCCTGTCTGTGGTGTTCATCTGATGGTCAGACAACGACTGCATCACCAATGTTTCCATACTTTTAGCCCGTTTGATGACCGGCACAGTGGCCATGGATCTACTGTTGTATAGATTTTTATGGTTATGATTTTGTACATACAATCGATGGCTGTTATTGTTGTGTTGTAGTTGAGTGCCATTGACTGTATTTCCCCCGCCGTCCATGTATGACAATCTTGTGCCACCATTTATGGCCACCAAATCATTACTTCCTTTCGACGACAACTTTAAGCCATTTGGTATGTGCTGACAGCGGCTCTGCTTCGGTGACTCTCTTGAAGTATAATTAGCCAAATCATTGCTTACAGAAATGCATTCAAGACTTGAAAATCGTTTTAATTTATTTGTATGAAACACACATCTGTTTAAGTTTTGCTGTTGTATTGAAATACTCATAAACTTGTGTTTAAGTCTATCGACAATTCCCGGTCCGTACTGTAGCTCATACTCGCTGTCATCACTGTTACCATCGCTGGTATTGCCATTCATGTGATGGCTGACCACTTGTTGTCTGTCAAACCTGTTGTTAGTGTTGCTGTTGTTCACTGAATTCATGATCACTTCGTATTGGTTATACATATCTTTGTTGTTGATTATATCACTTTTGTTATCCCTATTAATCATTTTGTTGTCTTTGTCTAACAACTGTTGATGACACCGCTGCTGCTGTTGGTGATCATCAATCTGTTGGACATAAGTGTTGCTATCGTTTTGTTGGTGATGATGATTGAAGATGAGGTGGTGATTACCACCACCACTAAGTACTGGTTCACTAACTTGTCGCTGAAGAAACTCGCTTTTTCTTTGGGCCACAAATCCTGGTATTATCTGTTGCTCTTCAGATGTGGAGTCTTTGACTCGTGAAGTATTATTATAGCACTTATGTTGAATAGCGTTGATTTGATTGGTTTTGTTTGATAAGTCATTGGATGAACAGTCTGTTGTTTTAAAGTTTTTTAAACAACAGTCAGCACAAGTGCTAACTAAGCACTGACTACATGGCCGACCGGTTACTACTGCTAAGGAACTAACGGATCGCACAATCGGGACGTTCGCACCACTATTAGTACTACTACTGGGGTTGCTATTGAGGTGAACAGCCTTAGTCTTGTCAATAGTAAAACCAGTATCTGATCCCCAATGGGACGGTGAGTCGTCGTCGTCTCTCTGGCACTGACAACAACAGCACTGGCAGCTCAGGCAGATTTGTTGGCTGCTCTCACTGTACGCACCACTGCATCCAACTGGAGAAGAAAGGCTGCTATGTTTGACAAGTAGTTGTTGTTTAGTAGGACTACTAGGGCTACCTATACTTGTTTTACCAGATTTCAGACAAATTGTTGATTGAGTCTGTTGTGAAACACCAGCACCACTGCCATGAGTTAGACTTTGAGACGATGGGCTTATATTATTTAATTGTCGTCTAAATGTTATATCTCCATTGGTGAGACCATCAGCAGCACCAGTACCAGAATTGTTACGGGCATTACCACCAGTACAGCTACCATTACCATCAACACTAGCAGAAGAAGCAGTAGCGCTGTTGACAATTAGATTGTCGACTAACTTTTCCTTTCGCTTTCCCAATAAATCCTTGATCCAGGGAAGGGATACAGTAGCTGTAGTAGTATTAATAGTAGTAGTATTAACACCACCACCACCAGCAGCACCGGTATTATTATTAGTTTTATTATAACTGAAATTCATCCTTCAATTACATCGACAACAAAAAAAATTATTAATAATAATCTTGTTTTATGTGATAGTTTGTCGTTAATCGCATAATATAATAGCAAAACTTATATTATTTTTTTAAAACTAGCATTTGGTTTCACTCTCAGGATATCAGTTACCGGAATATACTGTATATGAGAACTGAATCTCAATTTACAATCTCTTTATTATAGATATTATATTATATTTCTGTTAGTTTTGTTTTTTTGAGACCTTTTTTTAATTGCCAGTCATTTGCTATTAATTTTGTTATTATTATTATTATTATAGTTGTTAACAGACGTTACACATTTCCATCATTTCTAATAATATTATTTTTATTATATTAATATAAAAATTATTTATTTATTAAACAAAATTAATATCAAGTATTTAATATATTTATATATTATTATAATAATATTATTAAATTTCCTTATTTCGAAACAACTAATATATTCAATTAATATTGTATATTAAGTATTAGTTAAAAAAATAGTCGATAAAATTAGTTGAAATAATTTATTTTTTAAGCTCTTTTATTTTGGTCGCTATAGATATTAACTGATAAAAAGCTTTAAATTTAACATTTTATGTCAAGATTATTATTATTATTATTATGAAAATACTAGTTTTTGTATACACTTAATATGTTAAACAAAACACAAAAAAATATTTTTAATCAACTAATAGATTAAGTTTATTAAGAGATTTATTATTAATACTGAATATTGTAATATATATATATATTCACATTTGATAATAAATTATTTTTTTATTATTATTAAATTAATTGAATCACAAAAATATTCATAATTATAGTGGCAATGAATCAAAAAATTGTTTCATTAAACTATAGAAATAATATTATCACAAAACAATTTATTATTATTATTATTTTAAATGATCAAAAACTTAGTTAATATACAATTTTGTCACAAAAATAGTGGTTATAATTATAATTAAAAAATACATACATATAAATTAACGAAATAAACTTTAATAATAAATTATTGGGAGGGAAACAAATAATAATAATAATTTGCAATAAATTTTAAGTAATTGATATATATTTTTAAGTTAAGTAATAATAATGACTTTTTTCTCTCAAGTACTTAATAGCGATAATAAAAACTTTTTTTTTAACTAATGATTTATAATAGATATAATATTGTATATAATATAAATACCAGACTAAACAAAAGCTGACTAAACATTTTAATGTCAAACAAATCCTAAAAACTTATATATTTTATATATAAATTTATATACAATAAAAATATATTGTAAAAACAGAGAGAGAGAGGAAAAAACTCCTCATTTCAAAATGCAATGGACTTTCGGGTTATATAACAACTAATAATATTTTTTTAGTTGTATTTTCTGGTCTCCAAAAACACAGCCCATCTGTCGGTACGTTTGCATCCATTCATAGCATCTATTGTTATATTAGTATTATTATTATTACCTGTCGTGTCGTTTCCAACACACATGAGGCGTTGGTTAAAAAGCCATACCCACCTGTGCCAGTAGTGCACCTATCCCTGAATATTAACCTTTCAACCATAGCTTAGTAGTAGTAGTAGTAGTAGTAGTAGTAGTAGTAGTAGTAGTAATAGTAGTAGTAGTAGTAATAGTAGTAGTAGTAGTAATAGTATTACCCGAAAAAATATTTACAAAGTTTGACAAGAAATTATAATTATTATTACCCTCACTTGTATCATATATATATATATATACTGTATATAACAATATATCACTAAATAATAGTAGTAATAATAATAACAATAATAATAAAAGTTTGTACACACAAAGCTTTTGTTATATAATAAACAATATATATAACGATATATTAAATTGTAAAACAAGTCAATGAAATGCTTTAATTAAAAAAAAGTTCATACATTTCTAGTTCACTGATGCGTTAGATTTTTTGAGACATCAAATAATAATAATAATTATTATTATAATAATACAAACAACAGATTCAAACAAATAAAAAGACCACTACTTTAGACTAAAAAAAATAAAATTGAAAAATAATGTCCTCAAACAATAATATCTTTACGCCAATAATAATAATAATAATATTTATAGCAAAATAATAGCTAAGAATTTATATTTATATTTTTAATTAAAAATCACATTTTGATGAGTTGACTAAAAATTAACGAAATTTTTTTTATACTTATAATATTAAATAATTGATTTTTTGTTTTGTTTTAAATTGAGAGAGAAAAAAATTATTGAATTAAAATTTGTTTATGAAAAAAACTTGATTTTTGTTTTGTTATTTTTATTTTTATTATTATTATTATTAATTTAAGACTTTTCAAATAAACTTTTATATTGCAAAAGAGATATTAGACAAAAATTTTATACTTAATTACAATTCATTGTATAAAAACTTAATGGTGTGTTTATAAACAAAATTGTAATTATTGTTTTATTATTTATTATTGTGAATATAATAAACCGTATATACTGTATATACTGAATAATAAACCGTATAATAGGTTTTTAATGAATTACAACTATATATATATACTGTATATTACCGTATTATAATGAATATAATGATAATTAATGTTAATGTTATTGAGTGAACAAAAAACATTTTTTACTTGCCATTCATTATCAGTTTTTTTCAAAACAATAATTAGTAATCACATTAATAGTTATAGTTATTATTATATTATTTAGTAAATTATCGACACATAATAAATGTTTGACAAATTTGAATAAAACTATTATTAACTACTATTTAAAAAATTAATTACTGTATATTATTATTATTAATAATAATATTAGTCAATAGTTTATTATCTCATTATACAGTATATAATTTTAATTTCTAATATCATCAATGATTTCATCAAATTATTTGTCATAAAATTTCTACTGATATATAAAAGTCAAAAAAATAATATAAAGCATTATATTATTTATTAATTAATAGATGAATAAATTAATATTGTTTATCACAAATCAAACATAACAATTAATTAATGATAATTTTTAAAAATAGATATGATTATTTTTTGTAAATATTAATTGGGTGTTAATAAATGTTAATAAAATATTTTTTAGTAATTGTAATGAATGATATTGTAAATTTTTAAAAAATGTTAATATAAAAAAATGCAATCTATTTCACAAAAAAAATTAATATATTAGTATTTATCTTAGTAAATATCAAATTCAATGATTCATATAATATGAATCATTTACTACTGTATAATATATAAATTATATATACTGTATATCTAATATAATATAATCTTATATATAAGTAAAAGTATACTGAATTAACAAATTATATTTAATATATATATATATATAATATGAATATATACTACAGTTATTTCTACAGTTAGTAATCAATATTATTTTTAAAGACAACTATTTAATTAATTGTTTTATGTAAATTGTTAATTTATCCAACCATTTTGTTGTTGGAGTTCATTATCACGTAAAATAAATTATTATTATTATTATAATTATATATTTATTTCATTTATTCAAATTGATAAAAGTCACGATTGCCTAATCAAGTGGTGGCTCTTATTTTTGTTTTTGTTTAAAGTTAAAAAGTTATAATAACTTTATGGTAATAATAATATTTATAATTAACAGTTATCTTATTGTTGGCCTAATCTGATTAGTATTTGTTTGGTTTATTTTTTTTTGTTATTGCATTTGAAATTCATTAAAATTTGTTAACTAATAGCAATCATATCATTTATTTTTTAAAAAAGAAAGAATTTTAAGCTAAATTTAAATCTAAAATTAATTAAAACATGTTTATAACAATTCAAATTTTGTGAACAAATCTGTTTTTGTAAATAAAATAACAAAATTTTGTTAACCAAAGATCATAAACAATTATACTTATATACCATATATATAAAATATTTACATAAAAAAATTACATGACACAGTTATGTTATGGATATTATTGGTATTATTGATAAATAAATAGTAAGATTAACACCGAAAAAAAACTTGTCATATTAGGAATTTAAATATATTGTAACACATTTAACTAAATTGTGACAGGTCATAGTAGAATTGTATTAATATAATATAATATATTATAATTAAATAACGTATATTAGTGTACATTTAATCATTAATTTGTATTACTTTTATAAAATTGTTTCAAACACAATTTAATTAATAATATAAAACATATTTTGAAAATCAATTATTTGATAATTGATATATAAAAAGTTTTTATTCCTATTTTATCTAATAATGTTTTTTATATCAAATTGCATTCCATTGTCTGATTTATTAAAAAAAATATTCAGTTAAATGTTGTAAACATTTATCCTTAATATGACAAAAACCCTCTAAGTTTTATTTACACGATTTTAACAACAAATAAAAAAACAATAATATTTTTAAATTAATGATTATTGGAGTTAAATGTACTTTAAAATTTATATGCCATAAAAGTAAATACTATTTTTTATTTATCAAGGTTTACAATTTAATAAATATTTAAACAAGTTTTATAATTTAATTAATATTGAAATTGACGTGTATTTAGTAAACATTAAAAAAAGTAATTATTTTTATTTCTTTTTTTATAATGAACTGTATATTTAATGATATACAGTCTAATAATGTATTATTTTATGGCAGATATTCAATATTTGTTTTAGATATGGGTTCAGTAAATAAATAATTAATTACAAATAAATAATTTTAAATTAAAAAAAAATAATTGAAAAAATAACATTGTATTTTAATTGTATTTATTTTTAAATATCTAAAATTAAAGATTTAATTTTAAAAAAGATAAACAAAGAAAAATTACTAAATTTTTGAAAATCTTATTAGATATCAATTCAAGCATTAATAAGGATTATATTTATTTATTATATATTTTTTTTTGATGAAAATATAAATAAAATAATTTGTTATCTAACAAATCACGTTTTCAGTTGAATTAAGAGATTAAAAATTAGTATATACTATACAGTATATTGTATGGCATCAGGTATTTACAGATAAAATATAATATAATATAACAATTGATAAAATAATAAAAAATAAATCTCATAAAACATAAAAATCTAATTACTTTGAAGTTAATAAAACTAAAAAATAGTTATTATTATTATATTTTTAAAAATTTCTTTAATCATTATAAAAATAATGGTATAATTTGTATTTAAAGTGAGAAAAGGTGTACAACTTTTTATAATAAATAATATAATATGAAATATAACAATTTGTTTTGAAAATAAAATAATACCAATTAAGTATCGATATATCTTTATTTTTAATAAATTTTTATCAAAACATGTTTTTCAATCACGAATTAAAACATGTATTGAAAATTAATGTCTATATATTTATTATTAGTTAATCAATAGTATTTTATTGCAGTATATATACAACTAATATATATTCTAACTATAGTTAATTTTATGAGAAATGATTTAATCGGTAATTTATTATTATTATTATTGAAAATTCAATCATATTTTAAGAGATTTGTTCAAAATATTTATTTGACAACAAATTAATAACAAATATATGTAAAGATAATACTTTTAGATATAACTAACTATTGATTCAATAACTAAATTACTGAAATGTTTAGCAGATTAGAGATGCGAAGGTCAAGTCCCGTGGGTCCGGACACACTGTTCAGGGGCTCCGGTATTATAACTTAAAATCATTTAATATACAGTACAGTGTAATGTAAAGTAATCTCTGTTTACTTAATTATTATTGAGTTATTTATAGTAAATAAATACCAAAAATCAAAGAAAAATAATGAAAAAGAAATATCTAAAAATCTTATCTAAAATATATATTAATATATAAATATTTCGAGATTTATTTTTTTGAAATTATGTCTTATAGTATGAGACTTATACAGTATTATACTGTAATGTAGTTATAAGTTATTAACTAATATGTATTTACATATGTATTGAAATGCTTTTTGATTTATCTTTTTAAAAAAATGATTTCTTTTTCTACACTACTAGTAGTATACTAAATACATATAGTTTTTAAGTGTAAAAATAATTATAGCCTATCATTTAATAATAATTATATTTAAAAAAAATTATTAGTAGTGATATCAATTGATTTTTTGGGAAAAGTGTGCAAAATCATGGATAGCATTGATTTTATTTATTTTTCAATAATCTATAAGACGTGATTGGCATTGAAAAAAATCTGTTAACAATTGCTTAAAGACATCATCAATATTTTAAATTTCAATCAATTAAAAAAATTAATAGTAATAAAAATTTAAAATATCTATTAATTCAATAATAATGATAAATTAATTAATGATAATGCAAATTGTATTGACATAAATCTAATAATTTTTATCGCATGACATACTATGCAATGCATGTTAATAGTATGCATTCAAAAAAATATATATATTGAACGATAAATTATAATAAATCATTTATTGATTTTAGATAAATAATAGTTATTATTTTTAATAATAATAATAATGAAAAAAATAACAATCTATACTTACATTTATAATTTGTAATATGAAACAAATAAAAATTATATCACATTTTA